AGTCCCCAAGAACACTGTCACAAGTCTAGACGGACCCTGAGGTCACCCCAGCAACACAAAGCAGCTCCATGTGCCCCAAATCAACCAGAGATGTGGCCCGATTCCCCTGCCTTGACTCCAGAGCCATCCCCAGTTCCCCATTAAACAAGATCACTGGATGGACTTCCTTCAGGCAACTCCAGAGATGTCCCGAGAACACTGTCCAAAGACTAGAGGAACACCAACTTCAGCACAGCAACTCGAGGAATGCTCCGTGTCCAACAAATCGTCTCGAGATGAGAGCTGAATCCCTGGCTTAGGATCAAGACGTATGCCAACTTTCCAGAAGCACCTCAAGAGGAGGCTTCTCTCAGCAATAGGTATGTTCGTGGGACCCCGAGTTTGCTGCCTCAAGTGGAGTATACAGCGAGAAGCCCTAACTTGAAAGGATTCGGATTTCCTTGTAGAGGCTTGAATACAGGCTCGTCTTTCATCTCACAGCATGAAGGGATGTCTGAATCCCCTGTGGAGACCTTAGAGAAAGCCCTAGGTCCCTTCCTCATTTTGATGGAATGCCTCACATCCCGTTGTCTCCTCGAGAGGCACGCGGAGTTCACTGCTTCAAAAGTTGATGATGCCTTACTCCTCTTGAATATTGATAGGAATCCCCAAATCCCTGTGGCTATTGGAAAGGTTCCTTGTGTGCCCTGCCTCACCTCGAGAAGCGTCACTTGTGCCCTGCCAAGCCTCAAAGAGATTCCTGTGCTGTCCCTCGTTACTGGACAGGAGTCCTGACGTCACTGAATAAACACGAGTTTTGAAGGGCCATCCCCGCCGTAACCCGAGTACATACCCCAGGTCCCCGCCGCAAGTCGAGAAAAACCATGAGACTTTCCCCTAGAGGCGAGATGAGGCACGATTCTCCTGCAGTGCATGCAGAGCAATTCCGTGATCCCCATCAAACAAGTCAGGACCTTCGACTTGCTTAATGGATCTCGAGACAGTCCCCAAGAATACTGTCACATGTCTAGACGGATCCTGAGGTCACCGCATCAATGGAAAGCAGCACAATGTGCCCCAAATCAACTCGGGATGATGCCAGATTCCCCAGTATTGACTCCAGAGCCATCCCCCGTTCCCCTTTAAACACGACCAGTGGCTTGACTTCCTTCAGGCAACTCCAGAGATGCCCCGAGAACACTGTCCCAAGTCTAGATTAACACCAAATTCAGCACAGCAACTCGAGGAATGCTCCATGTACCCCAAATCGTCCGAGATGAGAGCTGAATCCCTGGCTTAGGCTCAAGACGTATGCCAACTTTCCAGAAGCACCTTAAGGGGAGGCTTCTCTCAGCAATAGGTATGTTGGAGGGACCCCGAGTTTGCTGTCTCAAGTGAAATATACAGCGAGAAGCCCTAACTTGAAAGGAGGCCGGATTTCCTTGCAGTGTCTTGAATACAGGGTCGTCTTTCATCTCACAACAGGAAGGGATGTCTGAATCCCCTGTGGAGACCTTAGAGAAAGCCCTAGGTCCCTGCCTCATTTTGACGGAATGTCTCACATCCCGTTGACACCTCGAGAGGCACACGGAGTTCACTGCTTCAAAATGTCACGATGCCTGACTCCTCCTGAACATTGATAGGAATCCCAAAATCACTGTAGCTACAGGACAGGGTTCTTGGGTGCCCTGCCTCACCTCGAGAAGCATCCCTTTTGCCCTGCCAAGCCTCGAAGAGATTCCTGAGGTGTCTCTCATTACTAGACAGGAGTCCTGACGTCACTGAATAAACACGTGTTTTGAAGGGCCATCCCCGCCATAACTCGAGAACATACCCCAGGTCCCGCCGCAACTCGAGAAAAACCATGAGACTTCCCCTAGATGCGAGATGAGGCCTGATTCCCTGCAGTCCATGCAGAGCATTCCGGTGATCCCCATCAAGCAAGTCAGGAGCTTCGACTTGCTTAATTGAACTCGAGAAAGTCCCCAGGAACACTGTCACAAGTCTAGACAGACACTGCGGTCTCCCCAGCAATGCAAAGCAGCTCCAAGTACCCCACATCAACTCGAGATGAGGCCTAATTCCCATGCATTGACTACAGAGTCATCCCCCGTACCCCATTAAACACCAGCAGTGGCTTGACTTCCTTCAGGCAACTCCAGAGATGCCCCGAGAACACTGTCCCAAGTCTAGAGGAATACGAACTTCAGCACAGCAACTCGAGGAATGCTCCGTGTCCCACAAATCGTCTCGAGATGAGAGGTGAATCCCTGGCTTAGGCTCAAGACGTATGCCAACTTTCCAGAAGCACCTCAAGAGGAGGCTTCTCTCAGCAATAGGTATGTTCGTGGGACCCCGAGTTTGCTGCCTCAAGTGGAATATACAGCGAGAAGCCCTAACTTGAAAGGAGGCCGGATTTCCTTGCAGTGGCTTGAATACAGGCTCGTCTTTCATCTCACAGCAGGAAGGGATGTCTGAATCCCCTGTGGAGACCTTAGAGAAAGCCCTAGGTCCCTGCCTCATTTTGACGAAATGCCTCACATCCCGTTGTCACCTCGAGAGGCACGCGGAGTTCACTGCTTCAAAAGTTGACGATGCCTGACTCCTCTTGAATATTGATAGGAATCCCCAAATCCCTGTGGCTATTGGAAAGGTTCCTTGCGTGCCCTGCCTCACCTCGAAAAGCGTCCCTTGTGCCCTGCCAAGCCTCGAACAGATTCCTGAGCTGTCCCTCGTTACTGGACAGGAGTCCTGACGTCACTCAATAGACAGGAGTTTTGAAGGGCCATCCCCGCCGTAACCCGAGTACATACCCCAGGTCCCCAGCGCAACTTGAGAGAAACCATGAGACTTCCCCCTAGATGCCAGATGAGTCCTGATTCCCTGCAGTGCATGCAGAGTATTCCCGTGATCCCCATCAAACAAGTCAGGAGCTTCGACTTGCTTAATGGATCTCGAGACAGTCCCCAAGAACACTGTCACAAGTCTAGACGGACCCTGAGGTCACCCCAGCAACGCAAAGCAACTCCGTGTGCCCCAAATCAACCCGAGTAGTGGCCCGATTCCCCTGCATTGACTCCAGAGCCATCCCCAGTTCCCCATTAAACAAGACCACTGGCTTGACTTCCTTCAGGCAACTTCAGAGATGCCCCGAGAACACTGTCCCAAGTCTACAGGAACACCAACTTCAGCACAGCAACTCGAGGAATGCTCCGTGTACCCCAAATCGTTTCGAGGTGAGAGGTGATTCCCTGGCTTAGGCTCAAGACTTATGCCAACTTTCCAGAAGCACCTCAAGAGGAGGCTTCTCTCAGCAATCGGTATGTGGGAGGGACCCCGAGTTTGCTGCCTCAAGTGGAATATACAGCGAGAAGCCCTAACTTGAAAGGAGGCCAGATTTCCTTGCAGTGTCTTGAATACAGGATCGTCTTTCATCTCACAACAGGAAGGGATGTCTGAATCCCCTGTGGAGACCTTAGAGAAAGGCCTAGGTCCCTGCCTCATTTTGACGGAATGTCTCACATCCCGTTGACACCTCGAGAGGCACACGGAGTTCACCGCTTCAAAATGTAACGATGCCTGACTCCTCTTGAGCATTGATAGGAATCCCAAAATCACTCTGGCTACAGGAAAGGGTTCTTGGTGCCCTGCCTCACCTCGAGAAGCATCCCTTTTGCCCTGCCAAGCCACGAAGATATTCCTGAGGTGTCCCTCGTTACTAGACAGGAATCCTGACGGCACTGAATAAACACGTGTTTTGAAGGGCCATCCCCGCCGTAACTCGAGAAGATACCCCAGGTCCCCAGCGCAACTTGAGAGAAACCATGAGAATTTCCCCTATATGCGAGATGAGTCCTGATTCCCTGCAGTGCATGCAGAGTATTCCCGTGATCCCCATCAAACAAGTCAGGAGCTTCGACTTTCTTAATGGATCTCGAGACAGTCCCCAAGAACACTGTCACAAGTCTAGACCGACCCTGAGGTCACCAAAGCAACGCAAAGCAGCTCCATGTGCCCAAAATCAACCCGAGATGTGGCCCGATTCCCCTGCATTGACTCCAGAGCCATCCCCAGTTCCCCATTAAACAAGACCACTGGCTTGACTTCCTTCAGGCAACTTCAGAGATGCCCCGAGAACACTGTCCCAAGTCTACAGGAACACCAACTTCAGCACAGCAACTCGAGGAATGCTCCGCGTACCCCAAATTGTCTCGAGATGAGAGCTGATTCCCTGGCTTAGGCTCAAGACGTATGCCAACTTTCCAGAAGCACCTCAAGGGGAGGCTTCTCTCAGCAATAGGTATGTTGGAGGGACCCCCAGTTTGCTGCCTCAAGTGGAATATACAGCGAGAAGCCCTAACTTGAAAGGAGGCCGGATATCCTTGCAGTGTCTTGAATACAGGCTCGTCTTTCATCTCACAACTGGAAGGGATGTCTGAATCCCCTGTGGAGACCTTAGAGTAAGCCCTAGGTCCCTGCCTCATTTTGACGGAATGCCTCACATCCCGTTGACACCTCGAGAGGCACACGGAGTTCACCGCTTCAAAATGTAACGATGCCTGACTCCTCTTGAACATTGATAGGAATCCCAAAATCACTCTGGCTACAGGAAAGGGTTCTTGGTGCCCTGCCTCACCTCGAGAAGCATCCCTTTTGCCCTGCCAAGCCACGAAGAGATTCCTGAGGTGTCCCTCGTTACTAGACAGGAATCCTGACGGCACTGAATAAACACGTGTTTTGAAGGGCCATCCCCGCCGTAACTCGAGAAGATACCCCAGGTCCCCAGCGCAACTTGAGAGAAACCATGAGAATTTCCCCTATATGCGAGATGAGTCCTGATTCCCTGCAGTGCATGCAGAGTATTCCCGTGATCCCCATCAAACAAGTCAGGAGCTTCGACTTGCTTAATGGATCTCGAGACAGTCCCCAAGAACACTGTCACAAGTCTAGACCGACCCTGAGGTCACCCCAGCAACGCAAAGCAGCTCCATGTGCCCAAAATCAACCCGAGATGTGGACCGATTCCCCTGCATTGACTCCAGAGCCATCCCCAGTTCCCCATTAAACAAGACCACTGGCTTGACTTCCTTCAGGCAACTTCAGAGATGCCCCGAGAACACTGTCCCAAGTCTAGAGGAACACCAACTTCAGCACAGCAACTCGAGGAATGCTCCGCGTACCCCAAATTGTCTCGAGGTGAGAGCTGATTCCCTGGCTTAGGCTCAAGACGTATGCCAACTTTCCAGAAGCACCTCAAGGGGAGGCTTCTCTCAGCAATAGGTATGTTGGAGGGACCCCCAGTTTGCTGCCTCAAGTGGAATATACAGCGAGAAGCCCTAACTTGAAAGGAGGCCGGATATCCTTGCAGTGTCTTGAATACAGGCTCGTCTTTCTTCTCACAACTGGAAGGGATGTCTGAATCCCCTGTGGAGACCTTAGAGTAAGCCCTAGGTCCCTGCCTCATTTTGACGGAATGCCTCACATCCCGTTGACACCTCGAGAGGCACACGGAGTTCACTGCTTCAAAATGTGACGATGCCTGACTCCTCCTGAACAATGATAGGAATCCCAAAATCACTGTGGCTACAGGAAAGGGTTCTTGGGTGCCCTGCCTCACCTCGAGAAGCATCCCTTTTGCCCTGCCAAGCCTCGAAGAGGTTCCTGAGGTGTCTCTCGTTACTAGACAGGAGTCCTGATGTCACTGAATAAACACGTGTTTTGAAGGGCCATCCCCGCCATAACTCGAGAACATACCCCAGGTCCCGCTGCAACTCGAGCAAAACGATGAGACTTCCCCTAGATGGGAGATGAGGTCTGATTCCCTACAGTTATGCAGGGCAGTCCCGTGATCCCCATCAATCAAGTCAGGAGCTTCGACTTGCTTAATTGATCTCGAGAGAGTCCCCAGGAACACTGTCACAAGTCTAGACAGACCCTGAGGTCACCCCAGCAATGCAAAGTAGCTCCAAGTGCCCCACATCAACTCGAGATCAGGCCCGATTCTCCGGCATTGACTCCAGAGCCATCTTCCGTACCACATTAAACACCACCAGTGGCTTGACTTCCTTCAGGCAACTCCAGAGATGCCCCGAGAACACTGTCCCAAGTCTAGAGGAACACCAACTTCAGCACAGCAACTCGAGGAATGCTCCGTGTACCCCAAATCGTTTCGAGGTGAGAGGTGATTCCCTGGCTTAGGCTCAAGACGTATGCCAACTTTCCAGAAGCACCTCAAGAGGAGGCTTCTCTCAGCAATCGGTATGTGGGAGGGACCCCGAGTTTGCTGCCTCAAGTGGAATATACAGCGAGAAGCCCTAACTTGAAAGGAGGCCGGATTTCCTTGCAGTGGCTTGAATACAGGCTCGTCTTCATCTCACAGCATGAAGGGATGTCTGAATCCCCTGTGGAGACCTTAGAGAAAGCTTTAGGTCCCTGCCTCATTTTGACGGAATGCCTCACATCCCGTTGACACTTCGAGAGGCACGCGGAGTTCACTGCTTCAAAAGGTGATGATGCCTCACTCGTCTTGAATATTGATAGGAATCCCAAAATCACTGTGGCTACTGGAAAGGGTCCTTGGGTGCCCTGCCTCACCTCGAGAAGCATACCTTTTGACCTGCCAAGCCTCGAAGAGATTCCTGAGGTGTCCCTCGTTACTAGACAGGAGTCCTGACGGCACTGAATAAACACGTGTTTTGAAGGGACATCCCCGCCGTAACACGTGAAGATACCCCAGGTCCCCCGCGCAACTTGAGAGAAACCATGAGACTTCCCCCTAGATGCGAGATGAGTCCTGATTCCCTGCAGTGCATGCAGAGTATTCCCGTGATCCCCATCAAACAAGTCAGGAGCTTCGACTTGCTTAATGGATCTCGAGACAGTCCCCTAGAACACTGTCACAAGTCTAGACGGACCCTGAGGTCACCCCCGCAACACAAAGCAACTCCATGTGCCCCAAATCAACCCGAGATGTGGCCCGATTCCCCTGCATTGACTCCAGAGCCATCCCCAGTTCCCCATTAAACAAGACCACTGGATTGACTTCTTTCAGGCAACTCCAGAGATGCCCCGAGAACACTGTCCCAAGACTAGAGGAACACCAACTTCAGCACAGCAACTCGAGGAATGCTCCGTGTACCACAAATCGTCTCGAGATGAGAGCTGATTCCCTGGCTTAGGCTCAAGACGTATGCCAACTTTCCAGAAGCACCTCAAGAGGAGGCTTCTCTCAGCAATAGGTATGTTCGTGGGACCCCGAGTTTTCTGCCTCAAGTGAAATATACAGCGAGAAGCCCTAACTTGAAAGGAGGACGGATTTCCTTGCAGTGGCTTGAATAAAGGCTCGTCTTTCATCTCACAGCATGAAGGGATGGCTGAATCCCCTGTGGAGACCTTAGAGAAAGCCCTAGGTCCCTGCCTCATTTTGACGGAATGCCTCACATCCCGTTGTCACCTCGAGAGGCACGCGGAGTTCACTGCTTCAAAAGGTGACGATACCTGACTCCTCTTGAATATTGACAGGAATCCCAAAATCCCTGTGGCTATTGGAAAGTTTCCTTGGGTGCCCTGCCTCACCTCGAGAAGCGTCCCTTGTGCCCTGCCAAGCCTCGAAGAGATTCCTGAGCTGTACCTCGTTACTGGACAGGAGTCCTGACGTCACTGAATAAACACGAGTTTTGAAGGGCCATCCCCGCCGTAACCCGAGTACATACCCCAGGTCCCCGCCGCAAGTCGAGAAAAACCATGAGACTTTCCCCTAGAGGCGAGATGAGGCACGATTCTCCTGCAGTGCATGCAGAGCAATTCCATGATCCCCATCAAACAAGTCAGGACCTTCGACTTGCCTAATGGATCTCGAGACAGTCCCCAAGAATACTGTCACATGTCTAGATGGATCCTGAGGTCACCCCATCAACGCAAAGCAGCACAATGTGCCCCAAATCAACTCGGGATGATGCCAGATTCCCCTGCTTTGACTCCAGAGCCATCCCCCATTCCCCATTAAACACGACCAGTGGCTTGACTTCCTTCAGGCAACTCCAGAGATGCCCCGAGAACACTGTCCCAAGTCTAGAGGAACGCCAACTTCAGCACAGCAACTCGAGGAATGCTCCGTGTACCCCAAATCGTCTCGAGATGAGAGCTGATTCCCTGGCTTAGGCTCAAGACTTATGCCAACTTTCCAGAAGCACCTCAAGAAGAGGCTTCTCTCAGCAATAGGTATGTTGGAGGGACCCCCAGTTTGCTGCCTCAAGTGTAATATACAGCGAGAAGCCCTAACTTGAAAGGAGGCCATATTTCCTTGCAGTGTCTTGAATGCAGGCTCGTCTTTCATCTCACAACCGCAAGGGATGTCTGAATCCCCTGAGGAGACCTTAGAGAAAGCCCTAGGGCCCTTCCTCATTTTGAAGGAATGCCTCACATCCCCTTGACACATCGAGAGGCACACGGAGTTCACTGCTTCAAAATGTGACGATGCCTGACTCCTATTGAACATTGATAGGAATCCCAAAATCACTCTGGCTACAGGAAAGGGTTCGTGGTGCCCTGCTTCACCTCGAGAAGCGTCCCTTGTGCACTGCCAAGCCTCAAAGAGATTCCTGAGGTGTCTCTCATTACTAGACAGGAGTCCTGACGTCACTGAATATACACAAGTTTTGAAGGGCCATCCCCGCCGTAACCCGAGTGCATACCCCAGGTCCCCGCCACAACTCGAAAAAAACCTTGAGACTTCCATCTGAATACGAGATGAGGCCCGATTCACCTGCAGTGCATGCAGAGCAATTCCGTGATCCCCATCAACCAAGTCAGGAGCTTCGATTTGCTTAATGGATCTCGAGACAGTACCCAAGAACACTGTCACATGTCTAGACGGATCCTGAGGTCACCCCATCAAAGCAAAGCAGCACCATGTGCCCCAAATCAACTCCAGATAATGCCCGATTCCCCTGCATTGACTCCAGAGCCATCCCCCGTTCCACATTAAACACCACCAGTGGCTTGACTTCCTTCAGACAATTGCAGAGATGCCCTTAGAACACTGTCCCAAGTCTAGAGGAACACCATCTTCAGCACAGCAACTCGAGGAATGCTCCGTGTACCCCAAATCATCTCGAGATGAGAGCTGATTCCCTGGCTTAAGCTCAAGACGTATGCCAACTTTCCAGAAGCACCTCAAGGGGAGACTGCTCTCAGCAATAGGTATGTTGGAGGGACCCCCAGTTTGCTGCCTGAAGTGGAATATGCAGCGAGAAGCCCTAACTTGAAAGGAGGCCGGGTTTCCTTGCAGTGTCTTGAATACAGGCTCGTCTTTCATCTCACAACCAGAAGGGATGTCTGAATCCCCTGTGGAGACCTTAGAGAAAGCCCTAGGTCCCTGCCTCATTTTGACGGAATGCCTCACATCCCGTTGACACTTCGAGAGGCACACGGAGTTCACTGCTTCAAAATGTGAAGATGCCTGACTCCTCTTGAACATTGATAGGAATCCCAAAATCACTGTGGCTACAGGAATGGTTCTTGTGTGCCCTGCCTCACCTCGAGAAGCATACCTTTTCCCCTGCCAAGCCTCGAAGAGATTCCTGAGGTGTCCCTCATTACTAGTCAGGAGTCCTGACGTCACTGAATAAACACGTGTTTTGACGGGCCATGCCCGCCATAACTCGAGAACATACCCCACGTCCCGCCGCAACTCGAGAAAAACCATGAGACTTCCCCTAGATGTGAGATGAGGCCTGATTCCCTGCAGTCCATGCAGAGCATTCCCGTCATCCCCATCAAGCAAGTCAGCAGGTTCGATTTGCTTAATGGATCTCGAGAGAGTCCCCAGGAACACTGTCACAAGTGTAGACGGACCCTGACGTAACCCCAGCAACGCAAAGCAGCTCCATGTGCCCCAAATAAACTCGAGATGATGCCAGATTCTCCGGCATTGACTCCAGAGCCATCCGCCGTACCTCATTAAACACCAGCAGTCGCATGACTTCCTTCTGGCAACTCCAGAGATGCCCCGAGAACACTGTCCCAAGTCTAGAGGAACACCAACTTCAGCACAGCAACTCGAGGAATGCTCCGTGTACCCCAAATCGTTTCGAGGTGAGAGCTGATTCCCTGGCTTAGGCTCAAGACGTATGCCAAGTTTCCAGAAGCACATCAAGAGGAGGCTTCTCTCAGCAATCGGTATGTGGGAGGGACCCCGAGTTTGCTGCCTCAAGTGGAATATACAGCGAGAAGCCCTAACTTGAAAGGAGGCCGGATTTCCTTGCAGTGGCTTGAATACAGGCTCCTCTTTCATCTCACAGCATGAAGGGATGTCTGAATCCCCTGTGGAGACCTTAGAGAAATCTTTAGGTCCCTGCCTCATTTTGACGGAATGCCTCACATCCGGTTGACACTTCGAGAGGCACGCGGAGTTCACTGCTTCAAAAGGTGATGATGCCTCACTCGTCTTGAATATTGATAGGAATCCCAAAATCACTGTGGCTACTGGAAAGGGTCCTTGGGTGCCCTGCCTCACCTCGAGAAGCATACCTTTTGACCTGCCAAGCCTCGAAGAGATTCCTGAGGTGTCCCTCGTTACTAGACAGGAGTCCTGACGGCAATGAATAAACACGTGTTTTGAAGGGACATCCCCGCCGTAACACGTGAAGATACCCCAGGTCCCCCGCGCAACTTGAGAGAAACCATGAGACTTCCCCCTAGATGCGAGATGAGTCCTGATTCCCTGCAGTGCATGCAGAGTATTCCCGTGATCCCCATCAAACAAGTCAGGAGCTTCGACTTGCTTAATGGATCTCGAGACAGTCCCCTAGAACACTGTCACAAGTCTAGAAGGACCCTGAGGTCACCCCAGCAACGCAAAGCAACTCCATGTGCCCCAAATCAACCCGAGATGTGGCCCGATTCCCCTGCATTGACTCCAGAGCCATCCCCAGTTCCCCATTAAACAAGACCACTGGATTGACTTCTTTCAGGCAACTCCAGAGATGCCCCGAGAACACTGTCCCAAGACTAGAGGAACACCAACTTCAGCACAGCAACTCGAGGAATGCTCCGTGTACCCCAAATCGTCTCGAAATGAGAGCTGATTCCCTGGCTTAGGCTCAAGACGTATGCCAACTTTCCAGAAGCACCTCAAGAGGAGGCTTCTCTCAGCAATAGGTATGTTCGTGGGACCCCGAGTTTTCTGCCTCAAGTGAAATATACAGCGAGAAGCCCTAACTTGAAAGGAGGACGGATTTCCTTGCAGTGGCTTGAATAAAGGCTCGTCTTTCATCTCACAGCATGAAGGGATGTCTGAATCCCCTGTGGAGACCTTAGAGAAAGCTCTAGGTCCCTGCCTCATTTTGACGGAATGCCTCACATCCCGTTGTCACCTCGAGAGGCACGCGGAGTTCACTGCTTCAAAAGGTGACGATGCCTGACTCCTCTTGAATATTGACAGGAATCCCAAAATCCCTGTGGCTATTGGAAAGTTTCCTTGGGTGCCCTGCCTCACCTCGAGAAGCGTCCCTTGTGCCCTGCCAAGCCTCGAAGAGATTCCTGAGCTGTACCTCGTTACTGGACAGGAGTCCTGACGTCACTGAATAAACACGAGTTTTGAAGGGCCATCCCCGCCGTAACCCGAGTACATACCCCAGGTCCCCGCCGCAAGTCGAGAAAAACCATGAGACTTTCCCCTAGAGGCGAGATGAGGCCCGATTCTCCTGCAGTGCATGCAGAGCAATTCCGTGATCCCCATCAACAAGTCAGGACCTTCGACTTGCCTAATGGATCTCGAGACAGTCCCCAAGAATACTGTCACATGTCTAGACGGATCCTGAGGTCACCCCATCAACGCAAAGCAGCACAATGTGCCCCAAATCAACTCGGGATGATGCCAGATTCCCCTGCTTTGACTCCAGAGCCATCCCCCATTCCCCATTAAACACGACCAGTGGCTTGACTTCCTTCAGGCAACTCCAGAGATGCCCCGAGAACACTGTCCCAAGTCTAGAGGAACGCCAACTTCAGCACAGCAACTCGAGGAATGCTCCGTGTACCCCAAATCGTCTCGAGATGAGAGCTGATTCCCTGGCTTAGGCTCAAGACTTATGCCAACTTTCCAGAAGCACCTCAAGAAGAGGCTTCTCTCAGCAATAGGTATGTTGGAGGGACCCCCAGTTTGCTGCCTCAAGTGTAATATATAGCGAGAAGCCCTAACTTGAAAGGAGGCCATATTTCCTTGCAGTGTCTTGAATGCAGGCTCGTCTTTCATCTCACAACCGCAAGGGATGTCTGAATCCCCTGTGGAGACCTTAGAGAAAGCCCTAGGGCCCTTCCTCATTTTGAAGGAATGCCTCACATCCCCTTGACACATCGAGAGGCACACGGAGTTCACTGCTTCAAAATGTGACGATGCCTGACTCCTATTGAACATTGATAGGAATCCCAAAATCACTCTGGCTACAGGAAAGAGTTCTTGGTGCCCTGCCTCACATCGAGAAGCATCCCTTTTGCCCTGCCAAGCCTCGAAGAGATTACTGAGGTGTCTCTCATTACTAGACAGGAGTCCTGACGTCACTGAATAAACACGTGTTTTGAAGGGCCATCCCCGCCATAACTCGAGAACATACCCCAGGTCCCGGCGCAACTCGAGAAAAACGATGAGACTTCCCCTAGATGCGAGATGAGGTCTGATTCCCTGCAGTCCATGCAGAGCAGTCCCGGGATCCCCATCAAGCAAGTCAGGAGCGTCGACTGGCTTAATGGATCTCGAGAGAGTCCCCAGGAACACTGTCAGAAGTCTAGACAGATCCTGAGGTCACCCCAGCAATGCAAAGCAGCTGCAAGTGCCCCACATCAACTCGAGATGAGGCCCGATTCTCCGGCATTGACTCCAGAGCCATCCCCCGTACCCCATTAAACACCACCAGTGGCTTGACTTCCTTCAGGCAACACCAGAGATGCCCTGAGAACACTGTCCCAAGGCTAGAGGAATACGAACTTCAGCACAGCAACTCGAGGAATGCTCCGTGTACCCCAAATCTTTTCGAGGTGAGAGCTGATTCCATGGCTTAGGCTCAAGATGTATGCCAACTTTCCAGAAGCACCTCAAGAGGAGGCTTCTCTCAGCAATAGGTATTTGGGAGGGACCCCGAGTTTGCTGCCTCAAGTGGAATATACAGCGAGAAGCCCTAACTTGAAAGGAGGACGGATTTCCTTGCAGTGGCTTGAATACAGGCTTGTCTTTCATCTCACAGCATGAAGGGATGTCTGAATCCCCTGTGGAAACCTTAGAGAAAGCTCTAGGTGCCTGCCTCATTTTGATGGAATGCCTCACATCCCGTTGTCACCTCGAGAGGCACGCGGAGTTCAGTGCTTCAAAAGGTGACGATGCCTGACTCCTCTTGAATATTGATAGGAATCCCACAATCCCTGTGGCTATTGGAAATGTTCCTTGGGTGCCCTGCCTCACCTCGAGAAGCGTCCCTTGTGCACTGCCAAGCCTCGAAGAGATTCCTGAGCTGTCCCTCGTTACTGGACAGGAGTCCTTACATCACTGAATAAACACGAGTTTTGAAGGGCCATCCCCGCCGTAACCCGAGTACATACCCCAGGTCCCCGCCACAAGTCGAGAAAAACCATGAGACTTTCCCCTAGAGGCGAGATGAGGCCCGATTCTCCTGCAGTGCATGCAGAGCAATTCCGTGATCACCATCAAACAAGTCAGGACCTTCGACTTGCTTAATGGATCTCGAGACAGTCCCCAAGAATACTGTCACATGTCTTGACGAATCCTGAGGTCACCCCATCAACGCAAAGCAGCACAATGTGCCCCAAATCAACTCGGGATGATGCCAGATTCCCCTGCTTTGACTCCAGAGCCATCCCCCGTTCCCCATTAAACACGACCAGTGGCTTGACTTCCTTCAGGCAAATCCAGAGATGCCCCAAAAACACTGTCCCAAGTCTAGAGGAACACCAACTTCAGCACAGCAACTCGAGGAATGCTCCGTGTACCCCAAATCGTCTCGAGATGAGAGCTGATTCCCTGGCTTAGGCTCAAGACGTATGTCAACTTTCCAGAAGCACCTCAAGGGGAGGCTTCTCTCAGCAATAGGTATGTTGGAGGGATCCCCAGTTTGCTGCCTCAAGGGGAATATACAGCGAGAAGCCCTAACTTGAAAGGAGGACGTATTTCCTTGCAGTGTCTTGAATGCAGGCTCGTCTTTCATCTCACAACCGGAAGGGATGTCTGAATCCCCTGTGGAGACCTTAGAGAAAGCCCTAGGGCCCTTCCTCATTTTGAAGGAATGCCTCACATCCCGTTGACACATCGAGAGGCACACGGAGTTCACTGCTTCAAAATGTGACGATGCCTGACTCCTATTGAACATTGATAGGAATCCCAAAATCACTCTGGCTACAGGAAAGGGTTCGTGGTGCCCTGCTTCACCTCGAGAAGCGTCCCTTGTGCACTGCCAAGCCTCAAAGAGATTCCTGAGGTGTCTCTCATTACTAGACAGGAGTCCTGACGTCACTGAATATACACGAGTTTTGAAAGGCCATCCCCTCCGTAACCCGAGTACATACCCCAGGTCCCCGCCGCAACTCGAAAAAAACCTTGAGACTTCCATCTGGATGCGAGATGAGGCCCGATTCACCTGCAGTGCATGCAGAGCAATTCCGTGATCCCCATCAACCAAGTCAGGAGCTTCGATTTGCTTAATGGATCTCGAGACAGTACACAAGAACACTGTCACATGTCTAGACGGATCCTGAGGTCAACCCATCAAAGCAAAGCAGCACCATGTGCCCCAAATCAACTCGAGATAATGCCCGATTCCCATGCATTGACTCCAGAGCCATCCCCCGTTCCACATTAAACACCACCAGTGGCTTGACTTCCTTCAGACAATTGCAGAGATGCCCTTAGAACACTGTCCCAAGTCTAGAGGAACACCATCTTCAGCACAGCAACTCGAGGAATGCTCCGTGTACCCCAAATCATCTCGAGATGAGAGCTGATTCCCTGGCTTAAGCTCAAGACGTATGCCAACTTTCCAGAAGCACCTCAAGGGGAGACTGCTCTCAGCAATAGGTATGTTGGAGGGACCCCCAGTTTGCTGCCTGAAGTGGAATATGCAGCGAGAAGCCCTAACTTGAAAGGAGGCCGGGTTTCCTTGCAGTGTCTTGAATACAGGCTCGTCTTTCATCTCACAACCAGAAGGGATGTCTGAATCCCCTGTGGAGACCTTAGAGAAAGCCCTAGGTCCCTGCCTCATTTTGACGGAATGCCTCACATCCCGTTGACACTTCGAGAGGCACACGGAGTTCACTGCTTCAAAATGTGAAGATGCCTGACTCCTCCTGAACATTGATAGGAATCCCAAAATCACTGTGGCTACAGGAAAGTGTTCTTGTGTTCCCTGCCTCACCTCGAGAAGCATACCTTTTCCCCTGCCAAGCCTCGAAGAGATTCCTGAGGTGTCCCTCATTACTAGTCAGGAGTCCTGACGTCACTGAATAAACACGTGTTTTGACGGGCCATGCCCGCCATAACTCGAGAACATACCCCACGTCCCGCCGCAACTCGAGAAAAACCATGAGACTTCCCCTAGATGTGAGATGAGGCCTGATTCCCTGCAGTCCATGCAGAGCATTCCCGTCATCCCCATCAAGCAAGTCAGCAGGTTCGATTTGCTTAATGGATCTCGAGAGAGTCCCCAGGAACACTGTCACAAGTGTAGACGGACCCTGACGTAACCCCAGCAACGCAAAGCAGCTCCATGTGCCCCAAATAAACTCGAGATGATGCCAGATTCTCCGGCATTGACTCCAGAGCCATCCGCGTACCTCATTAAACACCAGCAGTGGCTTGACTTCCTTCTGGCAACTCAAGAGATGCCCCGAGAACACTGTCCCAAGTCTAGAGGAACACCAACTTCAGCACAGCAACTCGAGGAATGCTCCGTGTACCCCAAATCGTTTCGAGGTGAGAGCTGATTCCCTGGCTTAGGCTCAAGACGTATGCCAACTTTCCAGAAGCACCTCAAGAGGAGGCTTCTCTCAGCAATCGGTATGTGGGAGGGACCCCGAGTTTGCTGCCTCAAGTGGCATATACAGCGAGAAGCCCTAACTTGAAAGGAGGCCGGATTTCCTTGCAGTGTCTTGAATACAGGCTCGTCTTTCATCTCACACCCGGAAAGGATGCCTGAATCCCCTGTGGAGACCTTAGAGAAAGCCCTAGGTCTCTGCCTCATTTTGACGGAATGCCTCACATCCCGTTGACACCTCGAGAGGCACACGTAGTTCACTGCTTCAAAATGTGACGATGCCTGACTCCTCCTGAATTTTGATAGGAATCCCAAAATCCCTATGGCTATTGGAAAGGTTTCTTGGGTACCCTGCCTCACCTCGAGAAGCGTCCCTTGTGCCCTGCCAAGCCTCGAAGAGATTCCTGAGGTGTCTCTCGTTACTAGACAGGAGTCCTGACGTCACTGAATAAACACGTGTTTTGAAGGGCCATCCCCCCCATAACTCGAGAACATACCCCAGGTCCGGCCGCAACTCGAGCAAAACGAAGAGACTTCCCCTAGATGCGAGATGAGGTCTGATTCCCTGTAGTCCATGCAGAGCAGGCCCGTGATCCCCATCAAGCAAGACAGGAGCTTCGACTTGCTTAATGGATCTCGAGAGAGTCACCAGGAACACTGTCACAATTCTAGACAGACCCTGAGGTCACCCCATCAATGCAAAGCAGCACAATGTGCCCCAAATCAACTCGGGATGATGCCAGATTCCCCTGCTTTGACTCCAGAGCCATCCCCCGTTCCCCATTAAACACGACCAGTGGCTTGACTTCCTTCAGGCAAATCCAGAGATGCCCCAAAAACACTGTCCCAAGTCTAGAGGAACACCAACTTCAGCACAGCAACTCGAGGAATGCTCCGTGTACCCCAAATCGTCTCGAGATGAGAGCTGATTCCCTGGCTTAGGCTCAAGACGTATGTCAACTTTCCAGAAGCACCTCAAGGGGAGGCTTCTCTCAGCAATAGGTATGTTGGAGGGATCCCCAGTTTGCTGCCTCAAGGGGAATATACAGCGAGAAGCCCTAACTTGAAAGGAGGAGGTATTTCCTTGCAGTGTCTTGAATGCAGGCTCGTCTTTCATCTCACAACCGGAAGGGATGTCTGAATCCCCTGTGGAGACCTTAGAGAAAGCCCTAGGGCCCTTCCTCATTTTGAAGGAATGCCTCACATCCCGTTGACACATCGAGAGGCACACGGAGTTCACTGCTTCAAAATGTGACGATGCCTGACTCCTCTTGAACATTGATAGGAATCCCAAAATCACTGTGGCTACAGGAAAGGGTTCGTGGTGCCCTGCTTCACCTCGAGAAGCGTCCCTTGTGCACTGCCAAGCCTCAAAGAGATTCCTGAGGTGTCTCTCATTACTAGACAGGAGTCCTGACGTCACTGAATATACACGACTTTTGAAAGGCCATCCCCTCCGTAACCCGAGTACATACCCCAGGTCCCCGCCGCAACTCGAGAAAAACCTTGAGACTTCCATCTGGATGCGAGATGAGGCCCGATTCACCTGCAGTGCATGCAGAGCAATTCCGTGATCCCCATCAACCAAGTCAGGAGCTTCGATTTGCTTAATGGATCTCGAGACAGTACACAAGAACACTGTCACATGTCTAGACGGATCCTGAGGTCAACCCATCAACGCAAAGCAGCACCATGTGCCCCAAATCAACTCGAGATAATGCCCGATTCCCCTGCATTGACTCCAGAGCCATCCCCCGTTCCACATTAAACACCACCAGTGGCTTGACTTCCTTCAGACAATTGCAGAGATGCCCTTAGAACACTGTCCCAAGTCTAGAGGAACACCATCTTCAGCACAGCAACTCGAGGAATGCTCCGTGTACCCCAAATCATCTCGAGATGAGAGCTGATTCCCTGGCTTAGGCTCAAGACGTATGCCAACTTTCCAGAAGCACCTCAAGAGGAGGCTTCTCTCAGCAATCGGTATGTGGGAGGGACCCCGAGTTTGCTGCCTCAAGTGGCATATACAGCGAGAAGCCCTAACTTGAAAGGAGGCCGGATTTCCTTGCAGTGTCTTGAATACAGGCTCGTCTTTCATCTCACACCCGGAAAGGATGCCTGAATCCCCTGTGGAGACCTTAGAGAAAGCCCTAGGTCTCTGCCTCATTTTGACGGAATGCCTCACATCCCGTTGACACCTCGAGAGGCACACGTAGTTCACTGCTTCAAAATGTGACGATGCCTGACTCCTCCTGAATTTTGATAGGAATCCCAAAATCCCTATGGCTATTGGAAAGGTTTCTTGGGTACCCTGCCTCACCTCGAGAAGCGTCCCTTGTGCCCTGCCAAGCCTCGAAGAGATTCCTGAGGTGTCTCTCGTTACTAGACAGGAGTCCTGACGTCACTGAATAAACACGTGTTTTGAAGGGCCATCCCCCCCATAACTCGAGAACATACCCCAGGTCCGGCCGCAACTCGAGCAAAACGAAGAGACTTCCCCTAGATGCGAGATGAGGTCTGATTCCCTGCAGTCCATGCAGAGCAGGCCCGTGATCCCCATCAAGCAAGACAGGAGCTTCGACTTGCTTAATGGATCTCGAGAGAGTCACCAGGAACACTGTCACAATTCTAGACAGACCCTGAGGTCACCCCATCAATGCAAAGCAGCACAATGTGCCCCAAATCAACTCGGGATGATGCCAGATTCCCCTGCATTGACTCCGGAGCCATCCCCCGTTCCCCATTAAACACGACCAGTGGCTTGACTTCCTTCAGGAAACTCCAGAGATGCACCGAGAACACTGTCCCAAGTCTAGAGGAACACCAACTTCAGCACAGCAACTCGAGGAATGCTCCGTGTACCCCAAAACGTTTCGAGGTGAGAGCTGATTCCCTGGCTTAGGCTCAAGACGTATGCCAACTTTCCAGAAGCACCTCAAGAGGAGGCTTCTCTCAGCAATCGGTATGTGGGAGGGACCCCCAGTTTCCTGCCTCAAGTGGAATATACAACGAGAAGCCCTAACTTGAAAGGAGGCCGGATTTCCTTGCAGTGTCTTGAATACAGGCTCGTCTTTCATCTCACAACAGGAAGGGATGTCTGAATCCCCTGAGGAGACCTTAGAGAAAGCCCTAGGTCCCTGCCTCATTTTGACGGAATGTCTCACATCCCGTTGACACTTCGAGAGGCACACGGAGTTCACTGCTTCAAAATGTGACGATGCCTGACTCCTCTTGAACATTGATAGGACTCCCAAAATCACTGTAGCTACAGGACAGGGTTCTTGGGTGCCCTGCCTCACCTCGAGAAGCATCCCTTTTGCCTGCCAAGCCTCGAAGAGATTCCTGAGCTGTCCCTCGTTATTGGACAGGAGTCCTGTCGTCACTGAATAAACACGAGTTTTGAAGGGTCATCCCCGCCGTAACCGGAGTACATACCCTAGGTCCCCGCCGCAAGTCGAGAAAAACCATGAGACTTTCCCCTAGAGGCGAGATAAGGCCCGATTTTCCTGCAGTGCATGCAGAGCAATTCCGTGATCCCCATCAAACAAGTCAGGACCTTCGTCTTGCTTAATCGAACTCGAGAAAGTCCCCAGGAACACTGTGACAAGTCTAGACAGAACCTGAGGTCACCCCAGCAATGCAAAGCAGCTCCAAGTACCACACATCAACTCGAGATGAGGCCCGATTCCCCTGCAGTGACTCCAGAGCCATCCCCCGTACCCCATTAAACACCACCAGTGGCTTGACTTCCCTCAGGCAACTCCAGAGATTCCCTGAGAACACTGTCCCAAGTCTAGAGGAATACGAACTTCAGCACAGGAACGCGAGGAATGCTCCGTGTACCCCAAATCGTCTCGAGATGAGAGCTGATTCCCTGGCTTAGGCTAAAGACGTATGCCAACTTTCCAGAAGCACCTCAAGAGGAGGCTTCTCTCAGCAATAGGTATGTTGGAGGGACCCCCAGTTTGCTGCCTCAAGTGGAATATACCGCGAGAAGCCCTAACTTGAAAGGAGGCCGGATTTCCTTGCAGTGTCTTCAATACAGGCTCGTCTTTCATTTCACAACCGGAAAGGATGCCTGAATCCCCTGTGGTGACCTTAGAGAAAGCCCTAGGTCTCTGCCTCATTTTGACGGAATGCCTCATATCCCGTTGACATGTCGAGAGGCACACGGAGTTCACTGCTTCAAAATGTGACGATGCCTGACTCCTCCTGAATTTTGATAGGAATCCCAAAATCACTGTGGCTACAGGAAAGGATTCTTGGGTGCCCTGCCTCACCTCGGGAAGCATCCCTTTTGCCCTGCCAAGCTTCGAAGAGATTCCTGAGGTGTCTCTCGTTACTAGACAGGAGTCCTGACGTCACTGAATAAACACGTGTTTTGAAGGGCCATCCCCGCCATAACTCGAGAACATACACCAGGTCCGGCCGCAACTCGAGCAAAACGAAGAGACTTCCCCTAGATGCGAGATGAGGTCTCTTTCCCTGCAGTCCATGCAGAGCAATCCCGTGATCCCCATCAAGCAAGTCAGGAGCTTCGACTTGCTTAATGGATCTCGAGAGAGTCCCCAGGAACACTGTCACAAGTCTAGACAGACCCTGAGGTCACCCCAGCAATGCAAAGCAGCACAATGTGCCCCAAATCAACTCGGGATGATGCCATATTCCCCTGCATTGACTCCGGAGCCATCCCCCGTTCCCCATTAAACACGACCAGTGGCTTGACTTCCTTCAGGCAACTCCAGAGATGCCCCGAGAACACTGTCCCAAGTCTAGAGGAACACCAACTTCAGCACAGCAACTCGAGGAATGCTCCGTGTACCCCAAATCGTTTCGAGGTGAGAGCTGATTCCCTGGCTTAGGCTCAAGACGTATGCCAACTTTCCAGAAGCACCTCAAGAGGAGGCTTCTCTCAGCAATAGGTATGTTCATGGGACCCCGAGTTTGCTGCCTCAAGTGGAATATACAGCGAGAAGCCCTAACTTGAAAGGAGGCCGGATTTCCTTGCAGTGTCTTGAATACAGGCTCGTCTTTCATCTCACAACAGGAAGGGATGTCTGAATCCCCTGAGGAGACCATAGAGAAAGCCGTAGGTCCCTGCCTCATTTTGACGGAATGCCTCACATCCCGTTGACACCTCGAGAGGCACACGAAGTTCACTGCTTCAAAATGTGACGATGCCTGACTCCTCTTGAACATTGATAGGAATCACAAAATCACTGTAGCTACAGGACAGGGTTCTTGGGTGCCCTGCCTCACCTCGAGAAGCATCCCTTTTGCCTGCCAAGCCTCGAAGAGATTCCTGAGGTGTCTCTCGTTACTAGACAGGAGTCCTGACGTCACTGAATAAACACGTGTTTTGAAGGGCCATCCCCGCCATAACTCGAGAACATACCCCAGGTCCTGCCGCAACTCGAGAAAAACCATGAGACTTCCCCTAGATGCGAGATGAGGCCTGATTCCCTGCTGTCCATGCAGAGCATTCCCGTGATCCCGATCAAGCAAGTCAGGAGCTTAGACTTGCTTAATCGAACTCGAGAAAGTACCCAGGAACTCTGTCACAAGTCTAGACAGACCCTGAGGTCACCCCGGCAATGCAAAGCAGCTCCAAGTGCCCCACATCAACTCGAGATGAGGCCCGATTCTCCGGCATTGACTCCAGAGCCATCCCCCGTTCCACATTAAACACCACCAGTGGCTTGACTTCCTTCTGGTAACTCCAGAGATGCTCCGAGAACACTGTCCCAAGTCTAGACGGATCCTGAGGTCACACCTTCAAAGCAAAGCAGCACCATGTGCCCCAAATCAACTCGAGATAATGCCCGATTCCCCTGCATTGACTCCAGAGCCATCCCCCGTTCCACATTAAACACCACCAGTGGCTTGACTTCCTTCAGATAACTGCAGAGATACCCTGAGAACACTGTCCCAAGTCTAGAGGAACACCATCTTCAGCACAGCAACTCGAGGAATGCTCCGTGTACCCCAAATCATCTCCAGATGAGAGCTGATTCCCTGGCTTAAGCTCAAGACGTATGCCAACTTTCCAGAAGCACCACAAAGGGAGTCTGCTCTCAGCAATAGGTATGTTGGAGGGACCCCCAGTTTGCTGCCTAAAGTGGAAAATACAGCGAGAAGCCCTAACTTGAAAGGAGGCCGGGTTTCCATGCAGTGTCTTGAATACAGGCTTGTCTTTCATCTCACAACCAGAAGGAATGTCTGAATCCCCTGTGGAGACCTAGGAGAAAGCCCTAGGTCCCTGCCTCATTTTGACGGAATGCCTCACATCCCGTTGACACTTCGAGAGGCACACGGAGTTCAATGCTTCAAAATGTGAAGATGCCTGACTCCTCCTGAACATTGATAGGAATCCCAAAATCACTGTGGCTACAGGAAAGGGTTCTTGTGTGCCGTGCCTCACCTCGAGAAGCATACCTTTTCCCCTGCCAAGCCTCGAAGAGATTCCTGAGGTGTCCCTCATTACTAGTCAGGAGTCCTGACGTCACTGAATAAACACGTGTTTTGAAGGGCCATGCCCGCCATAACTCGAGAACATACCCCACGTCCCGCCGCAACTCGAGAAAAACCATGAGACTTCCCCTAGATGTGAGATGAGGCCTGATTCCCTGCAGTCCATGCAGAGCATTCCCGTGATCCCTATCAAGCAAGTCAGCAGGTTCGATTTGCTTAATGGATCTCGAGAGAGTCCCCAGGAACACTGTCACAAGTGTAGACGGACCCTGACGTCACCCCAGCAACGCAAAGCAGCTCCATGTGCCCCAAATAAACTCGAGATGATGCCAGATTCTCCGGCATTGACTCCAGAGCCATCCCCCGTACCTCATTAAACACCACCAGTGGCTTGACTTCCTTCTGGTAACTCCAGAGATGCCCCGAGAACACTGTCCCAAGTCTAGAGGAACACCAACTTCAGCACAGCAACTCGAGGAATGCTCCGTGTACCCCATATCGTTTCGAGGTGAGAGCTGATTCCCTGGCTTAGGCTCAAGACGTATGCCAACTTTCCAGAAGCACCTCAAGAGGAGGCTTCTCTCAGCAATCGGTATGTGGGAGGGACCCCGAGTTTGCTGCCTCAAGTGGATTATACAGCGAGAAGACCTAACTTGAAAGGAGGCCGGATTACCTTGCAGTGTCTTGAATACAGGCTCGTCTTTCATCTCACAACAGGAAAGGATGTCTGAATCCCCTGTGGAGACCTTAGAGAAAGCCCTAGGTCCCTGCCTTATTTTGACGGAATGCCTCACATCCCGTTGACACCACGAGAGGCACGCGGAGTTCAGTGCTTCAAAAGGTGACGATGCCTGACTCCTCTTGAATATTAATAGGAATCCCAAAATCCCTGTGGCTATTGGAAAGGTTCCTTGTGTGCCCTGCCTCACCTCGAGAAGCGTCCCTTGTGCCCTGCCAAGCCTCGAAGAGATTCCTGAGCTGTCCCTCGTTACTAGACAGGAGTCCTGACGTCATTGAATAAACACGTGTTTTGAAGGGCCATCCCCGCCATAACTCGAGAACATACCCCAGGTCCCGCCACAACTCGAGAAAAACCATGAGACTTCCCCTAGATGCGAGATGAGGCCTTATTCCCTGCAGTCCATGCAGAGCATTCCCGTGATCCCCATCAAGCAAGTCAGGAGCTTCGATTTGCTTAATCGAACTCGCGAAAGTCCCCAGGAACACTGTCACAAGTCTAGACAGACCCTGAGGTCATCCCAGCAATGCAAGGCAGCTCGAAGTCCCCCACATCAACACGAGATGAGGCCCGATTCCCCTGCATTGACTCCAGAGCCATCCCCCGTACCCCATCAAACACCACGAGTGGCTTGACTTCCTTCATGCAACTCCAGAGTTGCCCCGAGAACACTGTCCGAAGTCTAGAGGAATACGAACTTAAGCACAGCAACTCCAGGAATGCTCCGTGTACCCCAAATCGTCTCGAGATGAGAGCTGATACCCTGGGTTAGGCTCAAGACATATGCCAACTTTCCAGAATCACCTCAAGAGGAGGCTTCTCTCAGCAATAGGTATGTTGGAGGGACCCCCAATTTGCTGCCTCAAGTGGAATATACAGCGAGAAGCCCTAACTTGAAAGGAGGCCGGATTTCCTTGCAGTGTCTTGAATAAAGGCTCGTCTTTCATCTCACACCCAGAAAGGATGCCTGAATCCCCTGTGGAGACCTTAGATAAAGCCCTAGGTCTCTGCCTCATTTTGACGGAATGCCTCACATCCCGTTGACAACTCGAGAGGCACACGGAGTTCACTGCTTCAAAATTTGACGATGCCAAACTCCTCCTGAATTTTGATAGGAATCCCAAAATCACTGTGGCTACAGGAAAGGGTTCTTGGGTGCCCTGCCTCACTTCGGGAAGCATCCCTTTTGCCCTGCCAAGCTTCGAAGAGATTCCTGAGATGTCTCTCGTTACTAGACAGGAGTCCTGACGTCACTGAATAAACACGAGTTTTGAAGGGTCATCCCTGCCGTAACCGGACTACATACCCTAGGTCCCCGCCGCAAGTTGAGAAAAACCATGAGACTTTCCCCTATAGGCGAGATGAGGCCCGATTTTCCTGCAGTGCATGCAGAGCAATTCCGTGATCCCCATCAAACAAGTCAGGACCTTCGACTTGCTTAATGGATCTCGAGAGAGTCCCCAAGAATACAGTCACATGTCTAGACGGATCCTGAGGTCACCCCATCAATGCAAAGCAGCACAATGTGCCCCAAATCAACTCGGGATGATGCCAGATTCCCCTGCATTGACTCTAGAGCCATCCCCAGTTCCCCATTAAACAAGACCACTGGATTGACTTCCTTCAGGCAACTCCAGAGATGCCCGGAGAACACTGTCCCAAGACTAGAGGAACACGAACTTCAGCACAGCAACTCGAGGAATGCTCCGTGTACCACGAATCATCTCGAGATGAGAGCTGAATCCCTGGCTTAGGCTCAAGACGTATGCCAACTTTCCAGAAGCACCTCAAGAGGAGGCTTCTCTCAGCAATAGGTATGTGGGAGAGACCCCGAGTTTGCTGCCTCAAGTGGAATATACAGCGAGAAGCCCTAACTTGAAAGGAGGCCGGTTTTCCTTGCAGTGGCTTGAATACAGGCTCGTCTTCCATCTCACAGCATGAAGGGATGTCTGAATCCCCTGTGGAGACCTTAGAGAAAGCTCTAGGTCCCTGCCTCATTTTGACGGAATGCCTCACATCCCGTTGTCACCTCGAGAGGCACGCGGAGTTCACTGCTTCAAAAGGTGACGATGCCTGACTCCTCTTGAATATTGACAGGAATCCCCAAATCCCTGTGGCTATTGGAAAGGTTCCTTGGGTGCCCTGCCTCACCTCGAGAAGCGTCCCTTGTGCCCTGCCAAGCCTCGAAGAGATTCCTGAGCTGTCCCTCGTTATTGGACAGGAGTCCTGACGTCACTGAATAAACACGAGTTTTGAAGGGTCATCCCCGCCATAACCGGAGTACATACCCTAGGTCCCCGCCACAAGTCGAGAAAAACCATGAGACTTTCCCCTATAGGCGAGATGAGGCCCGATTTTACTGCAGTGCATGCAGAGCAATTCCGTGATCCCCATCAAACAAGTCAGGACATTCGACTTGCTTAATGGATCTCGAGACAGTCCCCAAGAATACTATCACATGTCTAGACGGATCCTGAGGTCACCCCATCAACGCAAAGCAGCACAATGTGCCCCAAATCAACTCGGGATGATGCCAGATTCCCCTGCATTGACTCCAGAGCCATCCCCTCGTTCCCCATTAAACACGACCAGTGGCTTGACTTCCTTCAGGCAACTCAAGAGATGCCCCGAGAACACTGTCCCAAGTCTAGATTAACACCAACTTCAGCACAGCAACTCGAGGTATGCTCCATGTACCCCAATCGTCTCGAGATGAGAGCTGATTCCCTGGCTTAGGCTCAAGACGTATGCCAACTTTCCAGAAGCACCTCAAGGGGAGGCTTCTCTCAGCAATAGGTATGTTGGAGGGAGCCCCAGTTTGCTGCCTCAAGTGGAATATACAGCGAGAAGCCCTAACTTGAAAGGAGGCCGGATTTCCTTGCAGTGTCTTGAATACAGGCTCGTCTTTCATCTCACAACCGGAAGGAATGCCTGAATCCCCTGTGGAGACATTAGAGAAAGCCCTAGGTCCCTGCCTCATTTTGACGGAATGCCTCACATCCCGTTGACACTTCGAGAGGCACACGGAGTTCACTGCTTCAAAATGTGACGATGCCTGTCTACTCCTGAACATTGATAGGAATCCCAAAATCACTGTGGCTACAGGAAAGGGTTTCTTGGTTGCCCTGCCTCACTTCGAGAAGCATCCCTTTTGCCCTGCCAAGCCTCGAAGAGATTCCTGAGGTGTCTCTCGTTACTAGACAGGAGTCCTGACGTCACTGAATAAACACGTGTTTTGAAGGGCCATCCCCGCCATAACTCGAGAACATACCCCAGGTCCCGCCGAAATTCGAGCAAAACGATGAGACTTCCCCTAGATGCGAGATGAGGTCTGATTCCCTGCAGTCCATGCACAGCAGTCCTCTGATCCCCATCAAGCAAGTCAGGAGCTTCGACTTGCTTAATGGATCTCGAGAGAGTCCCCAGGAACACTGTCACAAGTCTAGACAGACCCTGAGGTCACCCCAGTAATGCAAAGCAGCTCCAAGGGCCCCACATCAACTCGAGATGAGGCCCGATTCCCTGCATTGACTCCAGAGCTATCCCCCGTACCCCATTAAACACCACCAGTGGCTTGACTTCCTTCAGGCAACTCCAGAGATGCCCCGAGAACACTGTCCCAAGTCTAGAGGAACACCAACTTCAGCACAGCAACTCGAGGAATGCTCCGTGTACCCCAAATCGTTTCGAGGTGAGAGCTGATTCCGTGGCTTAGGATCAAGACGTATGCCAACTTTCCAGAAGCACCTCAAGAGGAGGCTTCTCTCAGCAATCGGTATGTGGGAGGGTCCCCGAGTTTGCTGCCTCAAGTGGAATATACAGCGAGAAGCCTTAACTTGAAAGGAGGCTGGATTTCCTTGCAGTGTCTTGAATACAGGCTCGTCTTTCATCTCACAAGAGGAAGGGATGTCTGAATCACCTGTGGAGACCTTAGAGAAAGCCCTAGGTCCCTGCCTTATTTTGAAGGAATGCCTCACATCCCGTTGACACATCAAAAGGCACACGGAGTTCACTGCTTCAAAATGTGACGATGCCTGACTCCTATTGAACATTGATAGGAGTCCCAAAATTACTCTGGCTACAGGAAAGGGTTCTTGGTGCCATGCCTCACCTCGAGAAGCATCCCTTTTGCCCTGCCAAGCCTCGAAGATTCCTGAGGTGTCTCTCATTACTAGACAGGAGTCCTGACATCACTGAATAAACACGTGTTTTGAAGGGCCATCCCCGCCATAACTCGAGAACATACCCCAGGTCCAGCCGCAACTCGAGCAAAAAGATGAGACTTCCCCTAGATTCGAGATGAGGTCTGATTCCCTGCAGTCCATGCAGAGCATTCCCGAGATCCCCATCAAGCAAGTCAGGAGCGTCGACTGGCTTAATGGATCTCGATAGAGTCCCCAGGAACACTGTCACAAGTCAAGACTGACCCTGAGGTCACCGCAGCAATGCAAAGCAGCTCCAAGTGCCCCCCATCAACTCGAGATGAGGCCCGATTCTCCGGCATTGACTCCAGAGCCATCCCCCGTACCCCATTAAACACCACCAGTGGCTTGACTTCCTTCAGGAAACTCCAGAGATGCCCTGAGAACACTGTCCCAAGTCTAGAGGAATACGAACTTCAGCACAGCAACTCGAGGAATGCTCCGTGTACCCCAAATCGTTTCGAGGTGAGAGCTGATTCCCTGGCTTAGGCTCAAGACGTATGCCAAATTTCCTGAAGCACCTCAAGAGGAGGCTTCTCTCAGCAATAGGTATTTGGGAGGGACCCCGAGTTTGCTGCCTCAAGTGGAATATACAGCGAGAAGCCCTAACTTGAAAGGAAGACGGATTTTCTTGCAGTGGCTTGAATACAGGCTCGTCTTTCATCTCACAGCATGAAGGGATGTCTGAGTCCCCTGTGGAGACCTTAGAGAAAGTTCTAGGTCCCTGCCTCATTTTGACGGAATGCCTCACATCCCGTTGTCACCTCGAGAGGCACGCGGAGTTCAGTGCTTCAAAAGGTGACGATGCCTGACTCCTCTTGAATATTGATAGGAATCCCAAAATCCCTGTGGCTATTGGAAAGGTTCCTTGGGTGCCCTGCTTCACCTCGAGAAGCGTCCCTTGTGCTCTGCCAAGCCTCGAAGAGATTCCTGAGCTGTCCCTCGTTACTGGACAGGAGTCCTGACGTCACTGAATATACACGAGTTTTGAAGGGCCATCCCCGCCGTAACCCGAGTACATACCCCAGGTCCCCGCCACAACTCGAAAAAAACCTTGAGACTTCCTTCTGGATGCGAGATGAGGCCCGATTCACCTGCAGTGCATGCAAAGCAATTCCGTGATCCCCATCAAACAAGTCAGGACTTTTGACTTGCTTAATGGATCTCGAGAGAGTCCCCAAGAATACAGTCACATGTCTAGACGGATCATGAAGTCACCCCATCAATGCAAAGCAGCACAATGTGCCCCAAATCAACTCGGGATGATGCCAGATTCCCCTGCATTGACTCCAGAGCCATCCCCAGTTCCCCATTAAACAAGACCACTGGATTGACTTCCTTCAGGCAACTCCAGAGATGCCCGGAGAACACTGTCCCAAGACTAGAGGAACACGAATTCAGCACAGCAACTCGAGGAATGCTCCGTGTACCACGAAACATCTCGAGATGAGAGCTGAATCCCTGGCTTAGGCTCAAGACGTATGCCAACTTTCCAGAAGCACCTCAAGAGGAGGCTTCTCTCAGCAATAGGTATGTTCGTGGGACCCCGAGTTTGCTGCCTCAAGTGGAATATACAGCGAGAAGCCCTAACTTGAAAGGAGGCCGGATTTCCTGCAGTGTCTTGAATACAGGCTCGTCTTTCATCTCACAGCATGAAGGGATGTCTGAATCCCCTGTGGAGACTTAGAGAAAGCCCTAGGTCCCTGCCTCATTTTGACAGAATGCCTCACATCCCGTTGTCACCTCGAGAGGCACGCGGAGTTCACTGCTTCAAAAGTTGACGATGCCTGACTCCTCTTGAATATTGATAGGAATCTCCAAATCCCTGTGGCTAATGGAAAGGTTCCTTGGGTGCCCTGCCTCACCTCGAGGAGCGTCCCTTGTGCCCTGCAAGCCTCGAAGAGATTCCTGAGCTGTCCCTCTTTACTGGACAGGAGTCCTGACGTCACTGAATAAACACGAGTTTTGAAGGTCCATCCCCGCCATAACCCGTGTACATACCCCAGGTCCCCACCGCAAGTCGAGAAAAACCACGAGACTTTCCCCTAGAGGCGAGATGAGGCCCGATTCTCCTGCATTGCATGCAGAGCAATTCCGTGATCCCCATCAAACAAGTCAGGACCTTCGACTTGCTTAATGGATCTCGAGACAGTCCCCAAGAATACTGTCACATGTCTAGACGGATCCTGAGGTCACCCCATCAACGCAAAGCAGCACAATGTGCCCCAAATCAACGCGGGATGATGCCAGATTCCCCTGCATTGACTCCAGAGCCATCCCCTCGTTCCCCATTAAACACGACCAGTGGCTTGACTTCATTCAGGCAACTCCAGAGATGCCCCGAGAACACTGTCCGAAGTCTAGATTAACACCAACTTCAGCACAGCAACTCGAGGTATGCTCCATGTACCCCAAATCGTCTCAAGATGAGAGCTGATTCCCTGGCTTAGGCTCAAGACGTATGCCAACTTTCCAGAAGCACCTCAAGGGGAGGCTTCTCTCAGCAATAGGTATGTTGGAGGGACCCCAGTTTGCTGCCTCAAGTGGAATATACAGCGAGAAGCCCTAACTTGAAAGGAGGCCGGATTTCCTTGCAGTGTCTTGAATACAGGCTCGTCTTTCATCTCACAACCGGAAGGGATGTCTGAATCCCCTGTGGAGACCTTAGAGAAAGCCCTAGGTCCCTGCCTCATTTTGACGGAATGCCTCACATCCCGTTGACACCTCGAGAGGCACGCGTAGTTCACTGCTTCAAAAGGTGACAATGCCTGACTCCTCTGGAATATTTATTGGAATCCCAAAATCCCTATGGCTATTGGAAGGGTTCCTTGGGTGCCCTGCCTCACCTCGAGAAGCGTCCCTTGTGCCCTGCCAAGCCTCGAAGAGATTCCTGAGGTGTCTCTCGTTACTAGAGAGGAGTCCTGACCTCACTGAATAAACACGTGTTTTGAAGGGCCATCCCCACCATAACTCGAGAACATACCCCAGGTCTCGCCGCAACTCGAGAAAAACCATGAGACTTCCCCTAGATGAGAGATGAGGCCTTATTCCCTGCAGTCCATGCAGAGCATTCCCGTGATCCCCATCAAGCAAGTCAGGAGCTTCGACTTGCTTAATGGATCTCGAGAGAGTCCCCAGGAACACTGTCACAAGTCTAGACAGACCCTGAGGTCACCGCAGCAATGCAAATCAGATCCATGTGCCCCACATCAACTCGAGATGAGGCCCGATTCTCCGGTATTGACTCCAGAGCCATTCCCCATACCCCTTAAACACCACCAGTGGCTTGACTTCCTTCAGGCAACTCCAGAGATGCCCCGAGAACACTGTCCCAAGTCTAGAGGAACACCAACTTCAGCACAGCAACTCGAGGAATGCTCTGTGTACCCCAAATCGTTTCGAGGTGGGAGCTGATTCCCTGGCTTAGGCTCAAGACATATGCCAACTTTCCAGAAGCACCTCCAGAGGAGGCTTCTCTCAGCAATAGGTATGTTCGTGGGACCCCGAGTTTGCTGCCTCAAGTGGAATATACAGCGAGAAGCCTTAACTTGAAAGGAGGCCGGTTTTCCTTGCAGTGGCTTGAATACAGGCTCGTCTTCCATCTCACAGCATGAAGGGATGTCTGAATCCCCTGTGGAGACCTTAGAGAAAGCTCTAGGTCCCTGCCTCATTTTGACGGAATGCCTCACATCCCGTTGTCACCTCGAGAGGCACGCGGAGTTCACTGCTTCAAAAGGTGACGATGCCTGACTCCTCTTGAATATTGACAGGAATCCCAAAATCCCTGTTCCTTGGGTGCCCTGCCTCACCTCGAGAAGCGTCCCTTGTGCCCTGCCAAGCCTCGAAGAGATTCCTGAGGTGTCTCTCGTTACTAGAGAGGAGTCCTGACCTCACTGAATAAACACGTGTTTTGAAGGGCCATCCCCACCATAACTCGAGAACATACCCCAGGTCTCGCCGCAACTCGAGAAAAACCATGAGACTTCCCCTAGATGAGAGATGAGGCCTTATTCCCTGCAGTCCATGCAGAGCATTCCCGTGATCCCCATCAAGCAAGTCAGGAGCTTCGACTTGTTTAATCGAACTCGCGAATGTCCCCAGGAACACTGTCAAAAGTCTAGACAGAACCTGAGGTCACCCCAGCAATGCAAAGCAGCTCCAAGTACCACACATCAACTCGAGATGAGGCCCGATTCCCCTGCATTGTCTCCAGAGCCATCCCCCGTACCCCATTAAACACCACCAGTGGCTTGACTTCCTTCAGGCAACTCCAGAGATGCCCTGAGAACACTGTCCCAAGTCTAGAGGAATACGAACTTCAGCACAGCAACTCGAAGAATGCTCCGTGTACCCCAAATCGTCTCGAGATGAGAGCTGATTCCCTGGCTTAGGCTCAAGACGTATGCCAACTTTCCAGAAGCACCTCAAGAGGAGGCTTCTCTCAGCAATAGGTATGTTGGAGGGACCCCCAGTTTGCTGCCTCAAGTGGAATATACAGCGAGAAGCCCTAACTTGAAAGGAGGCCGGATTTCCTTGCAGTGTCTTGAATACAGGCTCGTCTTTCATCTCACACGCGGAAAGGATGCCTGAATCCCCTGTGGAGACCTTAGATAAAGCCCTAGATCTCTGCCTCATTTTGACGGAATGCCTCACATCCCGTTGACAACTCAAGAGGCACACGGAGTTCACTGCTTCAAAATTTGACGATGCCTGACTCCTCCTGAATTTTGATAGGAATCCCAAAATCACTGTGGCTACAGGAAAGGGTTCTTGGGTGCCCTGCCTCACTTCGGGAAGCATCCCTTTTGCCCTGCCAAGCTTCGAAGAGATTCCTGAGGTGTCTCTCGTTACTAGACAGGAGTCCTGACGTCACTGAATAAACACGTGTTTTGAAGGGCCATCCCCGCCATAACTCGAGAACATACCCCAGGTCCGGCCGCAACTCGAGCAAAACGAAGAGACTTCCCCTAGATGAGAGATGAGGTCTGATTCCCTGCAGTCCATGCAGAGCAGGCCCGTGATCCCCATCAAGCAAGTCAGGAGCTTCGACTTGCTTAATGGATCTCGAGAGAGTCACCAGGAACACTGTCACAAGTCTAGACAGACCCTGAGGTCACCGCAGCAATGCAAAGCAGCTCCATGTGCCCCACATAAACTCGAGATGAGGCCCGATTCTCCGGCATTGACTCCAGAGCCATTCCCCATACCCCATTAAACACCACCAGTGGCTTGACTTCCTTCAGGCAACTCCAGAGATGCCCCGAGAACACTGTCCCAAGTCTAGAGGAACACCAACTTCAGCACAGCAACTCGAGGAAAGCTCCGTGTACCCCAAATCGTTTCGAGGTGAGAGCTCATTCCCTGGCTTAGGCTCAAGACATATGCCAACTTTCAGAAGCAACTCCAGAGGAGGCTTCTCTCAGCAATAGGTATGTTCGTGGGACCCCGAGTTTGCTGCCTCAAGTGGAATATACAGCGAGAAGCCTTAACTTGAAAGGAGGCCGGTTTTCCTTGCAGTGGCTTGAATACAGGCTCGTCTTTCATCTCACAGCATGAAGGGATGTCTGAACCTCTGTGGAGACGTTAGAGAAAGCTCTAGGTCCCTGCCTCATTTTGACGGAATGCCTCACATCCCGTTGTCACCTCGAGAGGCACGCGGAGTTCACTGCTTCAAAAGGTAACGATGCCTGACTCCTCTTGAATATTGACAGGAATCCCAAAATCCCTGTGGCTATTGGAAAGGTTCCTTGGGTGCCCTGCCTCACTTCGAGAAGCGTCCCTTGTGCCCTGCCAAGCCTCGAAGAGATTCCTGAGCTGTCCCTCGTTATTGGATAGGAGTCCTGACGTCACTGAATAAACACGAGTTTTGAAGGTTCATCCCTGCCGTAAACGGACTACATACCCTAGGTCCCCGCCACAAGTCGAGAAAAACCATGAGACTTTCCCCTATAGGCGAGATGAGGCCCGATTTTCCTGCAGTGCATGCAGAGCAATTCCGTGATCCCCATCAAACAAGTCAGGACTTTCGACTTGCTTAATGGATCTCGAGAGAGTCCCCAAGAATACAGTCACATGTCTAGACGGATCCTCAAGTCACCCCATCAATGCAAAGCAGCACAATGTGCCCCAAATCAACTCGGGATGATGCCAGATTCCCCTGCAATGACTCCAGAGCCATCCCCAGTTCCCCATTAAACAAGACCACTGGATTGACTTCCTTCAGGCAACTCCAGAGATGCCCGGAGAACACTGTCCCAAGACTAGAGGAACACGAACTTCAGCACAGCAACTTGAGGAATGCTCCGTGTACCTCGAAACATCTCGAGATGAGAGCTGAATCCCTGGCTTAGGCTCAAGACGTATGCCAACTTTCCAGAAGCACCTCAAGAGGAGGCTTCTCTCAGCAATAGGTATGTTCGTGGGACCCCGAGTTTGCTGCCTCAAGTGGAATATACAGCGAGAAGCCATAACTTGAAAGGAGGCCGGATTTCCTTGCAGTGGCTTGAATACAGGCTCGTCTTTCATCTCACAGCATGAAGGGATGTCTGAATCCCCTGTGGAGACTTAGAGAAAGCCCTAGGTCCCTGCCTCATTTTGACAGAATGCCTCACATCCCGTTGTCACCTCGAGAGGCACGCGGAGTTCACTGCTTCAAAAGTTGACGATGCCTGACTCCTCTTGAATATTGATAGGAATCTCCAAATCCCTGTGGCTAATGGAAAGGTTCCTTGGGTGCCCTGCCTCACCTCGAGGAGCGTCCCTTGTGCCCTGCAAGCCTCGAAGAGATTCCTGAGCTGTCCCTCTTTACTGGACAGGAGTCCTGACGTCACTGAATAAACACGAGTTTTGAAGGTCCATCCCCGCCATAACCCGTGTACATACCCCAGGTCCCCACCGCAAGTCGAGAAAAACCATGAGACTTTCCCCTAGAGGCGAGATGAGGCCCGATTCTCCTGCAGTGCATGCAGAGCAATTCCGTGATCCCCATCAAACAAGTCAAGACCTTCGACTTGCTTAATGGATCTCGAGACAGGCCCCAAGAATACTGTCACAGGTCTAGACGGATCCTGAGGTCACCCCATCAACGCAAAGCAGCACAATGTGCCCCAAATCAACGCGGGATGATGCCAGATTCCCCTGCATTGACTCCAGAGCCATCACCTCGTTCCCCATTAAACACGACCAGTGGCTTGACTTCATTCAGGCAACTCCAGAGATGCCCCGAGAACACTGTCCCAAGTCTAGATTAACACCAACTTCAGCACAGCAACTCGAGGTATGCTCCATGTACCCCAAATCGTCTCGAGATGAGAGCTGATTCCCTGGCTTAGGCTCAAGATGTATGCCAACTTTCCAGAAGCACCTCAAGGGGAGGCTTCTCTCAGCAATAGGTATGTTGGAGGGACCCCCAGTTTGCTGCCTCAAGTGGAATATACAGCGAGAAGCCCTAACTTGAAAGGAGGCCGGATTTCCTTGCAGTGTCTTGAATACAGGCTCGTCTTTCATCTCACAACCGGAAGGGATGTCTGAATCCCCTGTGGAGACCTTAGAGAAAGCCCTAGGTCCCTGCCTCATTTTGACGGAATGCCTCACATCCCGTTGACACCTCGAGAGGCACACGGAGTTCACTGCTTCAAAATGTGACGATGCCTGTCTACTCCTGAACATTGATAGGAATCCCAAAATCACTGTGGCTACAGGAAAGGGTTTCTTGGGTGCCCTGCCTCACTTCGAGAAGCATTCCTTTTGCCCTGCCAAGCCTCGAAGAGATTCCTGAGGTGTCTCTCGTTACTAGACAGGAGTCCTGACCTCACTGAATAAACACGTGTTTTGAATGGCCATCCCCGCCATAACTCGAGAACATACCCCAGGTCCCGGCGCAACTCGAGCAAAAAGATGAGACTTCCCCTAGATGCGAGATGAGGTCTGATTCAGTGCAGTCCATGCAGAGCAGTCCCGTGATCACCATCAAGCAAGTTAGGAGCTTCGACTGGCTTAATGGATCTCGAGAGAGTCCCCAGTAACACTGTCACAAGTCTAGACAGACCCTGAGGTCACCCCAGCAATGCAAAGCAGCTTCAAGTGCCCCACATCAACTCGAGATGAGGCCCGATTCTCCGGCATTGACTCCAGAGCCATCCCCCGTACCCCATTAAACACCACCAGTGGCTTGACTTCCTTCAGGCAACTCCAGAGATGCCCTGAGAACACTGTCCCAAGTCTAGAGGAATACGAACTTCAGCACAGCAACTCGAGGAATGCTCCGTGTACACCAAATCGTTTCGAGGTGAGAGCTGATTCCCTGGCTTAGGCTCAAGACGTATGCCAACTTTCCAGAAGCACCTCAAGAGGAGGCTTCTCTCAGCAATCGGTATGTGGGAGGGACCCCGAGTTTGCTGCCTCAAGTGGATTATACAGCGAGAAGACCTAACTTGAAAGGAGGCCGGATTTCCTTGCAGTGTCTTGAATACAGGCTCGTCTTTCATCTCACAACAGGAAGGGATGTCTGAATCCCCTGTGGAGACCTTAGAGAAAGCCCTAGGTCCCTGCCTTATTTTGACGGAATGCCTCACATCCCGTTGACACCACGAGAGGCACACGGAGTTCACTGCTTCAAAAGGTGACGATGCCTGACTCCTCTTGAATATTGATAGGAATCCCAAAATCCCTGTGGCTATTGGAAAGGTTCCTTGGGTGCCCTGCCTCACCTCGAGAAGCGTCCCTTGTGCCCTGCCAAGCCTCGAAGAGATTCCTGAGCTGTCCCTCGTTACTAGACAGGAGTCCTGACGTCATTGAATAAACACGTGTTTTGAAGGGCCATCCCCGCCATAACTCGAGAACATACCCCAGGTCCCGCCGCAACTCGAGAAAAACCATGAGACTTCCCCTAGATGCGAGATGAGGCCTTATTCCCTGCAGTCCATGCAGAGCATTCCCGTGATCCCCATCAAGCAAGTCAGGAGCTTCGACTTGCTTAATCGAACTCGCGAAAGTCCCCAGGAACACTTTCACAAGTCTAGACAGACCCTGAGGTCATCCCAGCAATGCAAAGCAGCTCGAAGTCCCCCACATCAACACGAGATGAGGCCCGATTCCCCTGCATTGACTCCAGAGCCATCCCCCGTTCCCCATTAAACACCACGAGTGGCTTGACTTCCTTCATGCAACTCCAGAGTTGCCCCGAGAACACTGTCCCAAGTCTAGAGGAATACGAACTTAAGCACAGCAACTCCAGGAATGCTCCGTGTACCCCAAATCTTCTCGAGATGAGAGCTGATACCCTGGCTTAGGCTCAAGACGTATGCCAACTTTCCAGAAGCACCACAAGAGGACGCTTCTCTCAGCAATAGGTTTGTTCGTGGGACCCCGAGTTTGCTGCCTCAAGTGGAATATACAGCGAGAAGCCCTAACTTGAAAGGAGGCCGGATTTCCTTGCAGTGTCTTTTATACAGGCTCGTCTTTCATCTCACAACAGGAAGGGGATGTCTGAATCCCCTGTGAAGACCTTAGAGAAAGCCCTAGGTCCCTGCCTCATTTGGACGGAATGCCTCACATCCTGTTGTCACCTCGAGAGGCACGCGGAGTTCACTGCTTCAAAAGGTGACGATGCCTGACTCCTCTTGAATATTTATTGGAATCCCAAAATCCCTATGGCTATTGGAAAGGTTCCTTGGGTGCCCTGCCTCACCTCGAGAAGCGTCCCTTGTGCCCTGCCAAGCCTCGAAGAGATTCCTGTGGTGTCTCTCGTTACTAGACAGGAGTCCTGATGTCACTGAATAAACACGTGTTTTGAAGGGCCATCCCCACCTTAACTCGAGAACATACCCCAGGTCTCGCCGCAACTCGAGAAAAACCATGAGACTTCCCCTAGATGCGAGATGAGGCCTTATTCCCTGCAGTCCATGCAGAGCATTCCCGTGATGCCCATCAAGCAAGTCAGGAGCTTCGACTTGCTTAATCGAACTGGCGAAAGTCCCCAGGAACACTGTCAAAAGTCTAGACAGAACCTGAGGTCACCCCAGCAATGCAAAGCAGCTCCAAGTACCACACATCAACTCGAGATGAGGCCCGATTCCCCTGCATTGACTCCAGAGCCATCCCCCGTACCCCATTAAACACCACCAGTGGCTTGACTTCCTTCAGGCAACTCCAGAGATGCCCTGAGAAGACTGTCCCAAGTCTAGAGAAATACGAACTTCAGCACAGCAACTCGAAGAATGCTCCGTGTACCCCAAATCGTCTCGAGATGAGAGCTGATTCCCTGGCTTAGGCTCAAGACGTATGCCAACTTTCCAGAAGCACCTCAAGAGGAGGCTTCTCTCAGCAATAGGTATGTTGGAGGGACCCCCAGTTTGCTGCCTCAAGTGGAATATACAGCGAGAAGCCCTAACTTGAAAGGAGGCCGGATTTCCTTGCAGTGTCTTGAATACAGGCTCGTCTTTCATCTCACACCCGGAAAGGATGCCTGAATCCCCTGTGGAGACCTTAGAGAAAGCCCTAGGTCTCTGCCTCATTTTGACGGAATGCCTCACATCCCGTTGACATGTCGAGAGGCACACGGAGTTCACTGCTTCAAAATGTGACGATGTCTGACTACTCCTGAATTTTGATAGGAATCCCAAAATCACTGTGGCTACAGGAAAGGGTTCTTGGGTGCCCTGCCTCACCTCGGGAAGCATCCCTTTTGCCCTGCCAAGCTTCGAAGAGATTCCTGAGGTGTCTCTCGTTACTAGACAGGAGTCCTGACGTCACTGAATAAACACGTGTTTTGAAGGGCCATCCCCGCCATAACTCGAGAACATACCCCAGGTCCGGCCGCAACTCGAGCAAAACGAAGAGACTTCCCCTAGATGCGAGATGAGGTCTGATTCCCTGCAGTCCATGCAGAGCAGGCCCGTGATCCCCATCAAGCAAGTCAGGAGCTTCGACTTGCTTAATGGATCTCGAGAGAGTCCCCAGGAACACTGTCACAAGTCTAGACAGACCCTGAGGTCACCCCAGCAATGCAAAGCAGATCCATGTGCCCCACATCAACTCGAGATGAGGCCCGATTCTCCGGCATTGACTCCAGAGCCATTCCCCATACCCCTTCAACACCACCAGTGCCTTGACTTCCTTCAGGCAACTCCAGAGATGCCCCGAGAACACTGTCCCAAGTCTAGAGGAACACCAACTTCAGCACAGCAACTCGAGGAATGCTCTGTGTACCCCAAATCGTTTCGAGGTGGGAGCTGATTCCCGGCTTAGGCTCAAGACATATGCCAACTTTCCAAAAGCACCTCCAGAGGAGGCTTCTCTCAGCAATAGGTATGTTCGTGGGACCCCGAATTTGCTGCCTCAAGTGGAATATACAGCGAGAAGCCCTAACTTGAAAGGAGGCCGGATTTCCTTGCAGTGGCTTGAATACAGGCTCGTCTTCCATCTCACAGCATGAAGGGATGTCTGAATCCCCTGTGGAGACCTTAGAGAAAGCTCTAGGTCCCTGCCTCATTTTGACGGAATGCCTCACATCCCGTTGTCACCTCGAGAGGCACGCGGAGTTCACTGCTTCAAAAGGTGACGATGCCTGACTCCTCTTGAATATTGACAGGAATCCCAAAATCCCTGTGGCTATTGGAAAGTTTCCTTGGCTGCCCTGCCTCACCTCGAGAAGCGTCCCTTGTGCCCTGCCAAGCCTCGAAGAGATTCCTGAGCTGTCCCTCGTTATTGAACAGGAGTCCTGACGTCACTGAATAAACACGAGTTTTGAAGGGTCATCCCCGCCGTAACCGGAGTACATACCCTAGGTCCCCGCCACAAGTCGAGAAAAACCATGAGACTTTCCCCTATAGGCGAGATGAGGCCCGATTTTCCTGCAGTGCATGCAGAGCAATTCCATGATCCCCATCAAACAAGTCAGGACATTCGACTTGCTTAATGGATCTCGAGACAGTCTCCAAGAATACTGTCACATGTCTAGACGGATCCTGAGGTCACCCCATCAACGCAAAGCAGCACAATGTGCCCCAAATCAACTCGGGATGATGCCAGATTCCCCTGCATTGACTCCAGAGCCATCACCTCGTTCCCCATTAAACACGACCAGTGGCTTGACTTCCTTCAGGCAACTCCAGAGATGCCCCGAGAACACTGTCCCAAGTCTAGATTAACACCAACTTCAGCACAGCAACTCGAGGTATGCTCCATGTACCCCAAATCATCTCGAGATGAGAGCTGATTCCCTGGCTTAGGCTCAAGACGTATGCCAACTTTCCAGAAGCACCTCAAGGGGAGGCTTCTCTCAGCAATAAGTATGTTGGAGGGACCCCCAGTTTGCTGCCTCAAGTGGAATATACAGCGAGAAGCCCTAACTTGAAAGGAGGCCGGATTTCCTTGCAGTGTCTTGAATACAGGCTCGTCTTTCATCTCACAACCGGAAGGGATGTCTGAATCCCCTGTGGAGACCTTAGAGAAAGCCCTAGGTCCCTGCCTCATTTTGACGGAATGCCTCACATCCCGTTGACACCTCGAGAGGCACACGGAGTTCACTGCTTCAAAATGTGACGATGCCTGTCTACTCCTGAACATTGATAGGAATCCCAAAATCACTGTGGCTACAGGAAAGGGTTCTTGGGTGCCCTGCCTCACTTCGAGAAGCATCCCTTTTGCCCTGCCAAGCCTCGAAGAGATTCCTGAGGTGTCTCTCGTTACTAGACAGGAGTCCTGACGTCACTGAATAAACACGTGTTTTGAAGGGCCATCCCCGCCATAACTCGATAACATACCCCAGGTCCCGCCGCAATTCGAGCAAAACGATGAGACTTCCCCTAGATGCGAGATGAGGTCTGATTCCCTGCAGTCCATGCAGAGCAGTCCCGTGATCCCCATCAAGCAAGTCAAGACCTTCGACTTGCTTAATGGAACTCGAGAGAGTCACCAGGAACACTGTCACAAGTCTAGACAGACACTGAGGTAACCCCAGTAATGCAAAGCAGCTCCAAGTGCCCCACATCAACTCGAGATGACGCCCGATTCCATGCATTGACTCCAGAGCTATCCCCCGTACCCCATTAAACACCACCAGTGGCTTGACTTCCTTCAGGCAACTCCAGAGATGCCCCGAGAACACTGTCCCAAGTCTAGAGGAACACCAACTTCAGCACAGCAACTCGAGGAAAGCTCCGTGTACCCCAAATCGTTTCGAGGTGAGAGCTCATTCCCTGGCTTAGGCTCAAGACATATGCCAACTTTCCAGAAGCAACTCCAGAGGAGGCTTCTCTCAGCAATAGGTATGTTCGTGGGACCCCGAGTTTGCTGCCTCAAGTGGAATATACAGCGAGAAGCCTTAACTTGAAAGGAGGCCGGTTTTCCTTGCAGTGGCTTGAATACAGGCTCGTCTTTCATCTCACAGCATGAAGGGATGTCTGAACCCCTGTGGAGACCTTAGAGAAAGCTCTAGGTCCCTGCCTCATTTTGACGGAATGCCTCACATCCCGTTGTCACCTCGAGAGGCACGCGGAGTTCACTGCTTCAAAAGGTAACAATGCCTGACTCCTCTTGAATATTGACAGGAATCCCAAAATCCCTGTGGCTATTGGAAAGGTTCCTTGGGTGCCCTGCCTCACCTCGAGAAGCGTCCCTTGTGCCCTGCCAAGCCTCGAAGAGATTCCTGAGCTGTCCCTCGTTACTGGACAGGAATGCTGACGTCACTGAATAAACACGAGTTTTGAAGGGTCATCCCTGCCGTAACCGGACTACATACCCTAGGTCCCCGCCGCAAGTCGAGAAAAACCCTGAGACTTTCCCCTATAGGCGAGATGAGGCCCGATTTTCCTGCAGTGCATGCAGAGCAATTCCGTGATCCCCATCAAACAAGTCAGGACTTTCGACTTGCTTAATGGATCTCGAGAGAGTCCCCAAGAATACAGTCACATGTCTAGACGGATCCTGAAGTCACCCCATCAATGCAAAGCAGCACAATGTGCCCCAAATCAACTCGGGATGATGCCAGATTCCCCTGCAATGACTCCAGAGCCATCCCCAGTTCCCCATTAAACAAGACCACTGGATTGACTTCCTTCAGGCAACTCCAGAGATGCCCGGAGAACACTGTCCCAAGACTAGAGGAACACGAACTTCAGCACAGCAACTTGAGGAATGCTCCGTGTACCACGAAACATCTCGAGATGAGAGCTGAATCCCTGGCTTAGGCTCAAGACGTATGCCAACTTTCCAGAAGCACCTCAAGAGGAGGCTTCTCTCAGCAATAGGTATGTTCGTGGGACCCCGAGTTTGCTGCCTCAAGTGGAATATACAGCGAGAAGCCCTAACTTGAAAGGAGGCCGGATTTCCTTGCAGTGGCTTGAATACAGGCTCGTCTTTCATCTCACAGCATGAAGGGATGTCTGAATCCCCTGTGGAGACTTAGAGAAAGCCCTAGGTCCCTGCCTCATTTTGACAGAATGCCTCACATCCCGTTGTCACCTCGAGAGGCACACGGAGTTCACTGCTTCAAAAGTTGACGATGCCTGACTCCTCTTGAATATTGATAGGAATCTCCAAATCCCTGTGGCTAATGGAAAGGTTCCTTGGGTGCCCTGCCTCACCTCGAGGAGCGTCCCTTGTGCCCTGCAAGCATCGAAGAGATTCCTGAGCTGTCCCTCTTTACTGGACAGGAGTCCTGACGTCACTGAATAAACACGAGTTTTGAAGGTACATCCCCGCCATAACCCGTGTACATACCCCAGGTCCCCACCGCAAGTCGAGAAAAACCATGAGACTTTCCCCTAGAGGCGAGATGAGGCCCGATTCTCCTGCAGTGCATGCAGAGCAATTCCGTGATCCCCATCAAACAAGTCAGGACCTTCGACTTGCTTAATGGATCTCGAGACAGTCCCCAAGAATACTGTCACATGTCTAGACGGATCCTGAGGTCACCCCATCAACGCAAAGCAGCACAATGTGCCCCAAATCAACGCGGGATGATGCCAGATTCCCCTGCATTGACTCCAGAGCCATCACCTCGTTCCCCATTAAACACGACCAGTGGCTTGACTTCATTCAGGCAACTCCAGAGATGCCCCGAGAACACTGTCCCAAGTCTAGATTAACACCAACTTCAGCACAGCAACTCGAGGTATGCTCCATGTACCCCAAATCGTCTCGAGATGAGAGCTGATTCCCTGGCTTAGGCTCAAGACGTATGCCAACTTTCCAGAAGCACCTCAAGGGGAGGCTTCTCTCAGCAATAGGTATGTTGGAGGGACCCCCAGTTTGCTGCCTCAAGTGGAATATACAGCGAGAAGCCCTAACTTGAAAGGAGGCCGGATTTCCTTGCAGTGTCTTGAATACAGGCTCGTCTTTCATCTCACAACCGGAAGGGATGTCTGAATCCCCTGTGGAGACCTTAGAGAAAGCCCTAGGTCCCTGCCTCATTTTGACGGAATGCCTCACATCCCGTTGACACCTCGAGAGGCACACGGAGTTCACTGCTTCAAAATGTGACGATGCCTGTCTACTCCTGAACATTGATAGGAATCCCAAAATCACTGTGGCTACAGGAAAGGGTTTCTTGGGTGCCCTGCCTCACTTCGAGAAGCATTCCTTTTGCCCTGCCAAGCCTCGAAGAGATTCCTGAGGTGTCTCTCGTTACTAGACAGGAGTCCTGACCTCACTGAATAAACACGTGTTTTGAAGGGCCATCCCCGCCATAACTCGAGAACATACCCCAGGTCCCGGCGCAACTCGAGCAAAAAGATGAGACTTCCCCTAGATGCGAGATGAGGTCTGATTCAGTGCAGTCCATGCAGAGCAGTCCCGTGATCACCATCAAGCAAGTTAGGAGCTTCGACTGGCTTAATGGATCTCGAGAGAGTCCCCAGTAACACTGTCACAAGTCTAGACAGACCCTGAGGTCACCCCAGCAATGCAAAGCAGCTTCAAGTGCCCCACATCAACTCGAGATGAGGCCCGATTCTCCGGCATTGACTCCAGAGCCATCCCCCGTACCCCATTAAACACCACCAGTGGCTTGACTTCCTTCAGGCAACTCCAGAGATGCCCTGAGAACACTGTCCCAAGTCTAGAGGAATACGAACTTCAGCACAGCAACTCGAGGAATGCTCCGTGTACACCAAATCGTTTCGAGGTGAGAGCTGATTCCCTGGCTTAGGCTCAAGACGTATGCCAACTTTCCAGAAGCACCTCAAGAGGAGGCTTCTCTCAGCAATCGGTATGTGGGAGGGACCCCGAGTTTGCTGCCTCAAGTGGATTATACAGCGAGAAGACCTAACTTGAAAGGAGGCCGGATTTCCTTGCAGTGTCTTGAATACAGGCTCGTCTTTCATCTCACAACAGGAAGGGATGTCTGAATCCCCAGTGGAGACCTTAGAGAAAGCCCTAGGTCCCTGCCTTATTTTGACGGAATGCCTCACATCCCGTTGACACCACGAGAGGCACGCGGAGTTCACTGCTTCAAAAGGTGACGATGCCTGACTCCTCTTGAATATTGATAGGAATCCCAAAATCCCTGTGGCTATTGGAAAGGTTCCTTGGGTGCCCTGCCTCACCTCGAGAAGCGTCCCTTGTGCCCTGCCAAGCCTCGAAGAGATTCCTGAGCTGTCCCTCGTTACTAGACAGGAGTCCTGACGTCATTGAATAAACACGTGTTTTGAAGGGCCATCCACGCCATAACTCGAGAACATACCCCAGGTCCCGCCGCAACTCGAGAAAAACCATGAGACTTCCCCTAGATGCGAGATGAGGCCTTATTCCCTGCAGTCCATGCAGAGCATTCCCGTGATCCCCATCAAGCAAGTCAGGAGCTTCGACTTGCTTAATCGAACTCGCGAAAGTCCCCAGGAACACTTTCACAAGTCTAGACAGACCCTGAGGTCATCCCAGCAATGCAAAGCAGCTCGAAGTCCCCCACATCAACACGAGATGAGGCCCGATTCCCCTGCATTGACTCCAGAGCCATCCCCCGTTCCCCATTAAACACCACGAGTGGCTTGACTTCCTTCATGCAACTCCAGAGTTGCCCCGAGAACACTGTCCCAAGTCTAGAGGAATACGAACTTAAGCACAGCAACTCCAGGAATGCTCCGTGTACCCCAAATCTTCTCGAGATGAGAGCTGATACCCTGGCTTAGGCTCAAGACGTATGCCAACTTTCCAGAAGCACCACAAGAGGACGCTTCTCTCAGCAATAGGTTTGTTCGTGGGACCCCGAGTTTGCTGCCTCAAGTGGAATATACAGCGAGAAGCCCTAACTTGAAAGGAGGCCGGATTTCCTTGCAGTGTCTTTTATACAGGCTCGTCTTTCATCTCACAACAGGAAGGGGATGTCTGAATCCCCTGTGAAGACCTTAGAGAAAGCCCTAGGTCCCTGCCTCATTTGGACGGAATGCCTCACATCCTGTTGTCACCTCGAGAGGCACGCGGAGTTCACTGCTTCAAAAGGTGACGATGCCTGACTCCTCTTGAATATTTATTGGAATCCCAAAATCCCTATGGCTATTGGAAAGGTTCCTTGGGTGCCCTGCCTCACCTCGAGAAGCGTCCCTTGTGCCCTGCCAAGCCTCGAAGAGATTCCTGAGGTGTCTCTCGTTACTAGACAGGAGTCCTGATGTCACTGAATAAACACGTGTTTTGAAGGGCCATCCCCACCTTAACTCGAGAACATACCCCATGTCTCGCCGCAACTCGAGAAAAACCATGAGACTTCCCCTAGATGCGAGATGAGGCCTTATTCCCTGCAGTCCATGCAGAGCATTCCCGTGATGCCCATCAAGCAAGTCAGGAGCTTCGACTTGCTTAATCGAACTGGCTAAAGTCCCCAGGAACACTGTCAAAAGTCTAGACAGAACCTGAGGTCACCCCAGCAATGCAAAGCAGCTCCAAGTACCACACATCAACTCGAGATGAGGCCCGATTCCCCTGCATTGACTCCAGAGCCATCCCCCGTACCCCATTAAACACCACCAGTGGCTTGACTTCCTTCAGGCAACTCCAGAGATGCCCTGAGAACACTGTCCCAAGTCTAGAGAAATACGAACTTCAGCACAGCAACTCGAAGAATGCTCCGTGTACCCCAAATCGTCTCGAGATGAGAGCTGATTCCCTGGCTTAGGCTCAAGACGTATGCCAACTTTCCAGAAGCACCTCAAGAGGAGGCTTCTCTCAGCAATAGGTATGTTGGAGGGACCCCCAGTTTGCTGCCTCAAGTGGAATATACAGCGAGAAGCCCTAACTTGAAAGGAGGCCGGATTTCCTTGCAGTGTCTTGAATACAGGCTCGTCTTTCATCTCACACCCGGAAAGGATGCCTGAATCCCCTGTGGAGACCTTAGAGAAAGCCCTAGGTCTCTGCCTCATTTTGACGGAATGCCTCACATCCCGTTGACATGTCGAGAGGCACACGGAGTTCACTGCTTCAAAATGTGACGATGTCTGACTCCTATTGAACATTGATAGGAATCCCAAAATCACTCTGGCTACAGGAAAGGGTTCTTGGTGCCCTGCCTCACCTCGAGAAGCATCCCTTTTGCCCTGCCAAGCCACGAAGAGATTCCTGAGGTGACTCTCATTACTAGACAGGAGTCCTGACGTCACTGAATAAACACGTGTTTTGAAGGGCCATCCCCGCCATAACTCGAGAACATAACCCAGGTCCCGCCGCAACTCGAGAAAAACGATGAGACTTCCCCTAGATGCGAGATGAGGTCTGATTCCCTGCAGTCCATGCAGAGCAGTCCCGTGATCCCCATCAAGCAAGTCAGGAGCGTCGACTGGCTTAATGGATCTCGAGAGAGTCCCCAGGAACACTGTCACAAGTCTACACAGACCCTGAGGTCACCCCAGCAATGCAAAGCAGCTCCAAGTGCCCCACATCAACTCGAGATGAGGCCCGATTCTCCGGCATTGACTCCAGAGCCATCCCCCGTACCCCATTAAACACCACCAGTGGCTTGACTTCCTTCAGGCAATTCCAGAGATGCCCTGAGAACACTGTCCAAAGTCTAGAGGAATACGAACTTCAGCACAGCAACTCGAGGAATGCTCCGTGTACCCCAAATCGTTTCGAGGTGAGAGGTGATTCCCTGGCTTAGGTTGAAAATGTATGCCAACTTTCCAGAAGCACCTCAAGAGGAGGCTTCTCTCAGCAATAGGTATTTGGGTGGGACCCCGAGTTTGCTGCCTCAAGTGGAATATACAGCGAGAAGCCCTAACTTGAAAGGAGGATGGATTTCCTTGCAGTGGCTTGAATACAGGCTCGTCTTTCATCTCACAGCATGAAGGGATGTCTGAATCCCCTGTGGAGACCTTAGAGAAAGCTCTAGGTCCCTGCCTCCTTTTGACGGAATGCCTCTCATCCCGTTGTCACCTCGAGAGGCACGCGGAGTTCAGTGCTTCAAAAGGTGACGATGCCTGACTCCTCTTGAATATTGATAGGAATCCCAAAATCCCTGTGGCTATTGGAAAGGTTACTTGGGTGCCCTGCCTCACCTCGAGAAGCGTCTCTTGTGCACTGCCAAGCCTCGAAGAGATACCTGAGCTGTCCCTCGTTACTGGACAGGAGTCCTGACGTCACTGAATAAACACGAGTTTTGAAGGGCCATCCCCGCCATAACCCGAGTACATACCGCAGGTCCCCGCCACAAGTCGAGAAAAACCATGAGACTTTCCCCTAGAGGCGAGATGAGGCCCGATTCTCCTGCAGTGCATGCAGAGCAATTCCGTGATCCCCATCAAACAAGTCAGGACTTTCGACTTGCTTAATGGATCTCGAGACAGTCCCCAAGAATACTGTCACATGTCTAGACGGATCCTGAGGACACCCCATCAACGCAAAGCAGCACAATGTGCCCCAAATCAACTCGGGATGATGCCAGATTCCCCTGCTTTGACTCCAGAGCCATCTTCCATTCCCCATTAAACACGACCAGTGGCTTGACTTCCTTCAGGCAACTCCAGAGATGCCCCAAGAACACTGTCCCAAGTCTAGAGGAACACCAACTTCAGCACAGCAACTCGAGGAATGCTCCGTGTACCCCAAATCCTCTCGAGATGAGAGCTGATTCCCTGGCTTAGGCTCAAGACGTATGCCAACTTTCCAGAAGCACCTCAAGATGAGGCTTCTCTCAGCAATAGGTATGTTGGAGGGATCCCCAGTTTGCATCTTCAAGTGGAATATACAGCGAGAAGCCCTAACTTGAAAGGAGGACGGATTTCCTTGCAGTGTCTTGAATACAGGCTCGTCTTTCATCTCACAACCGGAAGGGATGTCTGAATCCCCTGTGGAGACGTTAGAGAAAGCCCTAGGTCCCTGCCTCATTTTGAAGGAATGCCTCACATCCCGTTGTCACCTCGAGAGGCACGCGGAGTTCAATGCTTCAAAAGGTGACGATGCCTGACTCCTCTTTTATATTGATTGGAATCCCAAAATCCCTATGGCTACTGGAAAGGTTCCTTGGGTGCCCTGTCTCTCCTCGAGAAGCGTCCCTTGTGCCCTGCCAAGCCTTGAAGAGATTCCTGAGGTGTCTCTCGTTACTAGACAGGAGTCCTGACGTCACTGAATAAACACGTGTTTTGAAGGGCCATCCCCACCATAACTCGAGAACATACCCCAGGTCCCGCCGCAACTCGAGAAAAACCATGAGACTTCCCCTAGATGCGAGATGAGGCCTTATTCCCTGCAGTCCATGCAGAGCATTCCCGTGATCCCCATCAAGCAAGTCAGGAGCTTCGACTTGGTTAATCGAACTCGCGAAAGTCCCCAGGAACACTGTCACAAGTCTAGACAGACCCTGAGGTCACCCCAGCAATGCAAAGCAGCTCCAAGTACACCACATCAACTCGAGATCAGGCCCAATTCCCCTGCATTGACTCCAGAGCCATCCCCCGTACCCCATTAAACACCACCAGTGGCTTGACTTCCTTCAGGCAACTCCAGAGTTGCCCTGAGAACACTGTCCCACGTCTAGAGGAATACGAACTTCAGCACAGCAACTAGAGGAATGCTCCGTGTACCCCAAATCGTTTCGAGGTGACAGCTGATTCCCTGGCTTAGGCTCAAGACGTATGCCAACTTTCCAGAAGCACCTCAAGAGGAGGCTTCTCTCAGCAATAGGTATGTGGGAGGGACCCCGAGTTTGCTGCCTCAAGTGGAATATACAGCGAGAAGCCCTAACTTGAAAGGAGGCCGGAATTCCTTGCAGTGTCTTGAATACAGGCTCGTCTTTCATCTCACAACAGGAAGGGATGTCTGAATCCCCTGTGAAGACCATAGAGAAAGCCCTAGGTCCCCGCCTCATTTTGACGGAATGTCTCACATCCCGTTGACACCTCGAGAGCCACTCGGAGTTCACTGCTTCAAAATGCGACGATGCCTGACTCCTCCTGAACATTGATAGGAATCCCAAAATCACTGTAGCTACATGACAGGGTACTTGAGTGCCCAGCCTCACCTCGAGAAGCATCCCTTTTGCCCTGCCAAGCTTCGAAGATATTCCTGAGGTGTCTCTCGTTACTAGACAGGAGTCCTGACGTCACTGAATAAACACGTGTTTTGAAGGGCCATCCCCGCCATAACTCGAGAACATACCCCAGGTCCGGCCGCAACTCGAGCAAAACGAAGAGACTTCCCCTAGATGCGAGATGAGGTCTGATTACCTGCAGTCCATGCAGAGCAGGCCCGTGATCCCCATCAAGCAAGTCAGGAGCTTCGACTTGCTTAATGGATCTCGAGAGAGTCCCCAGGAACACTGTCACAAGTCTAGACAGACCCTGAGGTCACCGCAGCAATGCAAAGCAGATCCATGTGCCCCACATCAACTCGAGATGAGGCCCGATTCTCTGGCATTGACTCCAGAGCCATTCCCCATACCCCTTAAACACCACCAGTGGCTTGACTTCCTTCAGGCAACTCCAGAGATGCCCCGAGAACACTGTCCCAAGTCTAGAGGAACACCAACTTCAGCACAGCAACTCGAGGAATGCTCTGTGTACCCCAAATCGTTTCGAGGTGGGAGCTGATTCCCTGGCTTAGGCTCAAGACATATGCCAACTTTCCAAAAGCACCTCCAGAGGAGGCTTCTCTCAGCAATAGGTATGTTCGTGGGACCCCGAATTTGCTGCCTCAAGTGGAATATACAGCGAGAAGCCCTAACTTGAAAGGAGGCCGGTTTTCCTTGCAGTGGCTTGAATACAGGCTCGTCTTCCATCTCACAGCATGAAGGGATGTCTGAATCCCCTGTGGAGACCTTAGAGAAAGCTCTAGGTCCCTGCCTCATTTTGACGGAATGCCTCACATCCCGTTGTCACCTCGAGAGGCACGCGGAGTTCACTGCTTCAAAAGGTGACGATGCCTGACTCCTCTTGAATATTGACAGGAATCCCAAAATCCCTGTGGCTATTGGAAAGTTTCCTTGGGTGCCCTGCCTCACCTCGAGAAGCGTCCCTTGTGCCCTGCCAAGCCTCGAAGAGATTCCTGAGCTGTCCCTCGTTATTGAACAGGAGTCCTGACGTCACTGAATAAACACGAGTTTTGAAGGGTCATCCCCGCCGTAACCGGAGTACATACCCTAGGTCCCCGCCACAAGTCGAGAAAAACCATGAGACTTTCCCCTATAGGCGAGATGAGGCCCGATTTTCCTGCAGTGCATGCAGAGCAATTCCGTGATCCCCATCAAACAAGTCAGGACATTCGACTTGCTTAATGGATCTCGAGACAGTCTCCAAGAATACTGTCACATGTCTAGACGGATCCTGAGGTCACCCCATCAACGGAAAGCAGCACAATGTGCCCCAAATCAACTCGGGATGATGCCAGATTCCCCTGCATTGACTCCAGAGCCATCCCCTCGTTCCCCATTAAACACGACCAGTGGCTTGACTTCCTTCAGGCAACTCCAGAGATGCCCCGAGAACACTGTCCCAAGTCTAGATTAACACCAACTTCAGCACAGCAACTCGAGGTATGCTCCATGTACCCCAAATCATCTCGAGATGAGAGCTGATTCCCTGGCTTAGGCTCAAGACGTATGCCAACTTTCCAGAAGCACCTCAAGGGGAGGCTTCTCTCAGCAATAAGTATGTTGGAGGGACCCCCAGTTTGCTGCCTCAAGTGGAATATACAGCGAGAAGCCCTAACTTGAAAGGAGGCCGGATTTCCTTGCAGTGTCTTGAATACAGGCTCGTCTTTCATCTCACAACCGGAAGGGATGTCTGAATCCCCTGTGGAGACCTTAGAGAAAGCCCTAGGTCCCTGCCTCATTTTGACGGAATGCCTCACATCCCGTTGACACCTCGAGAGGCACACGGAGTTCACTGCTTCAAAATGTGACGATGCCTGTCTACTCCTGAACATTGATAGGAATCCCAAAATCACTATGGCTACAGGAAAGGGTTCTTCGGTGCCCTGCCTCACTTCGAGAAGCATCCCTTTTGCCCTGCCAAGCCTCGAAGAGATTCCTGAGGTGTCTCTCGTTACTAGACAGGAGTCCTGACGTCACTGAATAAACACGTGTTTTGAAGGGCCATCCCCGCCATAACTCGATAACATACCCCAGGTCCCGCCGCAACTCGAGCAAAACGATGAGACTTCCCCTAGATGCGAGATGAGGTCTGATTCCCTGCAGTCCATGCAGAGCAGTCCCGTGATCCCCATCAAGCAAGTCAGGAGCGTCGACTGGCTTAATGGATCTCGAGAGAGTCCCCGGGAACACTGTCACAAGTCTAGACAGACCCTGAGGTCACCCCAGCAATGCAAAGCAGCTCCAAGTGCCCCACATCAACTCGAGATGAGGCCCGATTCTCCGGCATTGACTCCAGAGCCATCCCCCGTACCCCATTAAACACCACCAGTGGCTTGACTTCCTTCAGGCAACTCCAGAGATGCCCTGAGAACACTGTCCAAAGTCTAGAGGAATACGAACTTCAGCACAGCAACTCGAGGAATGCTCCGTGTACCGCAAATCGTTTCGAGGTGAGAGGTGATTCCCTGGCTTAGGCTCAAGATGTATGCCAACTTTCCAGAAGCACCTCAAGAGGAGGCTTCTCTCAGCAATAGGTATTTGGGAGGGACCCCGAGTTTGCTGCCTCAAGTGGAATATACAGCGAGAAGCCCTAACTTGAAAGGAGGCCGGATTTCCTTGCAGTGGCTTGAATACAGGCACGTCTTTCATCTCACAGCATGAAGGGATGTCTGAATCCCCTGTGGAGACCTTAGAGAAAGCTCTAGGTCCCTGCCTCATTTTGACGGAATGCCTCACATCCCGTTGTCACCTCGAGAGGCACGCGGAGTTCAGTGCTTCAACAGGTGACGATGCCTGACTCCTCTTGAATATTGATAGGAATCCCAAAATCCCTGTGGCTATTGGAAAGGTTCCTTGGGTGCCCTGCCTCACCTCGAGAAGCGTCTCTTGTGCACTGCCAAGCCTCGAAGAGATTCCTGAGCTGTCCCTCGTTACTGGACAGGAGTCCTGACGTCACTGAATATACACGAGTTTTGAAGGGCCATCCCCGCCGTATCCCGAGTACATACCCCAGGTCCCCGCCACAACTCGAAAAAAACCTTGAGACTTCCATCTGGATGCGAGATGAGGCCCGATTCACCTGCAGTGCATGCAGAGCAATTCCGTGATCCCCATCAAGCAAGTCAGGAGCTTCGACTTGCTTAATGGATCTCGAGACAGTACCCAAGAACACTGTCACATGTCTAGACGGATCCTGAGGTCACCCCATCAAAGCAAAGCAGCACCATGTGCCCCAAATCAACTCGACATGATGCCCGATTCCCCTGCATTGACTCCAGAGCCATCCTCCATTCCACATTAAACACCACCATTGGCTTGACTTCCTTCAGACAACTGCAGAGATGCCCTGAGAACACTGTCCCAAGTCTAGAGGAACACCATCTTCAGAACAGCAACTCGAGGAATGCTCCGTGTACCCCAAATCATCTCGAGATGAGAGCTGATTCCCTGGCTTAAGCTCAAGACGTATGCCAACTTTCCAGAAGCACCTCAAGGGGAGTCTGCTCTCAGCAATAGGTATGTTGGAGGGACCCCCAGTTTGCTGCCTCAAGTGGAATATACAGCGAGAAGCCCTAACTTGAAAGGAGGCCGGATTTCCTTGCAGTGTCTTGAATACAGGCTCGTCTTTTATCTCACAACCGGAAGGAATGTCTGAATCCCCTGTGTAGACCTTAGAGAAAGCCCTAGGTCCCTGCCTCATTTTGAAGGAATGCCTCACATCCCGTTGACACCTCGAGAGGCACACGGAGTTCACTGCTTCAAAATGTGACGATGCCTGACTCCTCCTGAATTTTGATAGGAATCCCAAAATCACTGTGGCTACAGGAAAGGGTTCTTGGGTGCCCTGCCTCACTTCGGGAAGCATCCCTTTTGCCCTGCCAAGCTTCGAAGAGATTCCTGAGGTGTCTCTCGTTACTAGACTGGAGTCCTGACGTCACTGAATAAACACGTGTTTTGAAGGGCCATCCCCGCCGTAACTCGAGATGATACCCCAGGTCCCCAGCGCAACTTGAGAGAAATCATGAGACTTCCCCCTAGATGCGAGATGAGTCCTGATTCCCTGCAGTGCATGCTGAGTATTCCCGTGATCCCCATCAAACAAGTCAGGAGCTTCGACTTGCTTAATGGATCTCGAGATAGTCCCCAAGAACACTGTCACAAGTCTAGACGGACCCTGAGGTCACCCCAGCAACGCAAAGCAGCTCCATGTGCGCCAAATCAACTCGAGATGTGGCCCGATTCCCCTGCATTGACTCCAGAGCCATCCCCCGTTCCCCATTAAACAAGACCACTGGATTGACTTCCTTCAGCCAACTCCAGAGATGCCCCGAGAACACTGTCCCAAGACTAGAGGAACACCAACTTCTGCAGAGCAACTCGAGGAATGCTCCGTGTACCACAAATCGTCTCGAGATGAGAGCTGATTCCCTGGCTTAGGCTCAAGACGTATGCCAACTTTCCAGAAGAACCTCAAGAGGAGGCTTCTCTCAGCAATAGGTATGTTCGTGGGACCACGAGTTTGCTGCCTCAAGTGGAATATACAGCGAGAAGCCCTAACTTGAAAGGAGGCCGGATTTCCTTGCAGTGGCTTTAATACAGGCTCGTCTTTCATCTCACAGCATGAAGGGATGTCTGAATCCCCTGTGGAGGCCTTAGAGAAAGCCCTAGGACCCTGCCTCATTTTGACGGAATGCCTCACATCCCGTTGTCACCTCGAAAGGCACGCGGAGTTCACTGCTTCAAAAGGTGACGATGCCTGACAACTCTTGAATATTGATAGGAATCCCCAAATCCCTGTGGCTATTGGAAAGGTTCCTTGGGTGCCATGCCTCACCTCGAGAAGCGTCCCTTGTGCCCTGCCAAGACTCGAAGAGATTCCTGAGCTGTCCCTCGTTACTGGACAGGAGTCCTGACGTCACTGAATAAACACGAGTTTTGAAGGGCCATCCCGGCCGTAACCCGAGTACATACCCCAGGTCCCCACCGCAAGTCCAGAAAAACCATGAGATTTTTCCCCTAGAGGCGAGATGAGGCCCGATTCTCCTGCAGTGCATGCAGAGCAATTCCGTGATCCCCATCAAACAAGTCAGGACCTTCGACTTGCTTAATGGATTTCGAGACAGTCCCCAAGAATACTGTCACATGTCTAGACGGATCCTGAGGTCACACCATCAAAGCAAAGCAGCACAATGTGCCCCAAATCAACTCGGGATGATGCCAGATTCCCCTGCATTGACTCCAGAGCCATCCCCCGTTCCCCATTAAACACGACCAGTGGCTTGACTTCCTTCAGGCAACTCCAGAGATGCCCCGAGAACACTGTCCCAAGTCTAGATTAACACCAACTTCAGCACAGCAACTCGAGGAATGCTCCATGTACCCCAAATCGTCTCGAGATGAGAGCTGATTCCCTGGCTTAGGCTCAAGACGTATGCCAACTTTCCAGAAGCACCTCAAGGGGAGGCTTCTCTCAGCAATAGGTATGTTGGAGGGACACCGAGTTTGCTGCCTCAAGTGGAATATACAGCGAGAAGCCCTAACTTGAAAGGAGGCCGGATATCCTTGCAGTGTCTTGAATATAGGCTCGTCTTTCATCTCACAACCGGAAGGGATGTCTGAATCCCCTGTGGAGACCTTAGAGTAAGCCCTTGGTCCCTGCCTCATTTTGACGGAATGCCTCACATCCCGTTGACACCTCGAGAGGCACACGGAGTTCACTGCTTCAAAATGTGACGATGCCTGACTCCTCCTGAACAATGATAGGAATCCCAAAATCACTGTGGCTACAGGAAAGGGTTCTTGGGTGCCCTGCCTCACCTCGAGAAGCATCCCTTTTGCCCTGCCAAGCCTCGAAGAGGTTCCTGAGGTGTCTCTCGTTACTAGACAGGAGTCCTGACGTCACTGAATAAACACGTGTTTTGAAGGGCCATCCCCGCCATAACTCGAGAACATACCCCAGGTCCCGCCGCAACTCGAGCAAAACGATGAGACTTCCCCTAGATGCGAAATGAGGTCTGATTCCCTGCAGTCCATGCAGAGCAGTCCCGTGATCCCCATCAAGCAAGTCAGGAGCTTCGACTTGCTTAATTGATCTCGAGAGAGTCCCCAGGAACACTGTCACAAGTCTAGACAGACCCTGAGGTCACCCCAGCAATGCAAAGCAGCTCCAAGTGCCCCACATCAACTCGAGATGAGGCCCGATTCTCCGGCATTGACTCCAGAGCCATCCCCCGTACCACATTAAACACCACCAGTGGCTTGACTTCCTTCAGGCAACTCCAGAGATGCCCCGAGAACACTGTCCCAAGTCTAGAGGAACACCAACTTCAGCACAGCAACTCGAGGAATGCTCCGTGTACCCCAAATCGTTTCGAGGTGAGAGGTGATTCCCTGGCTTAGGCTCAAGACGTATGCCAACTTTCCAGAAGCACCTCAAGAGGAGGCTTCTCTCAGCAATCGGTATGTGGGAGGGACCCCGAGTTTGCTGCCTCAAGTGGAATATACAGCGAGAAGCCCTAACTTGAAAGGAGGCCGGAATTCCTTGCAGTGTCTTGAATACAGGCTCGTCTTTCATCTCACAACAGGAAGGGATGTCTGAATCCCCTGTGGAGACCTTAGAGAAAGCCCTAGGTCCCTGCCTCATTTTGACGGAATGCCTCACATCCCGTTGACACCTCGAGAGGCACACGGAGTTCACCGCTTCAAAATATAACGATGCCTGACTCCTCTTGAACATTGATAGGAATCCCAATATCACTGTAGCTACAGGACAGGGTTCTTGGGTGCCCTGCCTCACCTCGAGAAGCATCCCTTTTGCCCTGCCAAGCCTCGAAGAGATTCCTGAGGTGTCTCTCATTACTAGACAGGAGTCCTGACGTCACTGAATAAACACGTGTTTTGAAGGGCCATTCCCGCCATAACTCGAGAACATACCCCAGGTCCCGCCGCAACTCGAGAAAAACCATGAGACTTCCCCTAGATCCGAGATGAGGCCTGATTCACTTCAGTCCATGCAGAGCATTCCCCTGATCCCCATCAAGGAAGTCAGGAGCTTCGACTTGCTTAATCGAACTAGAGAAAGTCCCCAGGAACACTGTCACATGTCTAGACAGACCCTGAGGTCACACCAGCAATGCAAAGCAGCTCCAAGTACCCCACATCAACTCGAGATGAGGCCCGATTCTCCTGCATTGACTCCAGAGCCATCCCCCGTAACACATTAAACACCACCAGTGGCTTGACTTCCTTCAGGCAACTCCAGAGATTCCCTGAGAACACTGTCTCAAGTCTAGAGGAATACGAACTTCAGCACAGCAACTCGAGGAATGCTCCGTGTACCCCAAATCGTTTCGAGTTGAGAGCTGATTCCATGGCTTAGGCTCAAGACGTATGCCAACTTTCCAGAAGCACCTCAAGAGGAGGCTTCTCTCAGCAATAGGTATTTGGGAGGGACCCCGAGTTTGCTGCCTCAAGTGGAATATACAGCGAGAAGCCCTAACTTGAAAGGAGGCCGGATTTCCTTGCAGTGGCTTGAATACAGGCTCGTCTTTCATCTCACAGCATGAAGGAATGTCTGAATCCCCTGTGGAGACCTTAGAGAAAGCTCTAGGTCCCTGCCTCATTTTGACGGAATGCCTCACATACCGTTGACACTTCGAGAGGCACGCGGAGTTCACTGCTTCAAAAGGTGATGATGCCTCACTCGTCTTGAATATTGATAGGAATCCCAAAATCACTGTGGCTCCTGGAAAGGGTCCTTGGGTGGCCTGCCTCACGTCAAGAAGCGTCCCTTGTGCCCTGCCAAGCCTCGAAGAGCTTCCTGAGCTGTCCCTCGTAACTGGACAGGAGTCATGACGTCACTGAATAAACACGAGTTTTGAAGAGCCATCCCTGCCGTAACCCGAGTACATACCCCAGGTCCCCGCCGCAAGTCGAGAAAAACCATGAGACTTTCCCCTAGAGGCGAGATGAGGCCCGATTCTCCTGCAGTGCATGCAGAGCAATTCCGTGATCCCCATCAAACAAGTCAGGACCTTCGACTTGCCTAATGGATCTCGAGACAGTCCCCAAGAATACTGTCACATGTCTAGACGGATCCTGAGGTCACCCCGTCAAGGGAAAGCAGCACAATGTGCCCCAAATTAACTCGGGATGATGCCAGATTCCCCTGCATTGACTCCAGAGCCATCCCCCGTTCCCCATTAAAAACGACCAGTGGCTTGACTTCCTTCAGGCAACTCCAGAGATGCCCCGAGAACACTGTCCCAAGTCTAGAGGAACACCAACTTCAGCACAGCAACTCGAGGAATGCTCCGTGTACCCCAAATCGTCTCGAGATGAGAGCTGATTCCCTGGCTTAGGCTCAAGACGTATGCCAACTTTGCAGAAGCACCTCAAGGGGAGGCTTCTATCAACAATAGGTATGTTGGAGGGATCCCCAGTTTGCTGCCTCAAGGGGAATATACAGCGAGAAGCCCTAACTTGAAAGGAGGACGGATTTCCTTGCAGTGTCTTGAATGCAGGCTTGTCTTTCATCTCACAACCGGAAGGGATGTCTGAATCCCCTGTGGAGACCTTAGAGAAAGCCCTAGGTCCCTTCCTCATTTTGAAGGAATGCCTCACATCCCGTTGACACATCAAGAGGCACACGGAGTTCACTGCTTCAAAATGTGACGATGCCTGACTCCTATTGAACATTGATAGGAATCCCAAAATCACTGTGGCTACAGGAAAGGGTTCTTGGTGCCCTGCCTCACCTCGAGAAGCATCCCTTTTGCCCTGCCAAGCCTCGAAGATTCCTGAGGTGTCTCTCATTACTAGACAGGAGTCCTGACGTCACTGAATAAACACGTGTTTTGAAGGGCCATCCCCGCCATAACTCGAGAACATACCCCAGGTCCCGCCGCAACTCGAGAAAAACGATGAGACTTCCCCTAGATGCGAGATGAGGTCTGATTCCCTGCAGTCCATGCAGAGCAGTCCCGTGATCCCCATCAAGCAAGTCAGGAGCGTCGACTGGCTTAATGGATCTCGAGAGAGTCCCCAGGAACACTATCACAAGTCTACACAGACCCTGAGGTCACCCCAGCAATGCAAAGCAGCTCCAAGTGCCCCACATCAACTCGAGATGAGGCCCGATTCTCCGGCATTGACTCCAGAGCCATCCCCCGTACCCCATTAAACACCACCAGTGGCTTGACTTCCTTCAGGCAACTCCAGAGATGCCCTGAGAACACTGTCCAAAGTCTAGAGGAATACGAACTTCAGCACAGCAACACGAGGAATGCTCCGTGTACCCCAAATCGTTTCGAGGTGAGAGGTGATTCCCTGGCTTAGGCTCAAGATGTATGCCAACTTTCCAGAAGCACCTCAAGAGGAGGCTTCTCTCAGCAATAGGTATTTGGGAGGGACCCCGAGTTTGCTGCCTCAAGTGGAATATACAGTGAGAAGCCCTAACTTGAAAGGAGGACGGATTTCCTTGCAGTGGCTTGAATACAGGCTCGTCTTTCATCTCACAGCATGAAGGGATGTCTGAATCCCCTGTGGAGACCTTAGAGAAAGCTCTAGGTCCCTGCCTCATTTTGACGGAATGCCTCACATCCCGTTGTCACCTCGAGAGGCACGCGGAGTTCAGTGCTTCAAAAGTTGACGATGCCTGACTCCTCTTGAATATGGATAGGAATCCCAAAATCCCTGTGGCTATTGGAAAGGTTCCTTGGGTGCCCTGCCTCACCTCGAGAAGCGTCTCTTGTGCACTGCCAAGCCTCGAAGAGATTCCTGAGCTGTCCCTCGTTACTGGACAGGAGTCCTGACGTCACTGAATATACACGAGTTTTGAAGGGCCATCCCCGCCGTAACCCGAGTACATAACCCAGGTCCCCGCCACAACTCGAAATAAACCTTGAGACTTCCATTTGGATGCGAGATGAGGCCCGATTCACCTGCAGTGCATGCAGAGCAATTCCGTGATCCCCATCAAGCAAGTCAGGAGCTTCGACTTGCTTAATGGATCTCGAGACAGTACCCAAGAACACTGTCACATGTCTAGACGGATCCTGAGGTCACCCCATTAAAGCAAAGCAGCACCATGTGCCCCAAATCAACTCGAGATAATGCCCGATTCCCCTGCATTGACTCCAGAGCCATCCCCCGTTCCACATTAAACACAACCAGTGGCTTGACTTCCTTCAGACAACTGCAGAGAATCCCTGAGAACACTGTCCCAAGTCTAGAGGAACACCATCTTCAGCACAGCAACTCGAGGAATGCTCCGTGTACCCCAAATCATCTCGAGATGAGAGCTGATTCCCTGGCTTAAGCTCAAGACGTATGCCAACTTTCCAGAAGCACCTCAAGGGGAGTCTGCTCTCAGCAATAGGTATGTTGGAGGGACCCCCAGTTTGCTGCCTCAAGTGGAATATACAGCGAGAAGCCCTAACTTGAAAGGAGGACGGGTTTCCTTGCAGTGTCTTGAATACAGGCTCGTCTTTCATCTCACAACCAGAAGGAATGTCTGAATCCCCTGTGGAGACCCTAGAGAAAGCCCTAGGTCCCTGCCTCATTTTGACGGAATGCCTCACATCCCATTGATACTTCGAGAGGCACATGGAGTTCACTGCTTCAAAATGTGAAGATGCCTGACTCCTCCTGAACATTGATAGGAATCCCAAAATCACTGTGGCTACAGGAATGGTTCTTGTGTGCCCTGCCTCACCTCGAGAAGCATACCTTTTCCCCTGCCAAGCCTCGAAGAGATTCCTGAGGTGTCCCTCATTACTAGTCAGGAGTCCTGACGTCACTGAATAAACACGTGTTTTGAAGGGCCATGCCCGCCATAACTCGAGAACATACCCCACGTCCAGCCGCAACTCGAGAAAAACCATGAGACTTCCCCTAGATGTGAGATGAGGCCTGATTCCCTGCAGTCCATGCAGAGTATTCCCGTGATCCCCATCAAGCAAGTCAGCAGGTTCGATTTGCTTAATGGATCTCGAGAGAGTCCCCAGGAACACTGTCACAAGTGTAGACGGACCCTGACGTCACCCCAGCAACGCAAAGCAGCTCCATGTGCCCCAAATAAACTCGAGATGATGCCAGATTCTCCGGCATTGACTCCAGAGCCATCCCCCGTACCTCATTAAACACCAGCAGTGGCTTGACTTCCTTCTGGCAACTCCAGAGATGCCCCGAGAACACTGTCCCAAGTCTAGAGGAACACCAACTTCAGCACAGCAACTCGAGGAATGCTCCGTGTACCACAAATCGTTTCGAGGTGAGAGCTGATTCCCTGGCTTAGGCTCAAGAGGTATGCCAACTTTCCAGAAGCACCTCAAGAGGAGGCTTCTCTCAGCAATAGGTATGTTCGTGGGACCCCGAGTTTGCTGCCTCAAGTGGATTATACAGCGAGAAGACATAACTTGAAAGGAGGCCGGATTTCCTTGCAGTGTCTTGAATACAGGCTCGTCTTTCATCTCACAACAGGAAGGGATGTCTGAATCCCCTGTGGAGACCTTAGAGAAAGCCCTAGGTCCCTGCCTTATTTTGAAGGAATGCCTCACATCCCGTTGACACCACGAGAGGCACGCGGAGTTCACTGCTTCAAAAGGTGACGATGCCTGACTCCTCTTGAATATTGATAGGAATCCCAAAATCCCTGTGGCTATTGGAAAGGTTCCTTGTGTGCCCTGCCTCACCTCGAGAAGCGTCCCTTGTGCCCTGCCAAGCCTCGAAGAGATTCCTGAGCTGTCCCTCGTTACTAGGCAGGAGGCCTGACGTCATTGAATAAACACGTGTTTTGAAGGGCCATCCCCGCCATAACTCGAGAACATACCCCAGGTCCCGCCGCAACTCGAGAAAAACCATGAGACTTCCCCTAGATGCGAGATGAGGCCTTATTCCCTGCAGTCCATGCAGAGCATTCCCGTGATCCCCATCAAGCAAGTCAGGAGCTTCGACTAGCTTAATCGAACTCGCGAAAGTCCCCAGGAACACTGTCACAAGTCTAGACAGACCCTGAGGTCATCCCAGCAATGCAAAGCAGCACGAAGTCCCCCACATCAACACGAGATGAGGCCCGATTCCCCTGCATTGACTCCAGAGCCATCCCCCGTACCCCATTAAACACCACGAGTGGCTTGACTTCCTTCATGCAATTCCAGAGTTGCCCCGAGAACACTGTCCCAAGTCTAGAGGAATACGAACTTAAGCACAGCAACTCCAGGAATGCTCCGTGTACCCCAAATCGTCTCGAGATGAGAGCTGATACCCTGGCTTAGGCTCAAGACGTATGCCAACTTTCCAGAAGCACCACAAGAGGACGCTTCTCTCAGCAATAGGTTTGTTCGTGGGACCCCGAGTTTGCTGCCTTAAGTGGAATATACAGCGAGAAGCCCTAACTTGAAAGGAGGCCGGATTTCCTTGCAGTGTGTTGAATACAGGCTCGTCTTTCATCTCACAACAGGAAGGGATGTCTGAATCCCCTGTGAAGACCTTAGAGAACGCCCTAGGTCCCTGCCTCATTTGGACGGAATACCTCACATCCCGTTGTCATCTCGAGAGGCACGCGGAGTTCACTGCTTCAAAAGGTGACGATGCCTGACTCCTCTTGAATATTGATTGGAATCCCAAAATCCCTATGGCTATTGGAAAGGTTCCTTGGGTGCCCTGCCTCACCTCGAGAAGCGTCCCTTGTGCCCTGCCAAGCCTCGAAGAGATTCCTGAGTTGTCTCTCGTTACTAGACAGGAGTCCTGACCTCACTGAATAAACAAGTGTTTTGAAGGGCCATCCCCACTATAACTCGAGAACATACCCGAGGTCTCGCCGCAAATCGAGAAAGACCATGAGACTTCCCCTAGATGCGAGATGAGGCCTTTTTCCCTGCAGTCCATGCAGAGCATTCCCGTGATCCCCATCAAACAAGTCAGGTGCTTCGACTTGCTTAATCGAACTCGCGAAAGTCCCCAGGAACACTGTCAAAAGTCTAGACAGAACCTGAGGTCACCCCAGCAATGCAAAGCAGGTCCAAGTACCACACATCAACTCGAGATGAGGCCCGATTCCACTGCATTGACTCCAGAGCCATCCCCCGTACCCCATTAAACACCACCAGTTTCTTGACTTCCTTCAGGCAACTCCAGAGATTCCCTGAGAACACTGTCCCAAGTCTAGAGAAATACGAACTTCAGCACAGCAACTCGAAGAATGCCCCGTGTACCCCAAATCGTCTCGAGATGAGAGCTGATTCCCTGGCTTAGGCTCAAGACGTATGCCAACTTTCCAGAAGCACCTCAAGCGGAGGCTTCTCTCAGCAATAGGTATGTTGGAGGGACCCCCAGTTTGCTGCCTCAAGTGGAATATACAGCGAGAAGCCCTAACTTGAAAGGAGGCCGGATTTCCTTGCAGTGTCTTGAATACAGGCTCGTCTTTCATCTCACACCCGGAAAGGATGCCTGAATCCCCTGTGGTGACCTTAGAGAAAGCCCTAGGTCTCTGCCTCATTTTGACGGAATGCCTCACATCCCGTTGACACCTCGAGAGGCACACGGAGTTCACTGCTTCAAAATGTGACGATGCCTGACTCCTCCTGAATTTTGATAGGAATCCCAAAATCACTGTGGCTACAGAAAAGGGTTCTTGGGTGCCCTGCCTCACTTCGGGAAGCATCCCTTTTGCCCTGCCAAGCTTCGAAGAGATTCCTGACGTGTCTCTCGTTACTAGACAGGAGTCCTGACGTCACTGAATAAACACGTGTTTTGAAGGGCCATCCCCGCCGTAACTCGAGAAGATACCCCAGGTCCCCAGCGCAACTTGAGAGAAACCATGAGACTTCCCCCTAGATGCGAGATGAGTCCTGATTCCCTGCAGTGCATGCTGAGTATTCCCGTGATCCTCATCAAACAAGTCAGGAGCTTCGACTTGCTTAATGGATCTCGAGACAGTCCCCAAGAACACTGTCACAAGTCTAGACGGACCCTGAGGTCACCCCAGCAACGCAAAGCAGCTCCATGTGCGCCAAATCAACTCGAGATGTGGCCCGATTCCCCTGCATTGACTCCAGAGCCATCCCCCGTTCCCCATTAAACAAGACCACTGGATTGACTTCCTTCAGCCAACTCCAGAGATGCCCCGAGAACACTGTCCCAAGACTAGAGGAACACCAACTTCAGCAGAGCAACTCGAGGAATGCTCCGTGTACCACAAATCGTCTCGAGATGAGAGCTGATTCCCTGGCTTAGGCTCAAGACGTATGCCAACTTTCCAGAAGCACCTCAAGAGGAGGCTTCTCTCAGCAATAGGTATGTTCGTGGGACCCCGAGTTTGCTGCCTCAAGTGGAATATACAGCGAGAAGCCCTAACTTGAAAGGAGGCCGGATTTCCTTGCAGTGGCTTGAATACAGGCTCGTCTTTCATCTCACAGCATGAAGGGATGACTGAATGCCCTGTGGAGACCTTAGAGAAAGCCCTAGGTACCTGCCTCATTTTGACGGAATGCCTCACATCCCGTTGTCACCTCGAGAGGCACGCGGAGTTCACTGCTTCAAAAGGTGACGATGCCTGACAACTCTTGAATATTGATAGGAATCCCCAAATCCCTGTGGCTATTGGAAAGGTTACTTGGGTGCCATGCCTCACCTCGAGAAGCGTCCCTTGTGCCCTGCCAAGACTCGAAGAGATTCCTGAGCTGTCCCTCGTTACTGGACAGGAGTCCTGACGTCACTGAATAAACACGAGTTTTGAAGGGCCATCCCGGCCGTAACGCGAGTACATACCCCAGGTCCCCACCGCAAGTCCAGAAAAAACATGAGATTTTTCCCCTAGAGGCGAGATGAGGCCCGAATCTCCTGCAGTGCATGCAGAGCAATTCCGTGATCCCCATCAAACAAGTCAGGACCTTCGACTTGCTTAATGGATTTCGAGACAGTCCCCAAGAATACTGTCACATGTCTAGACGGATCCTGAGGTCACACCATCAAAGCAAAGCAGCACAATGTGCCCCAAATCAACTCGAGATGATGCCAGATTCCCCTGCATTGACTCCAAAGCCATCCCCCGTTCCCCATTAAACACGACCAGTGGCTTGACTTCCTTCAGGCAACTCCAGAGATGCCCCGAGAACACTGTCCCAAGTCTAGATTAACACCAACTTCAGCACAGCAACTCGAGGAATGCTCCATGTACCCCAAATCGTCTCGAGATGAGAGCTGATTCCCTGGCTTAGGCTCAAGACGTATGCCAACTTTCCAGAAGCACCTCAAGGGGAGGCTTCTCTCAGCAATAGGTATGTTGGAGGGACACCGAGTTTGCTGCCTCAAGTGGAATATACAGCGAGAAGCCCTAACTTGAAAGGAGGCCGGAATTCCTGGCAGTGTCTTGAATACAGGCTCGTCTTTCATCTCACAACAGGAAGGGATGTCTGAATCCCCTGTGGAGACCTTAGAGAAAGCCCTAGGTCCCTGCCTCATTGTGACGGAATGCCTCACATCCCGTTGACACCTCGAGAGGCACACAGAGTTCACCGCTTCAAAATATAACGATGCCTGACTCCTCTTGAACATTGATAGGAATCCCAATATCACTGTAGCTACAGGACAGGGTTCTTGGGTGCCCTGCCTCACCTAGAGAAGCATCCGTTTTGCCCTGCCAAGCCTCGAAGAGATTCCTGAGGTGTCTCTCATTACTAGACAGGAGTCCTGACGTCACTGAATAAACACGTGTTTTGAAGGGCCATTCCCGCCATAACTCGAGAACATACCCCAGGTCCGGCCGCAACTCGAGAAAAACCATGAGACTTCCCCTAGATCCGAGAAGAGGCCTGATTCACTGCAGTCCATGCAGAGCATTCCCCTGATCCCCATCAAGCAAGTCAGGAGCTTCGACTTGCTTAATCGAACTAGAGAAAGTCCCCAGGAACACTGTCACAAGTCTAGACAGACACTGAGGTCACACCAGCAATGCAAAGCAGCTCGAAGTACCCCACATCAACTCGAGATGAAGCCCGATTCTCCTGCATTGACTCCAGAGCCATCCCCCGTAACACATTAAACACCACCAGTGGCTTGACTTCCTTCAGGCAACTCCAGAGATTCCCTGAGAACACTGTCTCAAGTCTAGAGTAATAAGAACTTCAGCACAGCAACTCGAGAAATTCTCCGTGTACCCCAAATCGTTTCGAGTTGAGAGCTGATTCCATGGCTTAGGCTCAAGACGTATGCCAACTTTCCAGAAGCACCTCAAGAGGAGGCTTCTCTCAGCAATAGGTATTTGGGAGGGACCCCGAGTTTGCTGCCTCAAGTGGAATATACAGCGAGAAGCCCTAACTTGAAAGGAGGCCGGATTTCCTTGCAGTGGCTTGAATACAGGCTCGTCTTTCATCTCACAAACGGAAGGGATGTCTGAATCCCCTGTGGAGACCTTAGAGAAAGTTCTAGGTCCCTGCCTCATTTTGACGGAATGCCTCACATCCCGTTGACACTTCGAGAGGCACGCGGAGTTCACTGCTTCAAAAGGTGATGATGCCTCACTCGTCTTGAATATTGATAGGAATCCCAAAATCACTGTGGCTACTGGAAAGGGTCCTTGGGTGCCCTGCCACTCGTCGAGAAGCGTCCCTTGTGCCCTGCCAAGCCTCGAAGAGATTCCTGAGCTGTCCCTCGTAACTGGACAGGAGTCATGACGTCACTGAATAAACACGAGTTTTGAAGGGCCATCCCCGCCGTAACCCGAGTACATACCCCAGGTCCCCGCCGCAAGTCGAGAAAAACCATGAGACTTTCCCCTAGAGGCGAGATGAGGCCCGATTCTCCTGCAGTGCATGCAGAGCAATTCCGTGATCCCCATCAAACAAGTCAGAACCTTCGACTTGCCTAATGGATCTCGAGACAGTCCCCAAGAATACTGTCACATGTCTAGACGGATCCTGAGGTCACCCCGTCAACGGAAAGCAGCACAATGTGCCCCAAATTAACTCGGGATGATGCCAGATTCCCCTGCATTGACTCCAGAGCCATCCCCCGTTCCCCATTAAACACGGCCAGTGGCTTGACTTCCTTCAGGCAACTCCAGAGATGCCCCGAGAACACTGTCCCAAGTCTAGAGGAACACCAACTTCAGCACAGCAACTCGAGGAATGCTCCGTGTACCCCAAATCGTCTCGAGATGAGAGCTGATTCCCTGGCTTAGGCTCAAGACGTATGCCAACTTTCCAGAAGCACCTCAAGGGGAGGCTTCTCTCAACAATAGGTATGTTGGAGGGATCCCCAGTTTGCTGCCTCAAGGGGAATATAGAGCGAGAAGCCCTAACTTGAAAGGAGGACGGATTTCCTTGCAGTGTCTTGAATGCAGGCTCGTCTTTCATCTCACAAACGGAAGGGATGTCTGAATCCCCTGTGGAGACCTTAGAGAAAGCCCTAGGTCCCTTCCTCATTTTGAAGGAATGCCTCACATCCCGTTGACACATCAAGAGGCACACGGAGTTCACTGCTTCAAAATGTGACGATGCCTGACTCCTATTGAACATTGATAGGAATCCCAAAATCACTCTGGCTACAGGAAAGGGTTCTTGGTGCCCTGCCTCACCTCGAGAAGCATCCCTTTTGCCCTGCCAAGCCACGAAGAGATTCCTGAGGTGACTCTCATTACTAGACAGGAGTCCTGACGTCACTGAATAAACACGTGTTTTGAAGGGCCATCCCCGCCATAACTCGAGAACATAACCCAGGTCCCGCCGCAACTCGAGAAAAACGATGAGACTTCCCCTAGATGCGAGATGAGGTCTGATTCCCTGCAGTCCATGCAGAGCAGTCCCGTGATCCCCATCAAGCAAGTCAGGAGCGTCGACTGGCTTAATGGATCTCGAGAGAGTCCCCAGGAACACTGTCACAAGTCTACACAGACCCTGAGGTCACCCCAGCAATGCAAAGCAGCTCCAAGTGCCCCACATCAACTCGAGATGAGGCCCGATTCTCCGGCATTGACTCCAGAGCCATCCCCCGTACCCCATTAAACACCACCAGTGGCTTGACTTCCTTCAGGCAATTCCAGAGATGCCCTGAGAACACTGTCCAAAGTCTAGAGGAATACGAACTTCAGCACAGCAACTCGAGGAATGCTCCGTGTACCCCAAATCGTTTCGAGGTGAGAGGTGATTCCCTGGCTTAGGTTGAAGATGTATGCCAACTTTCCAGAAGCACCTCAAGAGGAGGCTTCTCTCAGCAATAGGTATTTGGGTGGGACCCCGAGTTTGCTGCCTCAAGTGGAATATACAGCGAGAAGCCCTAACTTGAAAGGAGGATGGATTTCCTTGCAGTGGCTTGAATACAGGCTCGTCTTTCATCTCACAGCATGAAGGGATGTCTGAATCCCCTGTGGAGACCTTAGAGAAAGCTCTAGGTCCCTGCCTCCTTTTGACGGAATGCCTCTCATCCCGTTGTCACCTCGAGAGGCACGCGGAGTTCAGTGCTTCAAAAGGTGACGATGCCTGACTCCTCTTGAATATTGATAGGAATCCCAAAATCCCTGTGGCTATTGGAAAGGTTCCTTGGGTGCCCTGCCTCACCTCGAGAAGCGTCCCTTGTGCCCTGCCAAGCCTCGAAGAGATTCCTGAGGTGTCTCTCGTTACTAGACAGGAGTCCTGACCTCACTGAATAAACAAGTGTTTTGAAGGGCCATCCCCACTATAACTCGAGAACATACCCGAGGTCTCGCCGCAAATCGAGAAAGACCATGAGACTTCCCCTAGATGCGAGATGAGGCCTTTTTCCCTGCAGTCCATGCAGAGCATTCCCGTGATCCCCATCAAGCAAGTCAGGTGCTTCGACTTGCTTAATCGAACTCGCGAAAGTCCCCAGGAACACTGTCAAAAGTCTAGACAGAACCTGAGGTCACCCCAGCAATGCAAAGCAGGTCCAAGTACCACACATCAACTCGAGATGAGGCCCGATTCCACTGCATTGACTCCAGAGCCATCCCCCGTACCCCATTAAACACCACCAGTTTCTTGACTTCCTTCAGGCAACTCCAGAGATTCCCTGAGAACACTGTCCCAAGTCTAGAGAAATACGAACTTCAGCACAGCAACTCGAAGAATGCCCCGTGTACCCCAAATCGTCTCGAGATGAGAGCTGATTCCCTGGCTTAGGCTCAAGACGTATGCCAACTTTCCAGAAGCACCTCAAGCGGAGGCTTCTCTCAGCAATAGGTATGTTGGAGGGACCCCCAGTTTGCTGCCTCAAGTGGAATATACAGCGAGAAGCCCTAACTTGAAAGGAGGCCGGATTTCCTTGCAGTGTCTTGAATACAGGCTCGTCTTTCATCTCACACCCGGAAAGGATGCCTGAATCCCCTGTGGTGACCTTAGAGAAAGCCCTAGGTCTCTGCCTCATTTTGACGGAATGCCTCACATCCCGTTGACACCTCGAGAGGCACACGGAGTTCACTGCTTCAAAATGTGACGATGCCTGACTCCTCCTGAATTTTGATAGGAATCCCAAAATCACTGTGGCTACAGAAAAGGGTTCTTGGGTGCCCTGCCTCACTTCGGGAAGCATCCCTTTTGCCCTGCCAAGCTTCGAAGAGATTCCTGACGTGTCTCTCGTTACTAGACAGGAGTCCTGACGTCACTGAATAAACACGTGTTTTGAAGGGCCATCCCCGCCGTAACTCGAGAAGATACCCCAGGTCCCCAGCGCAACTTGAGAGAAACCATGAGACTTCCCCCTAGATGCGAGATGAGTCCTGATTCCCTGCAGTGCATGCTGAGTATTCCCGTGATCCTCATCAAACAAGTCAGGAGCTTCGACTTGCTTAATGGATCTCGAGACAGTCCCCAAGAACACTGTCACAAGTCTAGACGGACCCTGAGGTCACCCCAGCAACGCAAAGCAGCTCCATGTGCGCCAAATCAACTCGAGATGTGGCCCGATTCCCCTGCATTGACTCCAGAGCCATCCCCCGTTCCCCATTAAACAAGACCACTGTATTGACTTCCTTCAGCCAACTCCAGAGATGCCCCGAGAACACTGTCCCAAGACTAGAGGAACACCAACTTCAGCAGAGCAACTCGAGGAATGCTCCGTGTACCACAAATCGTCTCGAGATGAGAGCTGATTCCCTGGCTTAGGCTCAAGACGTATGCCAACTTTCCAGAAGCACCTCAAGAGGAGGCTTCTCTCAGCAATAGGTATGTTCGTGGGACCCCGAGTTTGCTGCCTCAAGTGGAATATACAGCGAGAAGCCCTAACTTGAAAGGAGGCCGGATTTCCTTGCAGTGGCTTGAATACAGGCTCGTCTTTCATCTCACAGCATGAAGGGATGACTGAATGCCCTGTGGAGACCTTAGAGAAAGCCCTAGGTACCTGCCTCATTTTGACGGAATGCCTCACATCCCGTTGTCACCTCGAGAGGCACGCGGAGTTCACTGCTTCAAAAGGTGACGATGCCTGACAACTCTTGAATATTGATAGGAATCCCCAAATCCCTGTGGCTATTGGAAAGGTTACTTGGGTGCCATGCCTCACCTCGAGAAGCGTCCCTTGTGCCCTGCCAAGACTCGAAGAGATTCCTGAGCTGTCCCTCGTTACTGGACAGGAGTCCTGACGTCACTGAATAAACACGAGTTTTGAAGGGCCATCCCGGCCGTAACGCGAGTACATACCCCAGGTCCCCACCGCAAGTCCAGAAAAAACATGAGATTTTTCCCCTAGAGGCGAGATGAGGCCCGAATCTCCTGCAGTGCATGCAGAGCAATTCCGTGATCCCCATCAAACAAGTCAGGACCTTCGACTTGCTTAATGGATTTCGAGACAGTCCCCAAGAATACTGTCACATGTCTAGACGGATCCTGAGGTCACACCATCAAAGCAAAGCAGCACAATGTGCCCCAAATCAACTCGAGATGATGCCAGATTCCCCTGCATTGACTCCAAAGCCATCCCCCGTTCCCCATTAAACACGACCAGTGGCTTGACTTCCTTCAGGCAACTCCAGAGATGCCCCGAGAACACTGTCCCAAGTCTAGATTAACACCAACTTCAGCACAGCAACTCGAGGAATGCTCCATGTACCCCAAATCGTCTCGAGATGAGAGCTGATTCCCTGGCTTAGGCTCAAGACGTATGCCAACTTTCCAGAAGCACCTCAAGGGGAGGCTTCTCTCAGCAATAGGTATGTTGGAGGGACACCGAGTTTGCTGCCTCAAGTGGAATATACAGCGAGAAGCCCTAACTTGAAAGGAGGCCGGAATTCCTGGCAGTGTCTTGAATACAGGCTCGTCTTTCATCTCACAACAGGAAGGGATGTCTGAATCCCCTGTGGAGACCTTAGAGAAAGCCCTAGGTCCCTGCCTCATTGTGACGGAATGCCTCACATCCCGTTGACACCTCGAGAGGCACACGGAGTTCACCGCTTCAAAATATAACGATGCCTGACTCCTCTTGAACATTGATAGGAATCCCAATATCACTGTAGCTACAGGACAGGGTTCTTGGGTGCCCTGCCTCACCTAGAGAAGCATCCGTTTTGCCCTGCCAAGCCTCGAAGAGATTCCTGAGGTGTCTCTCATTACTAGACAGGAGTCCTGACGTCACTGAATAAACACGTGTTTTGAAGGGCCATTCCCGCCATAACTCGAGAACATACCCCAGGTCCGGCCGCAACTCGAGAAAAACCATGAGACTTCCCCTAGATCCGAGAAGAGGCCTGATTCACTGCAGTCCATGCAGAGCATTCCCCTGATCCCCATCAAGCAAGTCAGGAGCTTCGACTTGCTTAATCGAACTAGAGAAAGTCCCCAGGAACACTGTCACAAGTCTAGACAGACACTGAGGTCACACCAGCAATGCAAAGCAGCTCCAAGTACCCCACATCAACTCGAGATGAGGCCCGATTCTCCTGCATTGACTCCAGAGCCATCCCCCGTAACACATTAAACACCACCAGTGGCTTGACTTCCTTCAGGCAACTCCAGAGATTCCCTGAGAACACTGTCTCAAGTCTAGAGGAATAAGAACTTCAGCACAGCAACTCGAGAAATTCTCCGTGTACCCCAAATCGTTTCGAGTTGAGAGCTGATTCCATGGCTTAGGCTCAAGACGTATGCCAACTTTCCAGAAGCACCTAAAGAGGAGGCTTCTCTCAGCAATAGGTATTTGGGAGGGACCCCGAGTTTGCTGCCTCAAGTGGAATATACAGCGAGAAGCCCTAACTTGAAAGGAGGCCGGATTTCCTTGCAGTGGCTTGAATACAGGCTCGTCTTTCATCTCACAAACGGAAGGGATGTCTGAATCCCCTGTGGAGACCTTAGAGAAAGCTCTAGGTCCCTGCCTCATTTTGACGGAATGCCTCACATCCCGTTGACACTTCGAGAGGCACGCGGAGTTCACTGCTTCAAAAGGTGATGATGCCTCACTCGTCTTGAATATTGATAGGAATCCCAAAATCACTGTGGCTACTGGAAAGGGTCCTTGGGTGCCCTGCCACTCGTCGAGAAGCGTCCCTTGTGCCCTGCCAAGCCTCGAAGAGATTCCTGAGCTGTCCCTCGTAACTGGACAGGAGTCATGACGTCACTGAATAAACACGAGTTTTGAAGGGCCATCCCCGCCGTAACCCGAGTACATACCCCAGGTCCCCGCCGCAAGTCGAGAAAAACCATGAGACTTTCCCCTAGAGGCGAGATGAGGCCCGATTCTCCTGCAGTGCATGCAGAGCAATTCCGTGATCCCCATCAAACAAGTCAGAACCTTCGACTTGCCTAATGGATCTCGAGACAGTCCCCAAGAATACTGTCACATGTCTAGACGGATCCTGAGGTCACCCCGTCAACGGAAAGCAGCACAATGTGCCCCAAATTAACTCGGGATGATGCCAGATTCCCCTGCATTGACTCCAGAGCCATCCCCCGTTCCCCATTAAACACGGCCAGTGGCTTGACTTCCTTCAGGCAACTCCAGAGATGCCCCGAGAACACTGTCCCAAGTCTAGAGGAACACCAACTTCAGCACAGCAACTCGAGGAATGCTCCGTGTACCCCAAATCGTCTCGAGATGAGAGCTGATTCCCTGGCTTAGGCTCAAGACGTATGCCAACTTTCCAGAAGCACCTCAAGGGGAGGCTTCTCTCAACAATAGGTATGTTGGAGGGATCCCCAGTTTGCTGCCTCAAGGGGAATATAGAGCGAGAAGCCCTAACTTGAAAGGAGGACGGATTTCCTTGCAGTGTCTTGAATGCAGGCTCGTCTTTCATCTCACAAACGGAAGGGATGTCTGAATCCCCTGTGGAGACCTTAGAGAAAGCCCTAGGTCCCTTCCTCATTTTGAAGGAATGCCTCACATCCCGTTGACACATCAAGAGGCACACGGAGTTCACTGCTTCAAAATGTGACGATGCCTGACTCCTATTGAACATTGATAGGAATCCCAAAATCACTCTGGCTACAGGAAAGGGTTCTTGGTGCCCTGCCTCACCTCGAGAAGCATCCCTTTTGCCCTGCCAAGCCACGAAGAGATTCCTGAGGTGACTCTCATTACTAGACAGGAGTCCTGACGTCACTGAATAAACACGTGTTTTGAAGGGCCATCCCCGCCATAACTCGAGAACATAACCCAGGTCCCGCCGCAACTCGAGAAAAACGATGAGACTTCCCCTAGATGCGAGATGAGGTCTGATTCCCTGCAGTCCATGCAGAGCAGTCCCGTGATCCCCATCAAGCAAGTCAGGAGCGTCGACTGGCTTAATGGATCTCGAGAGAGTCCCCAGGAACACTGTCACAAGTCTACACAGACCCTGAGGTCACCCCAGCAATGCAAAGCAGCTCCAAGTGCCCCACATCAACTCGAGATGAGGCCCGATTCTCCGGCATTGACTCCAGAGCCATCCCCCGTACCCCATTAAACACCACCAGTGGCTTGACTTCCTTCAGGCAATTCCAGAGATGCCCTGAGAACACTGTCCAAAGTCTAGAGGAATACGAACTTCAGCACAGCAACTCGAGGAATGCTCCGTGTACCCCAAATCGTTTCGAGGTGAGAGGTGATTCCCTGGCTTAGGTTGAAGATGTATGCCAACTTTCCAGAAGCACCTCAAGAGGAGGCTTCTCTCAGCAATAGGTATTTGGGTGGGACCCCGAGTTTGCTGCCTCAAGTGGAATATACAGCGAGAAGCCCTAACTTGAAAGGAGGATGGATTTCCTTGCAGTGGCTTGAATACAGGCTCGTCTTTCATCTCACAGCATGAAGGGATGTCTGAATCCCCTGTGGAGACCTTAGAGAAAGCTCTAGGTCCCTGCCTCCTTTTGACGGAATGCCTCTCATCCCGTTGTCACCTCGAGAGGCACGCGGAGTTCAGTGCTTCAAAAGGTGACGATGCCTGACTCCTCTTGAATATTGATAGGAATCCCAAAATCCCTGTGGCTATTGGAAAGGTTCCTTGGGTGCCCTGCCTCACCTCGAGAAGCGTCCCTTGTGCCCTGCCAAGCCTCGAAGAGATTCCTGAGGTGTCTCTCGTTACTAGACAGGAGTCCTGACCTCACTGAATAAACAAGTGTTTTGAAGGGCCATCCCCACTATAACTCGAGAACATACCCGAGGTCTCGCCGCAAATCGAGAAAGACCATGAGACTTCCCCTAGATGCGAGATGAGGCCTTTTTCCCTGCAGTCCATGCAGAGCATTCCCGTGATCCCCATCAAGCAAGTCAGGTGCTTCGACTTGCTTAATCGAACTCGCGAAAGTCCCCAGGAACACTGTCAAAAGTCTAGACAGAACCTGAGGTCACCCCAGCAATGCAAAGCAGGTCCAAGTACCACACATCAACTCGAGATGAGGCCCGATTCCACTGCATTGACTCCAGAGCCATCCCCCGTACCCCATTAAACACCACCAGTTTCTTGACTTCCTTCAGGCAACTCCAGAGATTCCCTGAGAACACTGTCCCAAGTCTAGAGAAATACGAACTTCAGCACAGCAACTCGAAGAATGCCCCGTGTACCCCAAATCGTCTCGAGATGAGAGCTGATTCCCTGGCTTAGGCTCAAGACGTATGCCAACTTTCCAGAAGCACCTCAAGCGGAGGCTTCTCTCAGCAATAGGTATGTTGGAGGGACCCCCAGTTTGCTGCCTCAAGTGGAATATACAGCGAGAAGCCCTAACTTGAAAGGAGGCCGGATTTCCTTGCAGTGTCTTGAATACAGGCTCGTCTTTCATCTCACACCCGGAAAGGATGCCTGAATCCCCTGTGGTGACCTTAGAGAAAGCCCTAGGTCTCTGCCTCATTTTGACGGAATGCCTCACATCCCGTTGACACCTCGAGAGGCACACGGAGTTCACTGCTTCAAAATGTGACGATGCCTGACTCCTCCTGAATTTTGATAGGAATCCCAAAATCACTGTGGCTACAGAAAAGGGTTCTTGGGTGCCCTGCCTCACTTCGGGAAGCATCCCTTTTGCCCTGCCAAGCTTCGAAGAGATTCCTGACGTGTCTCTCGTTACTAGACAGGAGTCCTGACGTCACTGAATAAACACGTGTTTTGAAGGGCCATCCCCGCCGTAACTCGAGAAGATACCCCAGGTCCCCAGCGCAACTTGAGAGAAACCATGAGACTTCCCCCTAGATGCGAGATGAGTCCTGATTCCCTGCAGTGCATGCTGAGTATTCCCGTGATCCTCATCAAACAAGTCAGGAGCTTCGACTTGCTTAATGGATCTCGAGACAGTCCCCAAGAACACTGTCACAAGTCTAGACGGACCCTGAGGTCACCCCAGCAACGCAAAGCAGCTCCATGTGCGCCAAATCAACTCGAGATGTGGCCCGATTCCCCTGCATTGACTCCAGAGCCATCCCCCGTTCCCCATTAAACAAGACCACTGTATTGACTTCCTTCAGCCAACTCCAGAGATGCCCCGAGAACACTGTCCCAAGACTAGAGGAACACCAACTTCAGCAGAGCAACTCGAGGAATGCTCCGTGTACCACAAATCGTCTCGAGATGAGAGCTGATTCCCTGGCTTAGGCTCAAGACGTATGCCAACTTTCCAGAAGCACCTCAAGAGGAGGCTTCTCTCAGCAATAGGTATGTTCGTGGGACCCCGAGTTTGCTGCCTCAAGTGGAATATACAGCGAGAAGCCCTAACTTGAAAGGAGGCCGGATTTCCTTGCAGTGGCTTGAATACAGGCTCGTCTTTCATCTCACAGCATGAAGGGATGACTGAATGCCCTGTGGAGACCTTAGAGAAAGCCCTAGGTACCTGCCTCATTTTGACGGAATGCCTCACATCCCGTTGTCACCTCGAGAGGCACGCGGAGTTCACTGCTTCAAAAGGTGACGATGCCTGACAACTCTTGAATATTGATAGGAATCCCCAAATCCCTGTGGCTATTGGAAAGGTTACTTGGGTGCCATGCCTCACCTCGAGAAGCGTCCCTTGTGCCCTGCCAAGACTCGAAGAGATTCCTGAGCTGTCCCTCGTTACTGGACAGGAGTCCTGACGTCACTGAATAAACACGAGTTTTGAAGGGCCATCCCGGCCGTAACGCGAGTACATACCCCAGGTCCCCACCGCAAGTCCAGAAAAAACATGAGATTTTTCCCCTAGAGGCGAGATGAGGCCCGATTCTCCTGCAGTGCATGCAGAGCAATTCCGTGATCCCCATCAAACAAGTCAGGACCTTCGACTTGCTTAATGGATTTCGAGACAGTCCCCAAGAATACTGTCACATGTCTAGACGGATCCTGAGGTCACACCATCAAAGCAAAGCAGCACAATGTGCCCCAAATCAACTCGAGATGATGCCAGATTCCCCTGCATTGACTCCAAAGCCATCCCCCGTTCCCCATTAAACACGACCAGTGGCTTGACTTCCTTCAGGCAACTCCAGAGATGCCCCGAGAACACTGTCCCAAGTCTAGGTTAACACCAACTTCAGCACAGCAACTCGAGGAATGCTCCATGTACCCCAAATCGTCTCGAGATGAGAGCTGATTCCCTGGCTTAGGCTCAAGACGTATGCCAACTTTCCAGAAGCACCTCAAGGGGAGGCTTCTCTCAGCAATAGGTATGTTGGAGGGACACCGAGTTTGCTGCCTCAAGTGGAATATACAGCGAGAAGCCCTAACTTGAAAGGAGGCCGGATATCCTTGCAGTGTCTTGAATACAGGCTCGTCTTTCATCTCACAACTGGAAGGGATGTTTGAATCCCCTGTGGAGACCTTAGAGTAAGCCCTAGGTCCCTGCCTCATTTTGACGGAATGCCTCACATCCCGTTGACACCTCGAGAGGCATACGGAGTTCACTGCTTCAAAATGTGACGATGCCTGACTCCTCCTGAACAATGATAGGAATCCCAAAATCACTGTGGCTACAGGAAAGGGTTCTTGGGTGCCCTGCCTCACCTCGAGAAGCATCCCTTTTGCCCTGCCAAGCCTCGAAGAGATTCCTGAGGTGTCTCTCGTTACTAGACAGGAGTCCTGACGTCACTGAATAAACACGTGTTTTGAAGGGCCATCCCCGCCATAACTCGAGAACATACCCCAGGTCCCGCCGCAACTCGAGCAAAACGATGAGAATTCCCCTAGATGCGAGATGAGGTCTGATTCCCTGCAGTCCATGCAGAGCAGTCCCGTGATCCCCATCAAGCAAGTCAGGAGCTTCGACTTGCTTAATTGATCTCGAGAGAGTCCCCAGGAACACTGTCACAAGTCTAGACAGACCCTGAGGTCACCCCAGCAATGCAAAGCAGCTCCAAGTGCCCCACATCAACTCGAGATGAGGCCCGATTCTCCGGCATTGACTCCAGAGCCATCCCCCGTACCACATTAAACACCACCAGTGGCTTGACTTCCTTCAGGCAACTCCAGAGATGCCCCGAGAACACTGTCCCAAGTCTAGAGGAACACCAACTTCAGCACAGCAACTCGAGGAATGCTCCATGTACCCCAAATCGTTTCGAGGTGAGAGGTGATTCCCTGGCTTAGGCTCAAGATGTATGCCAACTTTCCAGAAGCACCTCAAGAGGAGGCTTCTCTCAGCAATCGGTATGTGGGAGGGACCCCGAGTTTGCTGCCTCAAGTGGAATATACTGCGAGAAGCCCTAACTTGAAAGGAGGCCGGAATTCCTTGCAGTGTCTTGAATACAGGCTCGTCTTTCATCTCACAACAGGAAGGGATGTCTGAATCCCCTGTGGAGACCTTAGAGAAAGCCCTAGGTCCCTGCCTCATTGTGACGGAATGCCTCACATCCCGTTGACACCTCGAGAGGCACACGGAGTTCACCGCTTCAAAATATAACGATGCCTGACTCCTCTTGAACATTGATAGGAATCCCAATATCACTGTAGCTACAGGACAGGGTTCTTGGGTGCCCTGCCTCACCTAGAGAAGCATCCGTTTTGCCCTGCCAAGCCTCGAAGAGATTCCTGAGGTGTCTCTCATTACTAGACAGGAGTCCTGACGTCACTGAATAAACACGTGTTTTGAAGGGCCATTCCCGCCATAACTCGAGAACATACCCCAGGTCCGGCCGCAACTCGAGAAAAACCATGAGACTTCCCCTAGATCCGAGAAGAGGCCTGATTCACTGCAGTCCATGCAGAGCATTCCCCTGATCCCCATCAAGCAAGTCAGGAGCTTCGACTTGCTTAATCGAACTAGAGAAAGTCCCCAGGAACACTGTCACAAGTCTAGACAGACACTGAGGTCACACCAGCAATGCAAAGCAGCTCCAAGTACCCCACATCAACTCGAGATGAGGCCCGATTCTCCTGCATTGACTCCAGAGCCATCCCCCGTAACACATTAAACACCACCAGTGGCTTGACTTCCTTCAGGCAACTCCAGAGATTCCCTGAGAACACTGTCTCAAGTCTAGAGGAATAAGAACTTCAGCACAGCAACTCGAGAAATTCTCCGTGTACCCCAAATCGTTTCGAGTTGAGAGCTGATTCCATGGCTTAGGCTCAAGACGTATGCCAACTTTCCAGAAGCACCTCAAGAGGAGGCTTCTCTCAGCAATAGGTATTTGGGAGGGACCCCGAGTTTGCTGCCTCAAGTGGAATATACAGCGAGAAGCCCTAACTTGAAAGGAGGCCGGATTTCCTTGCAGTGGCTTGAATACAGGCTCGTCTTTCATCTCACAGCATGAAGGGATGTCTGAATCCCCTGTGGAGACCTTAGAGAAAGCTCTAGGTCCCTGCCTCATTTTGACGGAATGCCTCACATCCCGTTGACACTTCGAGAGGCACGCGGAGTTCACTGCTTCAAAAGGTGATGATGCCTCACTCGTCTTGAATATTGATAGGAATCCCAAAATCACTGTGGCTACTGGAAAGGGTCCTTCGGTGCCCTGCCACTCGTCGAGAAGCGTCCCTTGTGCCCTGCCAAGCCTCGAAGAGATTCCTGAGCTGTCCCTCGTAACTGGACAGGAGTCATGACGTCACTGAATAAACACGAGTTTTGAAGGGCCATCCCCGCCGTAACCCGAGTACATACCCCAGGTCCCCGCCGCAAGTCGAGAAAAACCATGAGACTTTCCCCTAGAGGCGAGATGAGGCCCGATTCTCCTGCAGTGCATGCAGAGCAATTCCGTGATCCCCATCAAACAAGTCAGAACCTTCGACTTGCCTAATGGATCTCGAGACAGTCCCCAAGAATACTGTCACATGTCTAGACGGATCCTGAGGTCACCCCGTCAACGGAAAGCAGCACAATGTGCCCCAAATTAACTCGGGATGATGCCAGATTCCCCTGCATTGACTCCAGAGCCATCCCCCGTTCCCCATTAAACACGGCCAGTGGCTTGACTTCCTTCAGGCAACTCCAGAGATGCCCCGAGAACACTGTCCCAAGTCTAGAGGAACACCAACTTCAGCACAGCAACTCGAGGAATGCTCCGTGTACCCCAAATCGTCTCGAGATGAGAGCTGATTCCCTGGCTTAGGCTCAAGACGTATGCCAACTTTCCAGAAGCACCTCAAGGGGAGGCTTCTCTCAACAATAGGTATGTTGGAGGGATCCCCAGTTTGCTGCCTCAAGGGGAATATAGAGCGAGAAGCCCTAACTTGAAAGGAGGACGGATTTCCTTGCAGTGTCTTGAATGCAGGCTCGTCTTTCATCTCACAAACGGAAGGGATGTCTGAATCCCCTGTGGAGACCTTAGAGAAAGCCCTAGGTCCCTTCCTCATTTTGAAGGAATGCCTCACATCCCGTTGACACATCAAGAGGCACACGGAGTTCACTGCTTCAAAATGTGACGATGCCTGACTCCTATTGAACATTGATAGGAATCCCAAAATCACTCTGGCTACAGGAAAGGGTTCTTGGTGCCCTGCCTCACCTCGAGAAGCATCCCTTTTGCCCTGCCAAGCCACGAAGAGATTCCTGAGGTGACTCTCATTACTAGACAGGAGTCCTGACGTCACTGAATAAACACGTGTTTTGAAGGGCCATCCCCGCCATAACTCGAGAACATAACCCAGGTCCCGCCGCAACTCGAGAAAAACGATGAGACTTCCCCTAGATGCGAGATGAGGTCTGATTCCCTGCAGTCCATGCAGAGCAGTCCCGTGATCCCCATCAAGCAAGTCAGGAGCGTCGACTGGCTTAATGGATCTCGAGAGAGTCCCCAGGAACACTGTCACAAGTCTACACAGACCCTGAGGTCACCCCAGCAATGCAAAGCAGCTCCAAGTGCCCCACATCAACTCGAGATGAGGCCCGATTCTCCGGCATTGACTCCAGAGCCATCCCCCGTACCCCATTAAACACCACCAGTGGCTTGACTTCCTTCAGGCAATTCCAGAGATGCCCTGAGAACACTGTCCAAAGTCTAGAGGAATACGAACTTCAGCACAGCAACTCGAGGAATGCTCCGTGTACCCCAAATCGTTTCGAGGTGAGAGGTGATTCCCTGGCTTAGGTTGAAGATGTATGCCAACTTTCCAGAAGCACCTCAAGAGGAGGCTTCTCTCAGCAATAGGTATTTGGGTGGGACCCCGAGTTTGCTGCCTCAAGTGGAATATACAGCGAGAAGCCCTAACTTGAAAGGAGGATGGATTTCCTTGCAGTGGCTTGAATACAGGCTCGTCTTTCATCTCACAGCATGAAGGGATGTCTGAATCCCCTGTGGAGACCTTAGAGAAAGCTCTAGGTCCCTGCCTCCTTTTGACGGAATGCCTCTCATCCCGTTGTCACCTCGAGAGGCACGCGGAGTTCAGTGCTTCAAAAGGTGACGATGCCTGACTCCTCTTGAATATTGATAGGAATCCCAAAATCCCTGTGGCTATTGGAAAGGTTCCTTGGGTGCCCTGCCTCACCTCGAGAAGCGTCTCTTGTGCACTGCCAAGCCTCGAAGAGATACCTGAGCTGTCCCTCGTTACTGGACAGGAGTCCTGACGTCACTGAATAAACACGAGTTTTGAAGGGCCATCCCCGCCATAACCCGAGTACATACCGCAGGTCCCCGCCACAAGTCGAGAAAAACCATGAGACTTTCCCCTAGAGGCGAGATGAGGCCCGATTCTCCTGCAGTGCATGCAGAGCAATTCCGTGATCCCCATCAAACAAGTCAGGACTTTCGACTTGCTTAATGGATCTCGAGACAGTCCCCAAGAATACTGTCACATGTCTAGACGGATCCTGAGGACACCCCATCAACGCAAAGCAGCACAATGTGCCCCAAATCAACTCGGGATGATGCCAGATTCCCCTGCTTTGACTCCAGAGCCATCTTCCATTCCCCATTAAACACGACCAGTGGCTTGACTTCCTTCAGGCAACTCCAGAGATGCCCCAAGAACACTGTCCCAAGTCTAGAGGAACACCAACTTCAGCACAGCAACTCGAGGAATGCTCCGTGTACCCCAAATCCTCTCGAGATGAGAGCTGATTCCCTGGCTTAGGCTCAAGACGTATGCCAACTTTCCAGAAGCACCTCAAGATGAGGCTTCTCTCAGCAATAGGTATGTTGGAGGGATCCCCAGTTTGCAGCTTCAAGTGGAATATACAGCCAGAAGCCCTAACTTGAAAGGAGGACGGATTTCCTTGCAGTGTCTTGAATACAGGCTCGTCTTTCATCTCACAACCGGAAGGGATGTCTGAATCCCCTGTGGAGACGTTAGAGAAAGCCCTAGGTCCCTGCCTCATTTTGAAGGAATGCCTCACATCCCGTTGTCACCTCGAGAGGCACGCGGAGTTCACTGCTTCAAAAGGTGACGATGCCTGACTCCTCTTTTATATTGATTGGAATCCCAAAATCCCTATGGCTACTGGAAAGGTTCCTTGGGTGCCCTGCCTCACCTCGAGAAGCGTCCCTTGTGCCCTGCCAAGCCTTGAAGAGATTCCTGAGGTGTCTCTCGTTACTAGACAGGAGTCCTGACGTCACTGAATAAACACGTGTTTTGAAGGGCCATCCCCACCATAACTCGAGAACATACCCCAGGTCCCGCCGCAACTCGAGAAAAACCATGAGACTTCCCCTAGATGCGAGATGAGGCCTTATTCCCTGCAGTCCATGCAGAGCATTCCCGTGATCCCCATCAAGCAAGTCAGGAGCTTCGACTTGGTTAATCGAACTCGCGAAAGTCCCCAGGAACACTGTCACAAGTCTAGACAGACCCTGAGGTCACCCCAGCAATGCAAAGCAGATCCAAGTACCCCACATCAACTCGAGATCAGGCCCAATTCCCCTGCATTGACTCCAGAGCCATCCCCCGTACCCCATTAAACACCACCAGTGGCTTGACTTCCTTCAGGCAACTCCAGAGTTGCCCTGAGAACACTGTCCCACGTCTAGAGGAATACGAACTTCAGCACAGCAACTCGAGGAATGCTCCGTGTACCCCAAATCGTTTCGAGGTGACAGCTGATTCCCTGGCTTAGGCTCAAGACGTATGCCAACTTTCCAGAAGCACCTCAAGAGGAGGCTTCTCTCAGCAATAGGTATGTGGTAGGGACCCAGAGTTTGCTGCCTCAAGTGGAATATACAGCGAGAAGCCCTAACTTGAAAGGAGGCCGGATTTCCTTTCAGTGTCTTGAATACAGGCTCGTCTTTCATCTCACAACAGGAAGGGATGTCTGAATCCCCTGTGAAGACCATAGAGAAAGCCCTAGGTCCCCGCCTCATTTTGACGGAATGTCTCACATCCCGTTGACACCTCGAGAGCCACTCGGAGTTCACTGCTTCAAAATGCGACGATGCCTGACTCCTCCTGAACATTGATAGGAATCCCAAAATCACTGTAGCTACATGACAGGGTTCTTGGGTGCCCAGCCTCACCTCGAGAAGCATCCCTTTTGCCCTGCCAAGCCTCGAAGAGATTCCTGAGTTGTCTCTCGTTACTAGACAGGAGTCCGGACGTCACTGAATAAACATGTGTTTTGAAGGGCCATCCCCGCCATAACTCGAGAACATACCCCAGGTCCCGCCGCAACTCGAGAAAAACCATGAGACTTCCCCTAGATGCGAGATGAGGCCTGATTCCCTGCAGTCCATGCAGAGCATTCCCGTGATCCCCATCAAGCAAGTCAGGAGCTTCGACTTGCTTAATTGAACTAGAGAAAGTCCCCAGGAACTCTGTCACAAGTCTAGACAGATCCTGAGGTCACCCCAGCAATGCAAAGCAGCTCCAAGTACCCCACATCAACTCGAGATGAGGCCCGATTCCCATGCATTGACTCCAGAGCCATCCCCCGTACCCCATTAAACAACACCAGTGGCTTGACTTCATTCAGGCAACTCCAGAGATGCTCCGAGAACACTGTCCCAAGTCTAGAGGAATACGAACTTCAGCAGAGCAACTCGAGGAATGCTCCGTGTACCACGAATCATCTCGAGATGAGAGCTGAATCCCTAGCTTAGGCTCAAGACGTATGCCAACTTTCCAGAAGCACCTCAAGAGGAGGCTTCTCTCAGCAATAGGTATGTGGGAGGGACCCCGAGTTTGCTGCCTCAAGTGGAATATACAGCGAGAAGCCCTAACTTGAAAGGAGGCCGGATTTCTTTGCAGTGGCTTGAATACAGGCTCGATTTTCATCTCACAGCATGAAGGGATGTCTGAAGCCCCTGGGTAGACCTTAGAGAAAGCTCTAGGTCCCTGCCTCATTTTGACGGAATGCTTCACATCCCGTTGACCCTTCGAGAGGCACGCAGAGTTCACTGCTTCAAAAGGGGATGATGCCTGACTCGTCTTGAATATTGATAGGAATCCCAAAATCAATGTGGCTACTGGAAAGGGACCTTGGGTGCCCTGCTTCACCTCGAGAAGCATACCTTTTGACCTGCCAAGCCTCGAAGAGATTCCTGAGGTGTCCCTCGTTATTAGACAGGAGTCCTTACGGCACTGAATAATCACGTGTTTTGAAGGGCCATCCCCGCCGTAACTCGAGAAGATACCCCAGGTCCCCAGCGCAACTTGAGAGAAACCATGAGACTTCCCCCTAGATGCGAGATGAGTCCTGATTCCCTGCAGTGCATGCAGAGTATTCCCGTGATCCCCATCATACAAGTCAGGAGCTTCGACTTGCTTAATGGATCTCGAGACAGTCCCCAAGAACACTGTCACAAGTCTAGACGGACCCTGAGGTCACCCCAGCAACGTAAAGCAGCTCGCAGTGCCCCACATCAACTCGCGATGAGGCCCGATTCCCATGCATTGACTCCAGAGCCATCCCCCGTACCCCTTAAACACCACCAGTGGCTTGACTTCCTTCAGGCAACTCCAGAGATGCCCCGAGAACACTGTCCCAAGTCTAGAGGAATACGAACTTCAGCACAGCAACTCGAGGAATGCTCCGTGTACCCCAAAAAATTTCGAGGTGAGAGCTGATTCCATGGTTTCGGCTCAAGACGTATGCCAACTTTCCAGAAGCACCTCAAGAGGAGACTTCTCTCAGCAATAGGTATGTGGGAGGGACCCCGAGTTTGCTGCCTCAAGTGGAATATACAGCGAGAAGCCCTAACTTGAAAGGAGGCCGGATTTCCTTGCAGTGGCTTGAATACAGGCTCGTCTTTCATCTCACAGCATGAAGGGATGTCTGAAGCCCCTGGGTAGACCTTAGAGAAAGCTCTAGGTCCCTGCCTCATTTTGACGGAATGCCTCACATCCCGTTGACAATTCGAGAGGCACGCAGAGGTCACTGCTTCAAAAGGGGATGATGCCTGACTCGTCTTGAATATTGATAGGAATCCCAAAATCACTGTGGCTACTGGAAAGGGTCCTTGGGTGGCCTGCCTCACCTCGAGAAGCATACCTTTTGACCTGCCAAGCCTCGAAGAGATTCCTGAGGTGTTCCTCGTTACGAGACAGGAGTCCTGACGGCACTGAATAAACACGTGTTTTGAAGGGCCATCCCCGCCGTAACTCGAGAAGATACCCCAGGTCCCCAGCGCAACTTGAAAGAAACCATGAGACTTCCCCCTAGATGCGAGATGAGTCCTGATTCCCTGCAGTGCATGCAGAGTATTCCCTTGATACCCATCAAACAAGTCAGGAGCTTCGACTTGCTTAATGGATCTCCAGAGAGCCCCAAGAACACTGTCACAAGTCTAGACAGACCCTGAGCTCACCCCAGCAATGCAAAGCAGCTCGCAGTGCCCCACATCAACTCGAGATGAGGCCCGATTCCCCTGCATTGACTCCAGAGCCATCCCCAGTTCCCCATTAAACAAGACCACTGGATTGACTTCCTTCAGGCAACTCCAGAGATGCCCCGAGAACACTGTCCCAAGACTAGAGGAACACTAACTTCAGCACAGCAACTCGAGGAATGCTCCGTGTACCACGAATCGTCTCGAGATGAGAGCTGAATCCCTAGCTTAGGCTCAAGACGTATGCCAACTTTCCAGAAGCACCTCAAGAGGAGGCTTCTCTCAGCAATAGGTATGTTCGTGGGACCCCGAGTTTGCTGTCTCAAGTGGAATATACAGCGAGAAGCCCTAACATGAAAGGAGGCCGGATTTCCTTGCAGTGGCTTGAATACAGGCTCGTCTTTCATCTCACAACAGGAAGGGATGTCTGAATCCCCTGTGGAGACCTTAGAAAAAGCCCTAGGCCCCTGCCTCATTTTGACGGAATGCCTCACATCCCGTTGACACCTCGAGAGGCACACGGAGTTCACTGCTTCAAAATGTGAGGATGCCTGTCTACTCCTGAACATTGATAGGAATCCCAAAATCACTGTGGCTACAGGAAAGTGTTCTTGGGTGCCCTGCCTCACTTCGAGAAGCATCCCTTTTGCCCTGCCAAGCCTCGAAGAGATTCCTGAGGTGTCTCTCGTTACTAGACAGGAGTCCTGACGTCACTGAATAAACACGTGTTTTGAAGGGCCATCCCCGCCATAACTCGAGAACTTACCCCAGGTCCCGCAGCAATTCGAGCAAAACGATGAGACTTCCCCTAGATGCGAGATGAGGTCTGATTCCCTGCAGTCCATGCAGAGCAGTCCCGTGATCCCCATCAAGCAAGTCAGGAGCTTCGACTTGCTTAATGGATCTCGAGAGAGTCCCCAGGAACACTGTCACAAGTCTAGACAGACCCTGAGGAAACCCCAGTAATGCAAAGCAGCTCCAAGTGCCCCACATCAACTCGAGATGAGACCCAATTCCCCTGCATTGACTCCAGAGCTATCCCCCGTACCCCATTAAACTCCACCAGTGGCTTGACTTCCTTCAGGCTACTCCAGAGATGCCCCGAGAACACTGTCCCAAGTGTAGAGAAACACCAACTTCAGCACAGCAACTCGAGGAATGCTCCGTGTACCCCAAATCGTTTCGAGGTGAGAGCTGATTCCGTGGCTTAGGCTCAAGACGTATGCCAACTTTCCAGAAGCACCTCAAGAGGAGGCTTCTATCAGCAATCGGTATGTGGGAGGGACCCCGAGTTTGCTGCCTCAAGTGGAATATACAGCGAGAAGCCCTAAGTTGAAAGGAGGCCGGATTTCCTTGCAGTGTCTTGAATACAGGCTCGTCTTTCATCTCACAACAGGAAGGGATGTCTGAATCCCCTGTGGAGACCTTAGAGAAAGCCCTAGTTCCCTGCCTCATTTTGACGGAATGTCTCACATCCCGTTGACACCTCGAGAGGCACACGGAGTTCACTGCTTCAAAATGTGACGATGCCTGACTCCTCCTGAACATTGATAGGAATCCCAAAATCACTGTAGCTACAGGACAGGGTTCTTGGGTGCCCTGCCTCACCTCGAGAAGCATCCCTTTTGCCCTGCCAAGCCTCGAAGAGATTCCTGAGGTGTCTCTCGTTACTAGACAGGAGTCCTGACGTCACTGAATAAACACGTGTTTTGAAGGGCCATCCCCGCCATAACTCTAGAACATACCCCAGGTCCCGCCGCAACTCGAGAAAAACCATGAGACTTCCCCTAGATGCGAGATGAGGCCTGATTCCCTGCAGTCCATGCAGAGCATTCCCGTGATCCCCATCAAGAAAGTAAGGAGCTTCGACTTGCTTAATTGAACTCGAGAAAATCCCCAGGAACACTGTGACAAGTCTAGACAGACCCTGAGGTCACCGCAGCAAAGCAAAGCAGCTCCAAGTAGCCCACATCAACTCGAAATGAGGCCCGATTCCCATGCATTGACTCCAGAGCCATCCCCCGTACCCCTTAAACACCACCAGTGGCTTGACTTCCTTCAGGCAACTCCAGAGATGCCCCGAGAACACTGTCCCAAGTCTAGAGGAATACGAACTTCAGCAGAGCAACTCGAGGAATGCTCCGTGTACCCCAAAAAATTTCGAGGTGAGAGCTGATTCCATGGTTTCGGCTCAAGACGTATGCCAACTTTCCAGAAGCACCTCAAGAGGAGACTTCTCTCAGCAATAGGTATGTGGGAGGGACCCCGACTTTGCTGCCTCAAGTGGAATATACAGCGAGAAGCCCTAACTTGAAAGGAGGCCGGATTTCCTTGCAGTGGCTTGAATACAGGCTCGTCTTTCATCTCACAGCATGAAGGGATGTCTGAAGCCCCTGGGTAGACCTTAGAGAAAGCTCTAGGTCCCTGCCTCATTTTGACGGAATGCCTCACATCCCGTTGACAATTCGAGAGGCACGCAGAGGTCACTGCTTCAAAAGGGGATGATGCCTGACTCGTCTTGAATATTGATAGGAATCCCAAAATCACTGTGGCTACTGGAAAGGGTCCTTGGGTGGCCTGCCTCACCTCGAGAAGCATACCTTTTGACCTGCCAAGCCTCGAAGAGATTCCTGAGGTGTTCCTCGTTACGAGACAGGAGTCCTGACGGCACTGAATAAACACGTGTTTTGAAGGGCCATCCCCGCCGTAACTCGAGAAGATACCCCAGGTCCCCAGCGCAACTTGAAAGAAACCATGAGACTTCCCCCTAGATGCGAGATGAGTCCTGATTCCCTGCAGTGCATGCAGAGTATTCCCGTGATCCCCATCAAACAAGTCAGGAGCTTCGACTTGCTTAATGGATCTCCAGAGAGCACCAAGAACACTGTCACAAGTCTAGACAGACCCTGAGCTCACCCCAGCAATGCAAAGCAGCTCGCAGTGCCCCACATCAACTCGAGATGAGGCCCGATTCCCCTGCATTGACTCCAGAGCCATCCCCAGTTCCCCATTAAACAAGACCACTGGATTGACTTCCTTCAGGCAACTCCAGAGATGCCCCGAGAACACTGTCCCAAGACTAGAGGAACACCAACTTCAGCACAGCAACTCGAGGAATGCTCCGTGTACCACGAATCGTCTCGAGATGAGAGCTGAATCCCTAGCTTAGGCTCAAGACGTATGCCAACTTTCCAGAAGCACCTCAAGAGGAGGCTTCTCTCAGCAATAGGTATGTTCGTGGGACCCCGAGTTTGCTGTCTCAAGTGGAATATACAGCGAGAAGTCCTAACTTGAAAGGAGGCCGGATTTCCTTACAGTGTCTTGAATACAGGCTCGTCTTTCATCTCACAACAGGAAGGGATGTCTGAATCCCCTGTGGAGACCTTAGAGAAAGCCCTAGGTCCCTGCCTCATTGTGACGGAATGCCTCACATCCCGTTGACACCTCGAGAGGCACACGGAGTTCACCGCTTCAAAATGTGACGATGCCTGACTCCTCCTGAACATTGATAGGAATCCCAAAATCACTGTAGCTACAGGACAGGGTTCTTGGGTGCCCTGCCTCACCTCGAGAAGCATCCCTTTTGCCCTGACGAGCCTCGAAGAGATTCCTGAGGTGTCTCTCGTTACTAGACAGGAGTCCTGACGTCACTGAATAAACACGAGTTTTGAAGGGCCATCCCCGCCATAACTCGAGAACATACCCCAGGTCCCGCCGCAACTCGAGAAAAACCATGAGACTTCCCCTAGATGCGAGATGAGGCCTGATTCCCTGCAGTCCATGCAGAGCATTCCCGTGAACCCCATCAAGCAAGTCAGGAGCTTCGACTTGCTTAATTGAACTCGAGAAAGTCCCCAGGAACACTGTCACAAGTCTAGACAGACCCTGAGGTCACCCAGCAATGCAAAGCAGCTCCAAGTACCCCACATCAACTCGAGATGAGGCCCGATTCTCCGGCATTGACTCCAGAGTCATCCCCCGTACCCCATTAAACACCACCAGTGGCTTGACTTCCTTCAGGCAACTCCAGAGATGCCCTGAGAACACTGTCCCAAGTCTAGAGGAATACGAACTTCAGCACAGCAACTCCAGGAATGCTCCGTGTCCCACAAATCGTCTCGAGATGAGAGCTGAATCCCTGGCTTAGGCTCAAGACGTATGCCAACTTTCCAGAAGCACCTCAAGAGGAGGCTTCTCTCAGCAATAGGTATGTTTGTGGGACCCCGAGTTTGCTGCCTCAAGTGGAATATACAGCGAGAAGCCCTAACTTGAAAGGAGGCCGAATTTCCTTGCAGTGGCTTGGATACAGGCTCGTCTTTCATCTCACAGCATGAAGGGATGACTGAATGCCCTGTGGAGACCTTAGAGAAAGCCCTAGGTCCCTGCCTCATTTTGACGGAATGCCTCACATCCCGTTGTCACCTCGAGAGGCACGCGGAGTTCACTGCTTCAAAAGGTGATGATGCCTGACAACTCTTCAATATTGATAGGAATCCTCAAATCCCTGTGGCTATTGGAAAGGTTCCTTGGGTGCCCTGCCTCACCTCGAGAAGCGTCCCTTGTGCCCTGCCAAGACTCGAAGAGATTCCTGAGCTGTCCCTCGTTACTGGACAGGAGTCCTGACGTCACTGAATAAACACGAGTTTTGAAGGGCCATCCCGGCCGTAACCCGAGTACATACCCCAGGTCCCCACCGCACGTCCAGAAAAACCAGGAGACTTTCCCCTAGAGGGGAGATGAGGCCCGATTCTCCTGCAGTGCATGCAGAGCAATTCCGTGATCCCCATCAAACAAGTCAGGACCTTCGACTTGCTTAATGGATTTCGAGACAGTCCCCAAGAATACTGTCACATGTCTAGACGGATCCTGAGGTCACACCATCAAAGCAAAGCAGCACAATGTGCCCCAAATCAACTCAGGATGATGCCAGATTCCCCTGCATTGACTCCAGAGCCATCCCCCGTTCCCCATTAAACACGACCAGTGGCTTGACTTCTTTCAGGCAACTCCAGAGATGCCCCGAGAACACTTTCCCAAGTCTAGATTAACACCAACTTCAGTACAGCAATTCGAGGAATGCTCCATGTACCCCAAATCGTCTCGAGATGAGAGCTGATTCTCTGGCTTAGGCTCAAGACGTATGCCAACTTTCCAGAAGCACCTCAAGAGGAGGCTTCTCTCAGCAATAGGTATGTTTGTGGGACCCCGAGTTTGCTGCCTCAAGTGGAATATACAGCGAGAAGCCCTAACTTGAAAGGAGGCCGAATTTCCTTGCAGTGGCTTGAATACAGGCTCGTCTTTCATCTCACAGCATGAAGGGATGTCTGAATCCCCTGTGGAGACCTTAGAGAAAGCCCTAGGTCCCTGCCTCATTTTGACCGAATGCCTCATATCCCGTTGACACTTCGAGAGGCACGCGGAGTTCACTGCTTCAAAAGGGGATGATGCCTGGCTCGTCTTGAATATTGATAGGAATCCCAAAATCACTGTGGCTACTGGAAAGGGTCCCTGGGTGCCCTGCCTCACCTCGAGAAGCATACCTTTTGACCTGCCAAGCCTCGAACAGATTCCTGAGGTGTCCCTCGTTAGTAGACAGGAGTCCTGACGGCACTGAATAAACACGTGTTTTCAAGGGCCATCCCCGCCATAACTCGAGAAGATACCCCAGGTCCCCAGCGCAACTTGATTGAAACCATGAGACTTCCCTCTAGATGCGAGATGAGTCCTGATTCCCTGCAGTGCATGCTGAGTATTCCCGTGATCCCCATCAAACAAGTCAGGAGCTTCGACTTGCTTAATGGATCTCGAGACAGTGCCCAAGAACACTGTCACAAGTCTAGACGGACTCTGATGTCACCCCAGCAACGCAAAGCAGCTCCATGTGCGCCAAATCAACTCGAGATGTGGCCTGATTCCCCTGCATTGACTCCAGAGCCATCCCCCGTTCCCCATTAAACAAGACCACTGGATTGACTTCCTTCAGCCAACTCCAGAGATGCCCCGAGAACACTGTCCCAAGACTAGAGGAACACCAACTTCAGCACAGCAACTCGAGGAATGCTCCGTGTACCACAAATCGTCTCGATATGAGAGCTGATTCCCTGGCTTAGGCTCAAGACGTATGCCAACTTTCCAGAAGCACCTCAAGAGGAGGCTTCTCTCAGCAATATGTATGTTCGTGGGACCCCGAGTTTGCTGCCTCAAGTGGAATATACAGCGAGAAGCCCTAACTTGAAAGGAGGCCGGATTTCCTTGCAGTGGCTTGAATACAGGCTCGTCTTTCATCTCACAGCATGAAGGGATGACTGAATGCCCTGTGGAGACCTTAGAGAAAGCCCTAGGTCCCTGCCTCATTTTGACGGAATGCCTCACATCCCGTTGTCACCTCGAGAGGCACGCGGAGTTCACTGCTTCAAAAGGTGATGATGCCTGACAACTCTTGAATATTGATAGGAATCCTCAAATCCCTGTGGCTATTGGAAAGGTTCCTTGGGTGCCCTGCCTCACCTCGAGAAGCGTCCCTTGTGCCCTGCCAAGACTCGAAGAGATTCCTGAGCTGTCCCTCGTTACTGGACAGGAGTCCTGACGTCACTGAATAAACACGAGTTTTGAAGGGCCATCCCGGCCGTAACCCGAGTACATACCCCAGGTCCCCACCGCAAGTCCAGAAAAACCAGGAGACTTTCCCCTAGAGGCGAGATGAGGCCCGATTCTCCTGCAGTGCATGCAGAGCAATTCCGTGATCCCCATCAAACAAGTCAGGACCTTCGACTTGCTTAATGGATTTCGAGACAGTCCCCAAGAATACTGTCACATGTCTAGACGGATCCTCAGGTCACACCATCAAAGCAAAGCAGCACAATGTGCCCCAAATCAACTCGGGATGATGCCAGATTCCCCTGCATTGACTCCAGAGCCATCCCCCGTTCCCCATTAAACACGACCAGTGGCTTGACTTCCTTCAGGCAACTCCAGAGATGCCCCGAGAACACTTTCCCAAGTCTAGATTAACACCAACTTCAGCACAGCAATTCGAGGAATGCTCCATGTACCCCAAATCGTCTCGAGATGAGAGCTGATTCCCTGGCTTAGGCTCAAGACGTATGCCAACTTTCCAGAAGCACCTCAAGGGGAGGCTTCTCTCAGCAATAGGTATGTTGGAGGGACACCGAGTTTGCTGCCTCAAGTGGAATATACAGCGAGAAGCCCTAACTTGAAAGGAGGCCGGATATCCTTGCAGTGTCTTGAATACAGGCTCGTCTTTCATCTCACAACAGGAAGGGATGTCTGAATCCCCTGTGGAGACCTTAGAGTAAGCCCTAGGTCCCTGCCTCATTTTGACGGAATGCCTCATATCCCGTTGACACCTCGAGAGGCACACGGAGTTCACTGCTTCAAAATGTGACGATGCCTGACTCCTCCTGAACAATGATAGGAATACCAAAATCACTGTGGCTACAGGAAAGGGTTCTTGGGTGCCCTGCCTCACCTCGAGAAGCATCCCTTTTGCCCTGCCAAGCCTCGAAGAGGTTCCTGAGGTGTCTCTCGTTACTAGACAGGAGTCCTGACGTCACTGAATAAACACGTGTTTTGAAGGGCCATCCCCGCCATAACTCGAGAACATACCCCAGGTCCCGCCGCAACTCGAGCAAAACGATGAGACTTCCCCTAGATGCGAGATGAGGTCTGATTCCCTGCAGTCCATGCAGAGCAGTCCCGTGATCCCCATCAAGCAAGTCAGGAGCTTCGACTTGCTTAATGGATCTCGAGCGAGTCCCCAGGAACACTGTCACAAGTCTAGACAGACCCTGAGGAAACCCCAGTAATGGAAAGCAGCTCCAAGTGCCCCACATCAACTCGAGATGAGGCCCGATTCCCCTGCATTGACTCCAGAGCTATCCCCCGTACCCCATTAAACACCACCAGTGGCTTGACTTCCTTCAGGCAACTCCAGAGATGCCCCGAGAACACTGTCCCAAGTGTAGAGGAACACCAACTTCAGCACAGCAACTCGAGGAATGCTCCGTGTACCCCAAATCGTTTCGAGGTGAGAGCTGATTCCGTGGCTTAGGCTCAAGACGTATGCCAACTTTCCAGAAGCACCTCAAGAGGAGGCTTCTATCAGCAATCGGTATGTGGGAGGGACCCCGAGTTTGCTGCCTCAAGTGGAATATACAGCGAGAAGCCCTAACTTGAAAGGAGGCCGGATTTCCTTGCAGTGTCTTGAATACAGGCTCGTCCTTCATCTCACAACAGGAAGGGATGTCTGAATCCCCTGTGGAGACCTTAGAGTAAGCCCTAGGCCCCTGCCTCATTTTGACGGAATGCCTCACATCCGGTTGACACCTCGAGAGGCACACGGAGTTCACTGCTTCAAAATGTGAGGATGCCTGTCTACTCCTGAACATTGATAGGAATCCCAAAATCACTGTGGCTACAGGAAAGGGTTCTTGGGTGTCCTGCCTCACTTCGAGAAGCATCCCTTTTGCCCTGCCAAGCCTCGAAGAGATTCCTGAGGTGTCTCTCGTTACTAGACAGGAGTCCTGACGTCACTGAATAAACACGTGTTTTGAAGGGCCATCAGCGCCATAACTCGAGAACTTACCCCAGGTCCCGCAGCAATTCGATCAAAACGATGAGACTTCCCCTAGATGCGAGATGAGGTCTGATTCCCTGCAGTCCATGCAGAGCAGTCCCGTGATCCCCATCAATCAAGTCAGGAGTTTCAACTTGCTTAATGGATCTCGAGAGAGTCCCCAGGAACACTGTCACAAGTCTAGACAGACCCTGAGGAAACCCCAGTAATGCAAAGCAGCTCCCAGTGCCCCACATCAACTCGAGATGAGGCCCGATTCCCCTGCATTGACTCCAGAGCTATCCCCCGTACCCCATTAAACACCACCAGTGGCTTGACTTCCTTCAGGCAACTCCAGAGATGCCCCGAGAACACTGTCCCAAGTCTAGAGGAACACCAACTTCAGCACAGCAACTCGAGGAATGCTCCGTGTACCCCAAATAGTTTCGAGGTGAGAGCTGATTCCGTGGCTTAGGCTCAAGACGTATGCCAACTTTCCAGAAGCACCTCCAGAGGAGGCTTCTATCAGAAATCGGTATGTGGGAGGGACCCCGAGTTTGCTGCCTCAAGTGGAATATACAGCGAGAAGCCCTAACTTGAAAGGAGGCCGGATTTCCTGGCAGTGTCTTGAATACAGGCTCGTCTTTCATCTCACAACAGGAAGGGATGTCTGAATCCCCTGTGGAGACCTTAGAGAAAGCCCTAGTTCCCTGCCTCATTTTGACGGAATGTCTCACATCCCGTTGACACCTCGAGAGGCACACGGAGTTCACTGCTTCAAAATGTGACGATGCCTGACTCCTCCTGAACATTGATAGGAATCCCAAAATCACTGTAGCTACAGGACAGGGTTCTTGGGTGCCCTGCCTCACCTCGAGAAGCATCCCTTTGGCCCTGCCAAGCCTCGAAGAGTTTCCTGAGGTGTCTCTCGTTACTAGACAGGAGTCCTGACGTCCCTGAATAAACACGTGTTTGGAAGGGCCATCCCTGCCATAACTCGAGAACATACCCCAGGTCCAGCCGCATCTCGAGAAAAACCATGAGACTTCCCCTAGATGCGAGATGAGGCCTGATTCCCTGCAGTCCATGCAGAGCATTCCCGTGATCCCCATCAAGCAAGTCAGGAGCTTCGACTTGCTTAATTGAACTCGAGAAAGTCCCCAGGAACACTGTCACAAGTCTAGACAGACCCTGAGGTCACCACAGCAATGCAAAGCAGCTCCAAGTACCCCACATCAACTCGAGATGAGGCCCGATTCCCATGCATTGGACTCCAGAGCCATCCCCCGTACCCCTTAAACAACACCAGTGGCTTGACTTCCTTCAGGAAACTCCAGAGATGCCCCAAGAACACTGTCCCAAGTCTAGAGGAATACGAACTTCAGCAGAGCAACTCGAGGAATGCTCCGTGTACCCCAAAAAATTTCGAGGTGAGAGCTGATTCCATGGTTTCGGCTCAAGACGTATGCCAACTTTCCAGAAGCACCTCAAGAGGAGACTTCTCTCAGCAATAGGTATGTGGGAGGAACCCCGAGTTTGCTGCCTCAAGTGGAATATACAGCGAGAAGCCCTAACTTGAAAGGAGGCCGGATTTCCTGGCAGTGTCTTGAATACAGGCTCGTCTTTCATCTCACAACAGGAAGGGATGTCTGAATCCCCTGTGGAGACCTTAGAGAAAGCCCTAGTTCCCTGCCTCATTTTGACGGAATGTCTCACATCCCATTGACACCTCGAGAGGCACACGGAGTTCACTGCTTCAAAATGTGACGATGCCTGACTCCTCCTGAACATTGATAGGAATCCCAAAATCACTGTAGCTACAGGACAGGGTCCTTGGGTGGCCTGCCTCACCTCGAGAAGCATCCCTTTTGCCCTGCCAAGCCTCGAAGAGATTCCTGAGGTGTCTCTCGTTACTAGACATGAGTCCTGACGTCACTGAATAAACACGTGTTTTGAAGGGCCTTCCCTGCCATAACTCGAGAACATACCCCAGGTCCAGCCGCATCTCGAGAAAAACCATGAGACTTCCCCTAGATGCGAGATGAGGCCTGATTCCCTGCAGTCCATGCAGAGCATTCCCGTGATCCCCATCAAGCAAGTCAGGAGCTTCGACTTGCTTAATTGAACTCGAGAAAGTCCCCAGGAACACTGTCACAAGTCTAGACAGACCCTGAGGTCACCGCAGCAATGCAAAGCAGCTCCAAGTACCCCACATCAACTCGAGATGAGGCCCGATTAACATGCATTGGACTCCAGAGCCATCCCCCGTACCCCTTAAAAAACACCAGTGGCTTGACTTCCTTCAGGAAACTCCAGAGATGCCCCATAACACTGTCCCAAGTCTAGAGGAATACGAACTTCAGCAGAGCAACTCGAGGAATGCTCCGTGTACCCCAAAAAATTTCGAGGTGAGAGCTGATTCCATGGTTTCGGCTCAAGACGTATGCCAACTTTCCAGAAGCACCTCAAGAGGAGACTTCTCTCAGCAATAGGTATGTGGGAGGGACCCCGAGTTTGCTGCCTCAAGTGGAATATACAGCGAGAAGCCCTAACTTGAAAGGAGGCCGGATTTCCATGCAGTGGCTTGAATACAGGCTCGTCTTTCATCTCACAGCATGAAGGGATGTCTGAAGCCCCTGTGTAGACCTTAGAGAAAGCTCTAGGTCCCTGCCTCATTTTGACGGAATGCCTCACATCCCGTTGACACTTCGAGAGGCACGCAGACGTCACTGCTTCAAAAGGGGATGATGCCTGACTCGTCTTGAATATTGATAGGAATCCCAAAATCACTGTGGCTACTGGAAAGGGTCCTTGGGTGGCCTGCCTCACCTCGAGAAGCATACCTTTTGACCTGCCAAGCCTCGAAGAGATTCCTGAGGTGTTCCTCGTTACTAGACAGGAGTCCTAACGACACTGAATAAACACGTGTTTTGAAGGGCCATCCCCGCCATAACTCGAGAAGATACCCCAGGTCCCCAGCTCAACTTGAGAGAAACCATGAGACTTCCCCCTAGATGCGAGATGAGTCCTGATTCCCTGCAGTGCATGCAGAGTATTCCCGTGATCCCCATCAAACAAGTCAGGAGCTTCGACTTGCTTAATGGATCTCCGGACAGCCCCAAGAACACTGTCACAAGTCTAGACAGACCCTGAGGTCACCCCAGCAATGCAAAGCAGCTCGCAGTGCCCCACATCAACTCGAGATGAGGCCCAATTCCCCTGCATTGACTCCAGAGCCATCCCCAGTTCCCCATTAAACAAGACCACTGGATTGACTTCCTTCAGGCAAGTCCAGAGATGCCCCGAGAACACTGTCCCAAGACTAGAGGAATACGAACTTCAGCACAGCAACTCGAGGAATGCTCCGTGTACCCCAAATCGTTTCGAGGTGAGAGGTGATTCCCTGGCTTAGGTTGAAGATGTATGCCAACTTTCCAGAAGCACCTCAAGAGGAGGCTTCTCTCAGCAATATGTATGTTCGTGGGACCCGGAGTTTGCTGCCTCAAGTGGAATATACAGCGAGAAGCCCTAACTTTAAAGGAGGCCGGATTTCCTTGCAGTGGCTTGAATACAGGCTTGTCTTTCATCTCACAGCATGAAGAGATGTCTGAATCCCCTGTGGAGACCTTAGGAAAGCCCTAGGTCCCTGCCTCATTTTGACGGAAAGCCTCACATCCCGTTGTCACCTCGAGAGGCCCGCGGAGTTCACTGCTTCAAAAGCTCACGATGCCTGACTCCTCTTGAATATTGATAGGAATTCCCAAATCCCTGTGGCTATTGGAAAGGTTCCTTGGGTGTCCTGCCTCACCTCGAGAAGCGTCCCTTGTGCCCTGCCAAGCCTCGAAGAGATTCCTGAGCTGTCCCTCGTTACTGGACAGGAGTCCTGACGTCACTGAATAAACACGAGTTTTGAAGGTCCATCCCAGCCATAACGCGAGTACAGACCCCAGGTCCCCGCCGCAAGTCGAGAAAAACCATGAGACTTTCCCCTAGAAGCGAGATGAGGCCCGAATCTCCTGCAGTGCATGCAGAACAATTCCGTGATCCCCATCAAACAAGTCAGGACCTTCGACTTGCTTAATGGATCTCAAGACAGTCCCCAAGAATACTGTCACATGTCTAGACGGATCCTGAGGTCACCCCATCAACGCAAAGCAGCACAATATGCCCCAAATCAACTCGGGATGATCCCAGATTCCCCTGCATTGACTCCAGAGCCATCCCCCGTTCCCCATTAACAACGACCAGTGGCTTGACTTCCTTCAGGCAACTCCAGAGATGCCCCGAGAACACTCTGCCAAGTCTAGAGGAACAGCAACTTCAGCACAGCAACTCGCGGAATGCTCCGTGTACCACAAATCGTCTCGAGATGAGAGCTGATTCCCTGGCTTAGGCTCAAGACGTATGCCAACTTTCCAGAAGCACCTCAAGAGGAGGCTTCTCTCAGCAATAGGTATGTTGGAGGGACCCCCAGTTTTCTGCCTCAAGTGGAATATACAGCGAGAAGCCCTAACTTGAAAGGAGGACGGATTTCCTTGCAGTGTCTTGAATACAGGCTCGTCTTTCATCTCACAACCGGAAGGGATGTCTGAATCCCCTGTGGAGACCTTACAGAAAGCCCTAGGTCCCTGCCTCATTTTGACGGAATGCCTCACATCCCGTTGACACATCGAGAGGCACACGGAGTTCACTGCCTCAAAATGTGATGATGCCTGACTCCTCTTGAATATTGATAGGAATCAAAAAATCACTGTGGCTACTGGAAAGGGTCCTTGGGTGCCCTGCCTCACCTCGAGAAGCATCCCTTTTGCCCTGCCAAGCCTCTAAGAAAATCCTGAAGTGTCTCTCGTTACTAGACAGGAGTCCTGACGTCACTGAATAAACACCTGTTTTGAAGGGCCAACCCCGCCATAACTCGAGAACATACCTTAGCTCCCGCGGCAATTCGACCAAAACGATGAGACTTCCCCTAGATGCGAGATGAGGTCTGATTCCCTGCAGTCCATGCAGAGCAGTCCCGTGATCCCCATCAAGCAAGTCAGGAGCTTCGACTTGCTTAATGGATCTCGAGAGAGTCCCCAGGAACACTGTCACAAGTCTAGACAGACCCTGAGGTCACCCCAGCGATGCAAAGCAGCTCCAAGTGCCCCACATCAACTCGAGATGAGGCCCGATTCCCCTGCATTGACTCCAGAGCCATCCCCCGTACCCCATTAAACACCACCAGTGGCTTGACTTCCTTCAGGCAACTCCAGAGATGCCCCGAGAACACTATCCTAAGTCTAGAGGAACACCAACTTCAGCACAGCCACTCGAGGAATGCTCCGTGTACCCCAAATCGTTTCGAGGTGAGAGGTGATTCCCTGGCTTAGGCTCAAGACGTATGCCAACTTTCCAGAAGCACCTCAAGAGGAGGCTTCGCTCAGCAATCGGTATGTGGGAGGGACCCCGAGTTTGCTGCCTCAAGTGGAATATACAGCGAGAAGCCCTAACTTGAAAGGAGGCCGGATTTCCTTGCAGTGTCTTGAAGACAGGCTCGTATTTCATCTCACAACAGGAAGGGATGTCTGAATCCCCTGTGGAGACTTTAGAGAAAGCCCTAGGTCCCTGCCTCATTTTGACGGAATGTCTCACATCCCGTTGACACCTCGAGAGGCACCCGGAATTCACTGCTTTAAAAGGTGACGATGCCTGACTCCTCTTGAATATTGACAGGGATCCCAAAATCCTTGTGGCTATTGGAAAGGTTCCTTCGGTGCCCTGCCTCACCTCGAGAACCGTCCCTTGTGCCCTGCCAAGCCTCGAAGAGATTCCTGAGCTGTCCCTCGTTACTGGACAAGAGTCCTGACGTCACTGAATAAACACGAGTTTTGAAGGGCCATCCCCGTCCTAACCCGAGTACAAACCCCAGGCCCCCGCCGCAAGTCGAGAAAACCATGAAACTTTCCCCTAGAGGCGAGATGAGGCCCGATTCTCCTGCAGTGCATGCAGAGAAATTCCGTGAACCGGATCAAACAAGTCAGGACCTTCGACTTGCCTAATGGATCTCGAGACAGTCCCCAAGAATACTGTCACATGTCTAGACGGATCCTGAGGTCACCCCATCGAAGCAAAGCAGAACAATGTGCCCAAAATCAACTTGGGATGATGCCAGATTCCCCTGCATTGACTCCAGAGCCATCCCCCGTTCCCCATTAAACACGACCAGTGGCTTGACTTCCTTCAGGCAACTCCAGAGATGCCCCGAAAACACTGTCCCATGTCTAGAGGAACAGCAACTTCAGCACAGCAACTCGAGGAATGGTCCGTGTACCACAAATCATCTCGAGATGAGAGCTGATTCCCTGGCTTAGGCTCAAAACGTATGCCAACTTTCCAGAAGCACCTCAAGGGGAGGCTTCTCTCAGCAATAGGTGTGTTGGAGGGACCCCCAGTTTGCTGCCTCAAGTGGAATATGCAGCGAGAAGCCCTAACTTGAAAGGAGGCCAGATTTCCTTGCAGTGCCTTGAATACAGGCTCGTCTTTCATCTCACAACCGGAAGGGTTTTCTGAATCCCCTGTGGAGACCTTAGCGAAAGCCCTAGGTCCCTGCCTCATTTTGACGGAATGCCTCACATCCCGTTGACACCTCGAGAGGCACACGGAGTTCACTGCTTCCAAATGTGACGATGCCTGACTCCTCCTGAACATTGATAGGAATCCCAAAATCACTGTGCCTACAGGAAAGGGTTCTTGGGTGCCCTGCCTCACCTCGAGAAGCATCCCTTTTGCCCTGCCAAGCCTCGAAGAGATTCCTGAGGTGTCTCTCGTTACTAGACAGGAGTCCTGACGTCACTGAATAAACACGTGTTTTGAAGGGCCATCCCCGCCATAACTCGAGAACATACCCCAGGTCCCGCCGCAACTCGAGAAAAACCATGAGACTTCCCCTAGATGCCAGATGAGGTCTGGTTCCCTGCAGTCCATGCAGAGCAGTCTCGTGATCCCCATCAAGCAAGTCAGGAGCTTCGACTTTCTTAATCGAACTCGAGAAAGTCCCCAGGAACACTGTCACAAGTCTAGACAGACCCTGAGGTCACCCCAGTAATGGAAAGCAGCTCCAAGTACCCCACATCAACTCGAGATGAGGCCCGATTCCCCTGCATTGACTCCAGAGCCATTCCCGTACCACATTAAACACCACCAGTGGCTTGACTTCCTTCAGGCAACTCCAGAGATGCCCTGAGAACACTTTCCCAAGTCTAGAGGAATACGAACTTAAGCACAGCAACTCCAGGAATGCTCCGTGTACCCCATATCGTTTCGAGGTTAGAGCTGATTCCATGGCTTCGGCTCAAGACGTATGCCAACTTTCCAGAGGCACCTCAAGAGGAGGCTTCTCTCAGCAATAGGTATTTGGGAGGGACGCCGAGTTTGCTGCCTCAAGTGGAATATACAGCGAGAAGCCCTAACTTGAAAGGAGGCCGGATTTCCTTGCAGTGGCTTGAATACAGGCTTGTCTTTCATCTCACAGCATGAAGGGATGTCTGAATCCCCTGTGGAGACCTTAGAGAAAGCTCTAGGTCCCTGCCTCATTTTGACGGAATGCCTCACATCCCGTTGACACTTCGAGAGGCACGCCGAGTTCACTGCTTCAAAAGGTGACGATGCCTGACTCCTCTTGAATATTGATAGGAATCCCAAAATCACTGTGGCAACTGGTAAGGGTCCTTCAGTGGCCTGCCTCACGTCGAGAAGCATACCTTTTGATCTGCCAAGCCTCGAAGAGATTCCTGAGGTGTCCCTCGTTACTAGACAGGAGTCCTGACGGCACTGAATAAACACGTGTTTTGAAGGGCCATTCCCGCCGTAACTCAAGAAGATACCCCAGGTCCCCAGCGCAACTTGAGAGAAACCATGAGACTTCCCTCAAGATGCGAGATGAGTCCTGATTCCCTGCAGTGCATGCAGAGTATTCCCGTGATCCCCATCAAACAAGTCAGGAGCTTCGACTTGCTTAATGGATCTCGAGACAGTCCCCAAGAACACTGTCACAAGTATAGACCGACCCTGAGGTCACCCCAGTAAAGCAAAGCAGCTCCATGTGCCCCAAATCAACCCGAGATGTGGCCCGATTCCCCTGCATTGACTACAGAGCCATCCCCAGTTCTCCATTAAACAAGACCACTGGCTTGAATTCCGTCAGGCAACTGCATAGATGCCCCGAGAACACTGTCCCAAGACTAGAGGAACACCAACTTCAGCACAGCAACTCGAGGAATGGTCCGTGTACCACAAATCGTCTCGAGATGAGAGCTGAATCCCTGGCTTAGGCTCAAGACGTATGCCAACTTTCCAGAAGCACCTCAAGAGGAGGCTTCTCTCAGCAATAGGTATGTTGGAGGGACCCCAGGTTTGCTGCCTCAAGTGGAATATACAGCGAGAAGCCCTAACTTGAAAGGAGGCCGGATTTCCTTGCAGTGGCTTGAATACAGGCTCGTCTTTCATCTCACAGCATGAAGGGATGTCTGAATCCCCTGTGGAGACGTTAGAGAAAGCTCTAGGTCCCTGCCTCATTTTGACGGAATGCCTCACATCCCGTTGTCACCTCGAGAGGCACGCGGAGTTCACTGCTTCAAAAGATGACGATGCCTGACTCCTCTTGAATATTGATAGGAATCCCAAAATCCCTGTGGCTATTGGAAAGGTTCCTTGGGTTCCCTGCCTCACCTCGAGAAGCATCCCTTGTGCACTGCCAAGCCTCGAAGAGATTCCTGAGCTGTCCCTCGTTACTGGACAGGTGTCCTGACGTCACTGAATAAACACGAGTTTTTAAGGGCCATCCCCGCCGTAACCCGAGTACATACCCCAGGTCCCCGCCACAAGTCGAGATAAAGCATGAGACTTTCCCCTATAGGCGAGATGAAGCCCGATTCTCCTGCAGTGCATGCAGAGCAATTCCGTGATCCCCATCAAACAAGTCAGGACTTTCGACTTGCTTAATGCATCTCGAGACAGTCCCCAAGAATACTGTCACATGTCTAGACGGATACTGAGGTCACACCATCAACGCAAAGCAGCACAATGTGCCCCAAATAAACTCGGGATGATGCCAGATCCCCCTGCATTGACTCCAGAGCCATCACCCTTTCCCCATTAAACACGACCAGTGGCTCGACTTCCTTCAGGCAACTCCAGAGATGCCCCGAGAACACTGTCCCAAGTCTAGAGGAACACCATCTTCAGCACAGCAAATCGAGGAATGCTCCGTGTACCCCAAATCGTCTCGAGATGAGAGCTGATTCCCTGGCTTAGGTTCAAGACATATGCCAACTTTCCAGAAGCACCTCAAGCGGAGGATTCTCTCAGCAATAGGTATGTTGGAGGGACCCCCACTTTGCTGTCTCAAGTGGAATATACAGCGAGAAGCCCTAACTAGAAAGGAGGCCGGATTTCCTTGCAGTGTCTTGAATACAGGCTCGTCTTTCATCTCACAACCGGAAGGGATGTCTGAATCCCCTGTGGAGGACTTAGAGAAAGCCCTAGGTCCCTGCCTCATTTTGACGGATTGCCTCACATCCCGTTGACACCTCGAGAGGCACCCGGAGTTCACTGCTTCAAATGTGACGATGCCTGACTCCTCCTGAACATTGATAGGAATCCCAAAATCACTGTGGCTACAGGAAAGGGTTCTTGTGTGCCCTGCCTCACCTCGAGAAGCATCCCTTTTGCCCTGCCAAGGCTCGAAAAGATTCCTGAGGTGTACCTCATTACTAGACAGGAGTCATGACGTCACTGATTAAACACGTGTTTTCAAGGGCCAAGCCCGCCATAACTCGAGAATATACCCCACGTACCGCCGCGACTCGAGAAAAACAATGAGACTTCCCCTAGATGCGATATGAGGCCTGATTCCCTGCAGTCCATGCAGAGCATTCCCGTGATCCCAATCAAGCAAGTCAGCAGCTTCGAATTGCTTAATGGATCTCGAGAGAGTCCCCAAGAACACTGTCACAAGTCTAGACAGACCCTGACATCACCCCAGCAAAGCAAAGCAGGTCCAAGTACCCCACATCAACTCGAGTTGAGGCCCGATTCCCATGCATTGACTCCAGAGCCATCCCCCGTACCCCATTAAACACCACCAGTGGCTTGACTTCCTTCAGGCAACTCCAGGGATGCCCCGAGAACACTGTCCCAACTCTAGAGGAATACGAACTTCAGCACAGCAACTCGAGGAATGCTCCGTGTACCCCAAATCGTTTCGAGGTGAGAGCTGATTCCATGGCTTAGGTTCAAGACGTATGCCAACTTTCCAGAAGCCCCTCAAGAGGAGGCTTCTCTCAGCAATAGGTATGTGGGAGGGACCCCGAATTTGCTGCCTCAAGTGGAATATACAGCAAGAAGCCCTAACTTGAAAGGAGGCCGGATTTCCTTGCAGTGGCTTGAATACAGGCTCGTCTTTCATCTCACAGCATGAAGGGATGTCTGAATCCCCTGTGGAGACCTTAGAGAAAGCTCTAGGTCCCTGCCTCATTTTGACGGAATGCCTCACATCCCGTTGACACTTCGAGAGGCACGCGGAATTCACTGCTTCAAAAGGTGATGATGCCTGACTCGTCTTGAATATTGACAGGAATCCCAAAATCCCTGTGGCTATTTGAAAGGTTCCTTGGGTGTCCTGCCTCACCTCGAGAAGCGTCCCTTGTGCCTGCCAAGCCTCGAAGAGTTTCCTGAGCTGTCCCTCGTTACTGGACAGGAGTCCTGACGTCACTGAATAAACAGGAGTTTTTAAGGGCCATCCCCGCTGTAACTCGAGTACATACCCCAGGTCCCCGCCGCAAGTCGAGAAAAACCATGAGACTTTCCCCTAGTGGCGAGATGAGGCCCGATTCTCCTGCAGTCCATGCAGAGCATTCCCGTGATACCAATCAAGCAAGTCAGCAGCTTCGAATTGCTTAATGGATCTCGAGAGAGTCCCCAGGAACACTGTCACAAGTCTAGACAGACCCTGACATCACCCCAGCAAAGCAAAGCAGGTCCAAGTACCCCACATCACATCGAGTTGAGGCCCGATTCCCATGCATTGACTCCAGAGCCATCCCCCGTACCCCATTAAACACCACCAGTGGCTTGACTTCCTTCAGGCAACTACAGAGATGCCCCGAGAACACTGTCCCAAGTCTAGAGGAATACGAACTTCAGCACAGCAACTCGAGGAATGCTCCGTGTACCCCAAATCGTTTCGAGGTGAGAGCTGATTCCATGGCTTAGGCTCAAGACGTATGCCAACTTTCCAGAAGCAACTCAAGCGGAGGATTCTCTCAGCAATAGTTATGTTGGAGGGACCCCCACTTTGCTGCCTCAAGTGGAATATACAGCGAGAAGCCCTAACTTGAATGGAGGCCGGATTTCCTTGCAGTGTCTTGAATACAGGCTCGTCTTTCATCTCACAACCGGAAGGGATGCCTGAATCCCCTGTGGAGAACTTAGAGAAAGCCCTAGTTCCCTGCCTCATTTTGACGGATTGCCTCACATCCCGTTGACAACTCGAGAGGCACGCGGAGTTCACTGCTTCAAAAGGTGATGATGCCTGACTCGTCTTGAATATTGATAGGAATCCCAAAATCCCTGTGGCTATTTGAAAGGATCCTTGGGTGTCCTGCCTCACCTCGAGAAGCGTCCCTTGTGCCTGCCAAGCCTCGAAGAGATTCCTGAGCTGTCCCTCGTTACTGGACAGGAGTCCTGACGTCACTGAATAAACAGGAGTTTTTAAGGGCCATCCCCGCTGTAACCCGAGTACATACCCCAGGTCCCCGCCGCAAGTCGAGAAAAACCATGAGACTTTCCCCTAGTGGCGAGATGAGGCCCGATTCTCATGCAGTGCATGCAGAGCAATTCCGTGATCCCCATCAAACAAGTCAGGACCTTCGACTTGCTTAATGGATCTCGAGACAGCCCCAAGAATACTGTCACATGTCTAGACGGATCCTGAGGTCACCCCATCAACGCAAAGCAGCACCATGTGCCCCACATCAACTCGAGATAATGCCCGATTCCCCTGCGTTGACTCCAGAGCCATCCCCCGTTCCCCATTAAACACCACCAGTGGCTTGACTTCCTTCAGACAACTCCAGAGATGCCCTGAGAACACTGTCCCAAGTCTAGAGGAACACCATCTTCAGCACAGCAACTCGAGGAATGCTCCGTGTACACCAAATCGTCTCGAGATGAGAGCTGATTCCCTGGCTTAGGCTCAAGACGTATGCCAACTTTCCGGAAGCACCTCAAGAGGAGGCTTCTCTCAGCAATAGGTATGTTGGAGGGACCCCCAGTTTGCTGCCTCAAGTGGAATATGCAGCGAGAAGCCCTAACTTGAAAGGAGGCCGGGTTTCCTTGCAGTGTCTTGAATACAGGCTCGTCTTTCATCTCACAACGGGAAGGAATGTCTGAATCCCCTGTGGAGACGTTAGCGAAAGCCCTAGGTCCCTGCCTCATTTTGACGGATTGCCTCACATCCCGTTGACACCTCGAGAGGCACACGGAGTTCACTGCTTCAAATGTGATGATGCCTGACTCCTCCTGAACATTGATAGGAATCCCAAAATCACTGTGGCTACAGGAAAGGGTTCTTGTGTGCCCTGCCTCACCTCGAGAAGCATCCCTTTTGCCCTGCCAAGGCTCGAAAAGATTCCTGAGGTGTCCCTCATTACTAGACAGGAGTCATGATGTCACTGAATAAACATGTGTTTTCAAGGGCCAAGCCCGCCATAACTCGAGAACATACCCCACGTACCGCCGCGATTCGAGAAAAACCATGAGACTTCCCCTAGATGCGATATGAGGCCTGATTCCCTGCAGTCCATGCAGAGCATTCCCGTGATCCCAATCAAGCAAGTCAGCAGCTTCGAATTGCTTAATGGATCTCGAGAGAGTCCCCAGGAACACTGTCACAAGTCTAGACAGACCCTGACATCACCCCAGCAAAGCAAAGCAGGTCCAAGTACCCCACATCACATCGAGTTGAGGCCCGATTCCCATGCATTGACTCCAGAGCCATCCCCCGTACCCCATTAAACACCACCAGTGGCTTGACTTCCTTCAGGCAACTCCAGAGATGCCCCGAGAACACTGTCCCAAGTCTAGAGGAATACGAACTTCAGCACAGCAACTCGAGGAATACTCCGTGTACCCCAAATCGTTTCGAGGTGAGAGCTGATTCCATGGCTTAGGCTCAAGACATATGCCAACTTTCCAGAAGCACCTCAAGCGGAGGATTCTCTCAGCAATAGGTATGTTGGAGGGACCCCCACTTTGCTGCCTCAAGTGGAATATACAGCGAGAAGCCCTAACTTGAAAGGAGGCCGGATTTCCTTGTAGTGGCTTGAATACAGGCTCGTCTTTCATCTCACAGCATGAAGGGATGTCTGAATTCCCTGTGGAGACCTTAGAGAAAGCTCTAGGTCCCTGCCTCATTTTGACGGAATGCCTCACATCCCGTTCACACTTCGAGAGGCACGCGGAATTCACTGCTTCAAAAGTTGATGATGCCTGACTCGTCTTGAATATTGATAGGAATCCCAAAATCCCTGTGGCTATTTGAAAGGTTCCTTGGGTGTCCTGCCTCACCTCGAGAAGCGTCCCTTGTGCCTGCCAAGCCTCGAAGAGTTTCCTGAGCTGTCCCTCGTTACTGGACAGGAGTCCTGACGTCACTGAATAAACAGGAGTTTTTAAGGGCCATCCCCGCTGTAACCCGAGTACATACCCCAGATCCCCGCCGCAAGTCGTGAAAAACCATGAGACTTTCCCCTAGTGGCGAGATGAGGCCCGATTCTCCTGCAGTCCATGCAGAGCATACCCGTGATCCCAATCAAGCAAGTCAGCAGCTTCGAATTGCTTAATGGATCTCGAGAGAGTCCCCAGGAACACTGTCACAAGTCTAGACAGACCCTGACATCACCCCAGCAAAGCAAAGCAGGTCCAGGTACCCCACATCACCTCGAGTTGAGGCCCGATTCCCATGCATTGACTCCAGAGCCATCCCCCCTACCCCATTAAACACCACCATTGGCTTGACTTCCTTCAGGCAACTACAGAGATGCCCCGAGAACACTGTCCCAAGTCTAGAGGAATACGAACTTCAGCACAGCAACTCGAGTAATGCTCCGTGTACCCCAAATCGTTTGGAGGTGAGAGCTGATTCCATGGCTTAGGCTCAAGACGTATGCCAACTTTCCAGAAGCAACTCAAGCGGAGGATTCTCTCAGCAATAGTTATGTTGGAGGGACCCCCACTTTGCTGCCTCAAGTGGAATATACAGCGAGAAGCCCTAACTTGAATGGTGGCCGGATTTCCTTGCAGTGTCTTGAATACAGGCTCGTCTTTCATCTCACAACCGGAAGGGATGTCTGAATCCCCTGTGGAGAACTTAGAGAAAGCCCTAGGTCCCTGCCTCATTTTGACGGATTGCCTCACATCCCGTTGACACCTCGAGAGGCACGCGGAGTTCACTGCTTCAAAAGGTGATGATGCCTGACTCGTCTTGAATATTGATAGGAATCCCAAAATCCCTGTGGCTATTTGAAAGGTTCCTTGGGTGTCCTGCCTCACCTCGAGAAGCGTCCCTTGTGCCTGCCAAGCCTCGAAGAGATTCCTGAGCTGTCCCTCGTTACTGGACAGGAGTCCTGACGTCACTGAATAAACAGGAGTTTTTAAGGGCCATCCCCGCTGTAACCCGAGTACATACCCCAGGTCCCCGCCGCAAGTCGAGAAAAACCATGAGACTTTCCCCTAGTGGCGAGATGAGGCCCGATTCTCATGCAGTGCATGCAGAGCAATTCCGTGATCCCCATCAAACAAGTCAGGACCTTCGACTTGCTTAATGGATCTCGAGACAGTCCCCAAGAATACTGTCACTTGTCTAGACGGATGCTGAGGTCACCCCATCAACGCAAAGCAGCACCATGTGCCCCACATCAACTAGAGATAATGCCCGATTCCCCTGCGTTGACTCCAGAGCCATCCCCCGTTCCCCATTAAACACCACCAGTGGCTTGACTTCCTTCAGACAACTCCAGAGATGCCCTGAGAACACTGTCCCAAGTCTAGAGGAACACCATCTTCAGCACAGCAACTCGAGGAATGCTCCGTGTACCCCAAATCGTCTCGAGATGAGAGCTGATTCCCTGGCTTAGGGTCAAGACGTATGCCAACTTTCCAGAAGCACCTCAAGGGGAGGCTTCTCTCAGCAATAGGTATGTTGGAGGGACCCCCAGTTTGCTGCCTCAAGTGGAATATGCAGCGAGAAGCCCTAACTTGAAAGGAGGCCGGGTTTCCTTGCAGTGTCTTGAATACAGGCTCGTCTTTCATCTCACAACGGGAAGGAATGTCTGAATCCGCTGTGGAGACGTTAGCGAAAGCCCTAGGTCCCTGCCTCATTTTGACGGATTGCCTCACATCCCGTTGACAACTCGAGAGGCACACGGAGTTCACTGCTTCAAATGTGATGATGCCTGACTCCTCCTGAACATTGATAGGAATCCCAAAATCACTGTGGCTACAGGAAAGGGTTCTTGTGTGCCCTGCCTCACCTCGAGAAGCATCCCTTTTGCCCTGCCAAGGCGCAAAAAGATTCCTGAGGTGTCCCTCATTACTAGACAGGAGTCATGACGTCACTGAATAAACACGTGTTTTCAAGGGCCAAGCCCGCCATAACTCGAGAACATACCCCACGTACCGCCGCGACTCGAGAAAAACCATGAGACTTCCCCTAGATGCGATATGAGGCCTGATTCCCTGCAGTCCATGCAGAGCATTCCCGTGATCCCAATCAAGCAAGTCAGCAGCTTCGAATTGCTTAATGGATCTCGAGAGAGTCCCCAGGAACACTGGCACAAGTCTAGACAGACCCTGACATCACCCCAGCAAAGCAAAGCAGGTCCAAGTACCCCACATCACATCGAGTTGAGGCCCGATTCCCATGCATTGACTCCAGAGCCATCCCCCGTACCCCATTAAACACCACCAGTGGCTTGACTTCCTTCAGGCAACTCCAGAGATGCCCCGAGAACACTGTCCCAAGTCTAGAGGAATACGAACTTCAGCACAGCAACTCGAGGAATACTCCATATACCCCAAATCGTTTCGAGGTGAGAGCTGATTCCATGGCTTAGGCTCAAGACATATGCCAACTTTCCAGAAGCACCTCAAGCGGAGGATTCTCTCAGCAATAGGTATGTTGGAGGGACCCCCACTTTGCTGCCTCAAGTGGAATATACAGCGAGAAGCCCTAACTTGAAAGGAGGCCGGATTTCCTTGCAGTGGCTTGAATACAGGCTCGTCTTTCATCTCACAGCATGAAGGGATGTCTCAATCCCCTGTGGAGACCTTAGAGAAAGCTCTAGGTCCCTGCCTCATTTTGACGGAATGCCTCACATCCCGTTCACACTTCGAGAGGCACGCGGAATTCACTGCTTCAAAAGTTGATGATGCCTGACTCGTCTTGAATATTGATAGGAATCCCAAAATCCCTGTGGCTATTTGAAAGGTTCCTTGGGTGTCCTGCCTCACCTCGAGAAGCGTCCCTTGTGCCTGCCAAGCCTCGAAGAGTTTCCTGAGCTGTCCCTCGTTACTGGACAGGAGTCCTGACGTCACTGAATAAACAGGAGTTTTTAAGGGCCATCCCCGCTGTAACCCGAGTACATACCCCAGGTCCCCGCCGCAAGTCGAGAAAAACCATGAGACATTCCCCTAGTGGCGAGATGAGGCCCGATTCTCCTGCAGTCCATGCAGAGCATTCCCGTGATCCCAATCAAGCAAGTCAGCAGCTTCGAATTGCTTAATGGATCTCGAGAGAGTCCCCAGGAACACTGTCACAAGTCTAGACAGACCATGACATCACCCCAGCAAAGCAAAGCAGGTCCAAGTACCCCACATCACCTCGAGTTGAGGCCCGATTCCCATGCATTGACTCCAGAGCCATCCCCCGTACCCCATTAAACACCACCAGTGGCTTGACTTCCTTCAGGCAACTCCAGAGATGCCCCGAGAACACTGTCCCAAGTCTAGAGGAATACGAACTTCAGCACAGCAACTCGAGGAATACTCCATATACCCCAAATCGTTTCGAGGTGAGAGCTGATTCCATGGCTTAGGCTCAAGACATATGCCAACTTTCCAGAAGCACCTCAAGCGGAGGATTCTCTCAGCAATAGGTATGTTGGAGGGACCCCCACTTTGCTGCCTCAAGTGGAATATACAGCGAGAAGCCCTAACTTGAAAGGAGGCCGGATTTCCTTGCAGTGGCTTGAATACAGGCTCGTCTTTCATCTCACAGCATGAAGGGATGTCTCAATCCCCTGTGGAGACCTTAGAGAAAGCTCTAGGTCCCTGCCTCATTTTGACGGAATGCCTCACATCCCGTTCACACTTCGAGAGGCACGCGGAATTCACTGCTTCAAAAGTTGATGATGCCTGACTCGTCTTGAATATTGATAGGAATCCCAAAATCCCTGTGGCTATTTGAAAGGTTCCTTGGGTGTCCTGCCTCACCTCGAGAAGCGTCCCTTGTGCCTGCCAAGCCTCGAAGAGTTTCCTGAGCTGTCCCTCGTTACTGGACAGGAGTCCTGACGTCACTGAATAAACAGGAGTTTTTAAGGGCCATCCCCACTGTAACCCGAGTACATACCCCAGGTCCCCGCCGCAGGTCGAGAAAAACCATGAGACATTCCCCTAGTGGCGAGATGAGGCCCGATTCTCCTGCAGTCCATGCAGAGCATTCCCGTGATCCCAATCAAGCAAGTCAGCAGCTTCGAATTGCTTAATGGATCTCGAGAGAGTCCCCAGGAACACTGTCACAAGTCTAGACAGACCATGACATCACCCCAGCAAAGCAAAGCAGGTCCAAGTACCCCACATCACCTCGAGTTGAGGCCCGATTCCCATGCATTGACTCCAGAGCCATCCCCCGTACCCCATTAAACACCACCAGTGGCTTGACTTCCTTCAGGCAACTACAGAGATGCCCCGAGAACACTGTCCCAAGTCTAGAGGAATACGAACTTCAGCACAGCAACTCGAGGAATGCTCCGTGTACCCCAAATCGCTCCGAGGTGAGAGCTGATTCCATGGCTTACGCTCAAGACGTATGCCAACTTTCCAGAAGCAACTCAATCGGAGGATTCTCTCAGCAATAGTTATGTTGGAGGGACCCCCACTTTGCTGCCTCAAGTGGAATATACAGCGAGAAGCCCTAACTTGAATGGAGGCCGGATTTCCTTGCAGTGTCTTGAATACAGGCTCGTCTTTCATCTCACAACCGGAAGGGATGTCTGAATCCCCTGTGTAGAACTTAGAGAAAGCCCTAGGTCCCTGCCTCATTTTGACGGATTGCCTCACATCCCGTTGACACCTCGAGAGGCACGCGGAGTTGACTGCTTCAAAAGGTGATGATGCCTGACTCGTCTTGAATATTGATAGGAATCCCAAAATCCCTGTGGCTATTTGAAAGGTTCCTTGGGTGTCCTGCCTCACCTCGAGAAGCGTCCCTTGTGCCTGCCAAGCCTCGAAGAGATTCCTGAGCTGTCCCTCGTTACTGGACAGGAGTCCTGACGTCACTGAATAAACAGGAGTTTTTAAGGGCCATCCCCGCTGTAACCCGAGTACATACCCCAGGTCCCCGCCGCAAGTCGAGAAAAACCATGAGACTTTCCCCTAGTGGCGAGATGAGGCCCGATTCTCATGCAGTGCATGCAGAGCAATTCCGTGATCCCCATCAAACAAGTCAGGACCTTCGACTTGCTTAATGGATCTCGAGACAGTCCCCAAGAATACTGTCACATGTCTAGACGGATCCTGAGGTCACCCCATCAACGCAAAGCAGCACCATGTGCCCCACATCAACTCGAGATAATGCCCGATTCCCCTGCGTTGACTCCAGAGCCATCCCCCGTTCCCCATTAAACACCACCAGTGGCTTGACTTCCTTCAGACAACTCCAGAGATGCCCTGAGAACACTGTCCCAAGTCTAGTGGAACACCATCTTCAGCACAGCAACTCGAGGAATGCTCCGTGCACCCCAAATCGTCTCGAGATGAGAGCTGATTCCCTGGCTTAGGCTCAAGACGTATGCCAACTTTCCGGAAGCACCTCAAGGGGAGGCTTCTCTCAGCAATAGGTATGTTGATGGGACCCCCAGTTTGCTGCCTCAAGTGGAATATGCAGCGAGAAGCCCTAACTTGAAAGGAGGCCGGGTTTCCTTGCAGTGTCTTGAATACAGGCTCGTCTTTCATCTCACAACGGGAAGGAATGTCTGAATCCCCTGTGGAGACGTTAGCGAAAGCCCTAGGTCCCTGCCTCATTTTGACGGATTGCCTCACATCCCGTTGACACCTCGAGAGGCACACGGAGTTCACTGCTTCAAATGTGATGATGTCTGACTCCTCCTGAACATTGATAGGAATCCCAAAATCACTGTGGCTACAGGAAAGGGTTCTTGTGTGCCCTGCCTCACCTCGAGAAGCATCCCTTTTGGCCTGCCAAGGCTCGAAAAGATTCCTGAGGTGTCCCTCATTACTAGACAGGAGTCATGACGTCACTGAATAAACACGTGTTTTAAAGGGCCAAGCCCGCCATAACTCGAGAACATACCCCACGTACCGCCGCGACTCGAGAAAAACCATGAGACTTCCCCTAAATGCGATATGAGGCCTGATTCCCTGCAGTCCATGCAGAGCATTCCCGTGATCCCAATCAAGCAAGTCAGCAGCTTCGAATTGCTTAATGGATCTCGAGAGAGTCCCCAGGAACACTGTCACAAGTCTAGACAGACCCTGACATCACCCCAGCAAAGCAAAGCAGGTCCAAGTACCCCACATCACATCGAGTTGAGGCCCGATTCCCATGCATTGACTCCAGAGCCATCCCCCGTACCCCATTAAACATCACCAGTGGCTTGACTTCCTTCAGGCAACTACAGAGATGCCCCGAGACCACTGTCCCAAGTCTAGAGGAATACGAACTTCAGCACAGCAACTCGAGGAATGCTCCCTGTACCCCAAATCGTTTCGAGGTGAGAGCTGATTCCATGGCTTAGGCTCAAGACATATGCCAACTTTCCAGAAGCCCCTCAAGAGGCGGCTTCTCTCAGCAATAGGTATGTGGGAGGGACCCCAAATTTGCTGCCTCAAGTGGAATATGCAGCGAGAAGCCCTAACTTGAAAGGAGGCCGGGTTTCCTTGCAGTGTCTTGAATACAGGCTCGTCTTTCATCTCACAACGGGAAGGAATGTCTGAATCCCCTGTGGAGACCTTAGCGAAAGCCCTAGGTCCCTGCCTCATTTTGACGGATTGCCTCACATCCCGTTGACACCTCGAGAGGCACACGGAGTTCACTGCTTCAAATGTGACGATGCCTGACTCCTCCTGAACATTGATAGGAATCCCAAAATCACTGTGGCTACAGGAAAGGGTTCTTGTGTGCCCTGCCTCACCTCGAGAAGCATCCCTTTTGCCCTGCCAAGGCTCGAAAAGATTCCTGAGGTGTCCCTCATTACTAGACAGGAGTCATGACGTCACTGAATAAACACGTGTTTTCAAGGGCCAAGCCCGCCATAACTCGAGAACATACCCCACGTACCGCCGCGACTCGAGAAAAACCATGAGACTTCCCCTAGATGCGATATGAGGCCTGATTCCCTGCAGTCCATGCAGAGCATTCCCGTGATCCCAATCAAGCAAGTCAGCAGCTTCGAATTGCTTAATGGATCTCGAGAGAGTCCCCAGGAACACTGTCACAAGTCTAGACAGAACCTGACATCACCCCAGGAAAGCAAAGCAGGTCCAAGTACCCCACATCACCTCGAGTTGAGGCCCGATTCCCATGCATTGACTCCAGAGCCATCCCCCGTACCCCATTAAACACCACCAGTGGCTTGACTTCCTTCATGCAACTACAGAGATGCCCCGAGAACACTGTCCCAAGGCTAGAGGAATACGAACTTCAGCACAGCAACTCGAGGAATGCTCCGTGTACCCCAAATCGTTTCGAGGTGAGAGCTGATTCCATGGCTTAGGCTCAAGACATATGCCAACTTTCCAGAAGCACCTCAAGCGGAGGATTCTCTCAGCAATAGGTATGTTGGAGGGACCCCCACTTTGCTGCCTCAAGTGGAATATACAGCGAGAAGCCCTAACTTGAAAGGAGGCCGGATTTCCTTGCAGTGGCTTGAATACAGGCTCGTCTTTCATCTCACAGCATGAAGGGATGTCTGAATCCCCTGTGGAGACCTTAGAGAAAGCTCTAGGTCCCTGCCTCATTTTGACGGAATGCCTCACATCCCGTTCACACTTCGAGAGGCACGCGGAATTCACTGCTTCAAAAGTTGATGATGCCTGACTCGTCTTGAATATTGATAGGAATCCCAAAATCCCTGTGGCTATTTGAAAGGTTCCTTGGGTGTCCTGCCTCACCTCGAGAAGCGTCCCTTGTGCCTGCCAAGCCTCGAAGAGATTCCTGAGCTGTCCCTCGTTACTGGACAGGAGTCCTGACGTCACTGAATAAACAGGAGTTTTTAAGGGCCATCCCCGCTGTAACCCGAGTACATACCCCAGGTCCCCGCCGCAAGTCGAGAAAAACCATGAGACTTTCCCCTAGTGGCGAGATGAGGCCCGATTCTCCTGCAGTGCATGCAGAGCAATTCCGTGATCCCCATCAAACAAGTCAGGACCTTCGACTTGCTTAATGGATCTCGAGACAGTCCCCAAGAATACTGTCACATGTCTAGACGGATCCTGAGGTCACCCCATCAACGCAAAGCAGCACCATGTGCCCCACATCAACTCGAGATAATGCCCGATTCCCCTGCATTGACTCCAGAGCCATCCCCCGTTCCACATTAAACACCACCAGTGGCTTGACTTCCTTCAGACAACTCCAGAGATGCCCTGAGAACACTGTCCCAAGTCTAGAGGAACACCATCTTCAGCACAGCAACTCGAGGAATGCTCCGTGTACCCCAAATCGTCTCGAGATGAGAGCTGCTTCCCTGGCTTAGGCTCAAGACGTATGCCAACTTTCCAGAAGCACCTCAAGGGGAGGCTTCTCTCAGCAATAGGAATGTTGGAGGGACCCCCAGTTTGCTGCCTCAAGTGGAATATGCAGCGAGAAGCCCTAACTTGAAAGGAGGCCGGGTTTCCTTGCAGTGTCTTGAATACAGGCTCGTCTTTCATCTCACAACGGGAAGGAATGTCTGAATCCCCTGTGGAGTCCTTAGCGAAAGCCCTAGGTCCCTGCCTCATTTTGACGGATTGCCTCACATCCCGTTGACACCTCCGGAGGCACACGGAGTTCACTGCTTCAAATGTGACGATGCCTGACTCCTCCTGAACATTCATAGGAATCCCAAAATCACTGTGGCTACAGAAAAGGGTTCTTGTGTGCCCTGCCTCACCTCGAGAAGCATCCCTTTTGCCCTGCCAAGGCTCGAAAAGATTCCTGAGGTGTCCCTCATTACTAGACAGAAGTCATGACGTCACTGAATAAACACGTGTTTTCAAGGGCCAAGCCCGCCATAACTCGAGAACATACCCCACGTACCGCCGAAACTCGAGAAAAACCTTGAGACTTCCCCTAGATGCGATATGAGGCCTGATTCCCTGCAGTCCATGCAGAGCATTCCCGTGATCCCAATCAAGCAAGTCAGCAGCTTCGAATTGCTTAATGGATCTCGAGAGAGTCCCCAGGAACACTGTCACAAGTCTAGACAGACCCTGACATCACCCCAGCAAAGCAAAGCAGGTCCAAGTACCCCACATCACCTCGAGTTGAGGCCCGATTCCCATGCATTGACTCCAGAGCCATCCCCCGTACCCCATTAAACACCACCAGTGGCTTGACTTCCTTCAGGCAACTACAGAGATGCCCCGAGAACACTGTCCCAAGTCTAGAGGAATACGAACTTCAGCACAGCAACTCGAGGAATGCTCCGTGTACCCCAAATCGTTTCGAGGTGAGAGCTGATTCCATGGCTTAGGCTCAAGACGTATGCCAACTTTCCAGAAGCCCCTCAAGCGGAGGATTCTCTCAGAAATAGGTATGTTGGAGGGACCCCCACTTTGCTGCCTCAAGTGGAATATACAGCGAGAAGCCCTAACTTGAAAGGAGGCCGGATTTCCTTGCAGTGTCTTGAATACAGGATCGTCTTTCATCTCACAACCGGAAGGGATGTCTGAATCCCCTGTGTAGAACTTAGAGAAAGCCCTAGGTCCCTGCCTCATTTTGACGGATTGCCTCACATCCCGTTGACACCTCGAGAGGCACGCGGAGTTCACTGCTTCAAAAGGTGATGATGCCTGACTCGTCTTGAATATTGATAGGAATCCCAAAATCCCTGTGGCTATTTGAAAGGTTCCTTGGGTGTCCTGCCTCACCTCGAGAAGCGTCCCTTGTGCCTGCCAAGCCTCGAAGAGATTCCTGAGCTGTCCCTCGTTACTGGACAGGAGTCCTGACGTCACTGAATAAACAGGAGTTTTTAAGGGCCATCCCCGCTGTAACCCGAGTACATACCCCAGGTCCCCGCCGCAAGTCGAGAAAAACCATGAGACTTTCCCCTAGTGGCGAGATGAGGCCCGATTCTCCTGCAGTGCATGCAGAGCAATTCCGTGATCCCCATCAAACAAGTCAGGACCTTCGACTTGCTTAATGGATCTCGAGACAGTCCCCAAGAATACTGTCACATGTCTAGACGGATCCTGAGGTCACCCCATCAACGCAAAGCAGCACCATGTGCCCCACATCAACTCGAGATAATGCCCGATTCCCCTGCATTGACTCCAGAGCCATCCCCCGTTCCACATTAAACACCACCAGTGGCTTGACTTCCTTCAGACAACTCCAGAGATGCCCTGAGAACACTGTCCCAAGTCTAGAGGAACACCATCTTCAGCACAGCAACTCGAGGAATGCTCCGTGTACCCCAAATCGTCTCGAGATGAGAGCTGCTTCCCTGGCTTAGGCTCAAGACGTATGCCAACTTTCCAGAAGCACCTCAAGGGGAGGCTTCTCTCAGCAATAGGAATGTTGGAGGGACCCCCAGTTTGCTGCCTCAAGTGGAATATGCAGCGAGAAGCCCTAACTTGAAAGGAGGCCGGGTTTCCTTGCAGTGTCTTGAATACAGGCTCGTCTTTCATCTCACAACGGGAAGGAATGTCTGAATCCCCTGTGGAGTCCTTAGCGAAAGCCCTAGGTCCCTGCCTCATTTTGACGGATTGCCTCACATCCCGTTGACACCTCCGGAGGCACACGGAGTTCACTGCTTCAAATGTGACGATGCCTGACTCCTCCTGAACATTCATAGGAATCCCAAAATCACTGTGGCTACAGAAAAGGGTTCTTGTGTGCCCTGCCTCACCTCGAGAAGCATCCCTTTTGCCCTGCCAAGGCTCGAAAAGATTCCTGAGGTGTCCCTCATTACTAGACAGAAGTCATGACGTCACTGAATAAACACGTGTTTTCAAGGGCCAAGCCCGCCATAACTCGAGAACATACCCCACGTACCGCCGAAACTCGAGAAAAACCTTGAGACTTCCCCTAGATGCGATATGAGGCCTGATTCCCTGCAGTCCATGCAGAGCATTCCCGTGATCCCAATCAAGCAAGTTAGCAGCTTCGAATTGCTTAATGGATCTCGAGAGAGTCCCCAGGAACACTGTCACAAGTCTAGACAGACCCTGACATCACCCCAGCAAAGCAAAGCAGGTCCAAGTACCCCACATCACCTCGAGTTGAGGCCCGATTCCCATGCATTGACTCCAGAGCCATCCCCCGTACCCCATTAAACACCACCAGTGGCTTGACTTCCTTCAGGCAACTACAGAGATGCCCCGAGAACACTGTCCCAAGTCTAGAGGAATACGAACTTCAGCACAGCAACTCGAGGAATGCTCCGTGTACCCCAAATCGTTTCGAGGTGAGAGCTGATTCCATGGCTTAGGCTCAAGACGTATGCCAACTTTCCAGAAGCCCCTCAAGCGGAGGATTCTCTCAGAAATAGGTATGTTGGAGGGACCCCCACTTTGCTGCCTCAAGTGGAATATACAGCGAGAAGCCCTAACTTGAAAGGAGGCCGGATTTCCTTGCAGTGTCTTGAATACAGGCTCGTCTTTCATCTCACAACCGGAAGGGATGTCTGAATCCCCTGTGTAGAACTTAGAGAAAGCCCTAGGTCCCTGCCGCATTTTGACGGATTGCCTCACATCCCGTTGACACCTCGAGAGGCACGCGGAGTTCACTGCTTCAAAAGGTGATGATGCCTGACTCGTCTTGAATATTGATAGGAATCCCAAAATCCCTGTGGCTATTTGAAAGGTTCCTTGGGTGTCCTGCCTCACCTCGAGAAGCGTCCCTTGTGCCTGCCAAGCCTCGAAGAGATTCCTGAGCTGTCCCTCGTTACTTGACAGGAGTCCTGACGTCACTGAATAAACAGGAGTTTTTAAGGGCCATCCCCGCTGTAACCCGAGTACATACCCCAGGTCCCCGCCGCAAGTCGAGAAAAACCATGAGACTTTCCCCTAGTGGCGAGATGAGGCCCGATTCTCCTGCAGTGCATGCAGAGCAATTCTGTGATCCCCATCAAACAAGTCAGGACCTTCGACTTGCTTAATGGATCTCGAGACAGTCCCCAAGAATACTGTCACATGTCTAGACGGATCCTGAGGTCACCCCATCAACGCAAAGCAGCACCATGTGCCCCACATCAACTCAAGATAATGCCCGATTCCCCTGCATTGACTCCAGAGCCATCCCCCGTTCCACATTAAACACCACCAGTGGCTTGACTTCCTTCAGACAACTCCAGAGATGCCCTGAGAACACTGTCCCAAGTCTAGAGGAACACCATCTTCAGCACAGCAACTCGAGGAATGCTCCGTGTACCCCAAATCGTCTCGAGATGAGAGCTGATTCCCTGGCTTAGGCTCAAGACGTATGCCAACTTTCCAGAAGCACCTCAAGGGGAGCCTTCTCTCAGCAATAGGAATGTTGGAGGGACCCCCAGTTTGCTGCCTCAAGTGGAATATGCAGCGAGAAGCCCTAACTTGAAAGGAGGCCGGGTTTCCTTGCAGTGTCTTGAATACAGGCTCGTCTTTCATCTCACAACGGGAAGGAATGTCTGAATCCCCTGTGGAGACCTTAGCGAAAGCCCTAGGTCCCTGCCTCATTTTGACGGATTGCCTCACATCCCGTTGACACCTCGAGAGGCACCCGGAGTTCACTGCTTCAAATGTGACGATGCCTGACTCCTCCTGAACATTGATAGGAATCCCAAAATCACTGTGGCTACAGGAAAGGGTTCTTGTGTGCCCTGCCTCACCTCGAGAAGCATCCCTTTTGCCCTGCCAAGGCTCGAAAAGATTCCTGAGGTGTCCCTCATTACTAGACAGGAGTCATGACGTCACTGGATAAACACGTGTTTTCAAGGGCCAAGCCCGCCATAACTCGAGAACATACCCCACGTACCGCCGCGACTCGAGAAAACCATGAGACTTCCCCTAGATGCGATATGAGGCCTGATTCCCTGCAGTCCATGCAGAGCATTCCCGTGATCCCAATCAAGCAAGTCAGCAGCTTCGAATTGCTTAATGGATCTCGAAAGAGTCCCCAGGAACACTGTCACAAGTCTAGACAGACCCTGACATCACCCCAGCAAAGCAAAGCAGGTCCAAGTACCCCACATCACCTCGAGTTGAGGCCCGATTCCCATGCATTGACTCCAGAGCCATTCCCCGTACCCCATTAAACACCACCAGTGGCTTGACTTCCTTCAGGCAACTCCAGAGATGCCCCGAGAACACTGTCCCAAGTCTAGAGGAATACGAACTTCAGCACAGCAACTCGAGGAATACTCCGTGTACCCCAAATCGTTTCGAGGTGAGAGCTGATTCCATGGCTTAGGCTCAAGACGTATGCCAACTTTCCAGAAGCACCTCAAGCGGAGGATTCTCTCAGCAATAGGTATGTTGGAGGGACCCCCACTTTGCTGCCTCAAGTGGAATATACAGCGAGAAGCCCTAACTTGAAAGGAGGCCGGATTTCCTTGCAGTGGCTTGAATACAGGCTCGTCTTTCATCTCACCGCATGAAGGGATGTCTGAATCCCCTGTGGAGACCTTAGAGAAAGCTCTAGGTCCCTGCCTCATTTTGACGGAATGCCTCACATCCCGTTCACACTTCGAGAGGCACGCGGAATTCACTGCTTCAAAAGTTGATGATGCCTGACTCGTCTTGAATATTGATAGGAATCCCAAAATCCCTGTGGCTATTTGAAAGGTTCCTTGGGTGTCCTGCCTCACCTCGAGAAGCGTCCCTTGTGCCTGCCAAGCCTCGAAGAGTTTCCTGAGCTGTCCCTCGTTACTGGACAGGAGTCCTGACGTCACTGAATAAACAGGAGTTTTTAAGGGCCATCCCCGCTGTAACCCGAGTACATACCCCAGGTCCCCGCCGCAAGTCGAGAAAAACCATGAGACTTTCCCCTAGTGGCGAGATGTGGCCCGATTCTCCTGCAGTCCATGCAGAGCATTCCCGTGATCCCAATCAAGCAAGTCAGCAGCTTCGAATTGCTTAATGGATCTCGAGAGAGTCCCCAGGAACACTGTCACAAGTCTAGACAGACCCTGACATCCCCCCAGCAAAGCAAAGCAGGTCCAAGTACCCCACATCACCTCGAGTTGAGGCCCGATTCCCATGCATTGACTCCAGAGCCATCCCCCGTACCCCATTAAACACCACCAGTGGCTTGACTTCCTTCAGGCAACTACAGAGATGCCCCGAGAACACTGTCCCAAGTCTAGAGGAATAAGAACTTCAGCACAGCAACTCGAGGAATGCTCCGTGTACCCCAAATCGTTTCGAGGTGAGAGCTGATTCCATGGCTTAGGCTCAAGACGTATGCCAACTTTCCAGAAGCCCCTCAAGCGGAGGATTCTCTCAGAAATAGGTATGTTGGAGGGACCCCCACTTTGCTGCCTCAAGTGGAATATACAGCGAGAAGCCCTAACTTGAAAGGAGGCCGGATTTCCTTGCAGTGTCTTGAATACAGGCTCGTCTTTCATCTCACAACCGGAAGGGATGTCTGAATCCCCTGTGGAGAACTTAGAGAAAGCCCTAGGTCCCTGCCTCATTTTGACGGATTGCCTCACATCCCGTTGACACCTCGAGAGGCACGCGGAGTTCACTGCTTCAAAAGGTGATGATGCCTGACTCGTCTTGAATATTGATAGGAATCCCAAAATCCCTGTGGCTATTTGAAAGGTTCCTTGGGTGTTCTGCCTCACCTCGAGAAGCGTCCCTTGTGCCTGCCAAGCCTCGAAGAGATTCCTGAGCTGTCCCTCGTTACTTGACAGGAGTCCTGACGTCACTGAATAAACAGGAGTTTTTAAGGGCCATCCCCGCTGTAACCCGAGTACATATTCCCAGGTCCCCGCCGCAAGTCGAGAAAAACGATGAGACTTTCCCCTAGTGGCGAGATGAGGCCCGATTCTCATGCAGTGCATGCAGAGCAATTCTGTGATCCCCATCAAACAAGTCAGGACCTTCGACTTGCTTAATGGATCTCGAGACAGTCCCCAAGAATACTGTCACATGTCTAGACGGATCCTGAGGTCACCCCATCAACGCAAAGCAGCACCATGTGCCCCACATCAACTCAAGATAATGCCCGATTCCCCTGCATTGACTCCAGAGCCATCCCCCGTTCCCCATTAAACACCACCAGTGGCTTGACTTCCTTCAGACAACTCCAGAGATGCCCTGAGAACACTGTCCCAAGTCTAGAGGAACACCATCTTCAGCACAGCAACTCGAGGAATGCTCCGTGTACCCCAAATCGTCTCGAGATGAGAGCTGATTCCCTGGCTTAGGCTCAAGACGTATGCCAACTTTCCGGAAGCACCTCAAGGGGAGGCTTCTCTCAGCAATAGGTATGTTGGAGGGACCCCCAGTTTGCTGCCTCAAGTGGAATATGCAGCGAGAAGCCCTAACTTGAAAGGAGGCCGGGTTTCCTTGCAGTGTCTTGAATACAGGCTCGTCTTTCATCTCACAACGGGAAGGAATGTCTGAATTCGCTGTGGAGACGTTAGCGAAAGCCCTAGGTCCCTGCCTCATTTTGACGGATTGCCTCACATCCCGTTGACACCTCGAGAGGCACACGGAGTTCACTGCTTCAAATGTGATGATGCCTGACTCCTCCTGAACATTGATAGGAATCCCAAAATCACTGTGGCTACAGGAAAGGGTTCTTGTGTCCCCTGCCTCACCTCGAGAAGCATCCCTTTTGCCCTGCCAAGGCTCAAAAAGATTCCTGAGGTGTCCCTCATTACTAGACAGGAGTCATGACGTCACTGAATAAACACGTGTTTTCAAGGGCCAAGCCCGCCATAACTCGAGAACATACCCCACGTACCGCCGCGACTCGAGAAAAACCATGAGACTTCCCCTAGATGCGATATGAGGCCTGATTCCCTGCAGTCCATGCAGAGCATTCCCGTGATCCCAATCAAGCAAGTCAGCAGCTTCGAATTGCTTAATGGATCTCGAGAGAGTCCCCAGGAACACTGGCACAAGTCTAGACAGACCCTGACATCACCCCAGCAAAGCAAAGCAGGTCCAAGTACCCCACATCACATCGAGTTGAGGCCCGATTCCCATGCATTGACTCCAGAGCCATCCCCCGTACCCCATTAAACACCACCAGTGGCTTGACTTCCTTCAGGCAACTCCAGAGATGCCCCGAGAACACTGTCCCAAGTCTAGAGGAATACGAACTTCAGCACAGCAACTCGAGGAATACTCCATATACCCCAAATCGTTTCGAGGTGAGAGCTGATTCCATGGCTTAGGCTCAAGACATATGCCAACTTTCCAGAAGCACCTCAAGCGGAGGATTCTCTCAGCAATAGGTATGTTGGAGGGACCCCCACTTTGCTGCCTCAAGTGGAATATACAGCGAGAAGCCCTAACTTGAAAGGAGGCCGGATTTCCTTGCAGTGGCTTGAATACAGGCTCGTCTTTCATCTCACAGCATGAAGGGATGTCTCAATCCCCTGTGGAGACCTTAGAGAAAGCTCTAGTTCCCTGCCTCATTTTGACGGAATGCCTCACATCCCGTTCACACTTCGAGAGGCACGCGGAATTCACTGCTTCAAAAGTTGATGATGCCTGACTCGTCTTGAATATTGATAGGAATCCCAAAATCCCTGTGGCTATTTGAAAGGTTCCTTGGGTGTCCTGCCTCACCTCGAGAAGCGTCCCTTGTGCCTGCCAAGCCTCGAAGAGTTTCCTGAGCTGTCCCTCGTTACTGGACAGGAGTCCTGACGTCACTGAATAAACAGGAGTTTTTAAGGGCCATCCCCGCTGTAACCCGAGTACATACCCCAGGTCCCCGCCGCAAGTCGAGAAAAACCATGAGACATTCCCCTAGTGGCGAGATGAGGCCCGATTCTCCTGCAGTCCATGCAGAGCATTCCCGTGATCCCAATCAAGCAAGTCAGCAGCTTCGAATTGCTTAATGGATCTCGAGAGAGTCCCCAGGAACACTGTCAAAAGTCTAGACAGACCATGACATCACCCCAGCAAAGCAAAGCAGGTCCAAGTACCCCACATCACCTCGAGTTGAGGCCCGATTCCCATGCATTGACTCCAGAGCCATCCCCCGTACCCCATTAAACACCACCAGTGGCTTGACTTCCTTCAGGCAACTACAGAGATGCCCCGAGAACACTGTCCCAAGTCTAGAGGAATACGAACTTCAGCACAGCAACTCGAGGAATGCTCCGTGTACCCCAAATCGTTTCGAGGTGAGAGCTGATTCCATGGCTTAGGCTCAAGACGTATGCCAACTTTCCAGAAGCAACTCAATCGGAGGATTCTCTCAGCAATAGTTATGTTGGAGGGACCCCCACTTTGCTGCCTCAAGTGGAATATACAGTGAGAAGCCCTAACTTGAATGGAGGCCGGATTTCCTTGCAGTGTCTTGAATACAGGCTCGTCTTTCATCTCACAACCGGAAGGGATGTCTGAATCCCCTGTGGAGAACTTAGAGAAAGCCCTAGGTCCCTGCCTCATTTTGACGGATTGCCTCACATCCCGTTGACACCTCGAGAGGCACGCGGAGTTCACTGCTTCAAAAGGTGATGATGCCTGACTCGTCTTGAATATTGATAGGAATCCCAAAATCCCTGTGGCTATTTGAAAGGTTCCTTGGGTGTCCTGCCTCACCTCGAGAAGCGTCCCTTGTGCCTGCCAAGCCTCGAAGAGATTCCTGAGCTGTCCCTCGTTACTGGACAGGAGTCCTGACGTCACTGAATAAACAGGAGTTTTTAAGGGCCATCCCCGCTGTAACCCGAGTACATACCCCAGGTCCCCGCCGCAAGTCGAGAAAAACCATGAGACTTTCCCCTAGTGGCGAGATGAGGCCCGATTCTCATGCAGTGCATGCAGAGCAATTCCGTGATCCCCATCAAACAAGTCAGGACCTTCGACTTGCTTAATGGATCTCGAGACAGTCCCCAAGAATACTGTCACATGTCTAGACGGATCCTGAGGTCACCCCATCAACGCAAAGCAGCACCATGTGCCCCACATCAACTCGAGATAATGCCCGATTCCCCTGCGTTGACTCCAGAGCCATCCCCCGTTCCCCATTAAACACCACCAGTGGCTTGACTTCCTTCAGACAACTCCAGAGATGCCCTGAGAACACTGTCCCAAGTCTAGTGGAACACCATCTTCAGCACAGCAACTCGAGGAATGCTCCGTGCACCCCAAATCGTCTCGAGATGAGAGCTGATTCCCTGGCTTAGGCTCAAGACGTATGCCAACTTTCCGGAAGCACCTCAATGGGAGGCTTCTCTCAGCAATAGGTATGTTGGAGGGACCCCCAGTTTGCTGCCTCAAGTGGAATATGCAGCGAGAAGCCCTAACTTGAAAGGAGGCCGGGTTTCCTTGCAGTGTCTTGAATACAGGTTCGTCTTTCATCTCACAACGGGAAGGAATGTCTGAATCCCCTGTGGAGACGTTAGCGAAAGCCCTAGGTCCCTGCCTCATTTTGACGGATTGCCTCACATCCCGTTGACACCTCGAGAGGCACACGGAGTTCACTGCTTCAAATGTGATGATGTCTGACTCCTCCTGAACATTGATAGGAATCCCAAAATCACTGTGGCTACAGGAAAGGGTTCTTGTGTGCCCTGCCTCACCTCGAGAAGCATCCCTTTTGGCCTGCCAAGGCTCGAAAAGATTCCTGAGGTGTCCCTCATTACTAGACAGGAGTCATGACGTCACTGAATAAACACGTGTTTTCAAGGGCCAAGCCCGCCATAACTCGAGAACATACCCCACGTACCGCCGCGACTCGAGAAAAACCATGAGACTTCCCCTAGATGCGATATGAGGCCTGATTCCCTGCAGTCCATGCAGAGCATTCCCGTGATCCCAATCAAGCAAGTCAGCAGGTTCGAATTGCTTAATGGATCTCGAGAGAGTCCCCAGGAACACTGTCACAAGTCTAGACAGACCCTGACATCACCCCAGCAAAGTAAAGCAGGTCCAAGTACCCCACATCACATCGAGTTGAGGCCCGATTCCCATGCATTGACTCCAGAGCCATCCCCCGTACCCCATTAAACATCACCAGTGGCTTGACTTCCTTCAGGCAACTACAGAGATGCCCCGAGACCACTGTCCCAAGTCTAGAGGAATACGAACTTCAGCACAGCAACTCGAGGAATGCTCCGTGTACCCCAAATCGTTTCGAGGTGAGAGCTGATTCCATGGCTTAGGCTCAAGACATATGCCAACTTTCCAGAAGCCCCTCAAGAGGCGGCTTCTCTCAGCAATAGGTATGTGGGAGGGACCCCGAATTTGCTGCCTCAAGTGGAATATGCAGTGAGAAGCCCTAACTTGAAAGGAGGCCGGGTTTCCTTGCAGTGTCTTGAATACAGGCTCGTCTTTCATCTCACAACGGGAAGGAATGTCTGAATCCCCTGTGGAGACCTTAGCGAAAGCCCTAGGTCCCTGCCTCATTTTGACGGATTGCCTCACATCCCGTTGACACCTCGAGAGGCACACGGAGTTCACTGCTTCAAATGTGACGATGCCTGACTCCTCCTGAACATTGATAGGAATCCCAAAATCACTGTGGCTACAGGAAAGGGTTCTTGTGTGCCCTGCCTCACCTCGAGAAGCATCCCTTTTGCCCTGCCAAGGCTCGAAAAGATTCCTGAGGTGTCCCTCATTACTAGACAGGAGTCATGACGTCACTGAATAAACACGTGTTTTCAAGGGCCAAGCCCGCCATAACTCGAGAACATACCCTACGTACCGCCGCGACTCGAGAAAAACCATGAGACTTCCCCTAGATGCGATATGAGGCCTGATTCCCTGCAGTCCATGCAGAGCATTCCCGTGATCCCAATCAAGCAAGTCAGCAGCTTCGAATTGCTTAATGGATCTCGAGAGAGTCCCCAGGAACACTGTCACAAGTCTAGACAGAACCTGACATCACCCCAGGAAAGCAAAGCAGGTCCAAGTACCCCACATCACCTCGAGTTGAGGCCCGATTCCCATGCATTGACTCCAGAGCCATCCCCCATACCCCATTAAACACCACCAGTGGCTTGACTTCCTTCAGGCAACTACAGAGATGCCCCGAGAACACTGTCCCAAGGCTAGAGGAATACGAACTTCAGCACAGCAACTCGAGGAATGCTCCGTGTACCCCAAATCGTTTCGAGGTGAGAGCTGATTCCATGGCTTAGGCTCAAGACATATGCCAACTTTCCAGAAGCACCTCAAGCGGAGGATTCTCTCAGCAATAGGTATGTTGGAGGGACCCCCACTTTGCTGCCTCAAGTGGAATATACAGCGAGAAGCCCTAACTTGAAAGGAGGCCGGATTTCCTTGCAGTGGCTTGAATACAGGCTCGTCTTTCATCTCACAGCATGAAGGGATGTCTGAATCCCCTGTGGAGACCTTAGAGAAAGCTCTAGGTCCCTGCCTCATTTTGACGGAATGCCTCACATCCCGTTCACACTTCGAGAGGCACGCGGAATTCACTGCTTCAAAAGTTGATGATGCCTGACTCGTCTTGAATATTGATAGGAATCCCAAAATCCCTGTGGCTATTTGAAAGGTTCCTTGGGTGTCCTGCCTCACCTCGAGAAGCGTCCCTTGTGCCTGCCAAGCCTCGAAGAGATTCCTGAGCTGTCCCTCGTTACTGGACAGGAGTCCTGACGTCACTGAATAAACAGGAGTTTTTAAGGGCCATCCCCGCTGTAACCCGAGTACATACCCCAGGTCCCCGCCGCAAGTCGAGAAAAACCATGAGACTTTCCCCTAGTGGCGAGATGAGGCCCGATTCTCCTGCAGTGCATGCAGAGCAATTCCGTGATCCCCATCAAACAAGTCAGGACCTTCGACTTGCTTAATGGATCTCGAGACAGTCCCCAAGAATACTGTCACATGTCTAGACGGATCCTGAGGTCACCCCATCAACACAAAGCAGCACCATGTGCCCCACATCAACTCGAGATAATGCCCGATTCCCCTGCATTGACTCCAGAGCCATCCTCCGTTCCACATTAAACACCACCAGTGGCTTGACTTCCTTCAGACAACTCCAGAGATGCCCTGAGAACACTGTCCCAAGTCTAGAGGAACACCATCTTCAGCACAGCAACTCGAGGAATGCTCCGTGTACCCCAAATCGTCTCGAGATGAGAGCTGCTTCCCTGGCTTAGGCTCAAGACGTATGCCAACTTTCCAGAAGCACCTCAAGGGGAGGCTTCTCTCAGCAATAGGAATGTTGGAGGGACCCCCAGTTTGCTGCCTCAAGTGGAATATGCAGCGAGAAGCCCTAACTTGAAAGGAGGCCGGGTTTCCTTGCAGTGTCTTGAATACAGGCTCGTTTTTCATCTCACAACGGGAAGGAATGTCTGAATCCCCTGTGGAGTCCTTAGCGAAAGCCCTAGGTCCCTGCCTCATTTTGACGGATTGCCTCACATCCCGTTGACACCTCGAGAGGCACACGGAGTTCACTGCTTCAAATATGACGATGCCTGACTCCTCCTGAACATTCATAGGAATCCCAAAATCACTGTGGCTACAGAAAAGGGTTCTTGTGTGCCCTGCCTCACCTCGAGAAGCATCCCTTTTGCCCTGCCAAGCCTCGAAGAGTTTCCTGAGCTGTCCCTCGTTACTGGACAGGAGTCCTGACGTCACTGTATAAACAGGAGTTTTTAAGGGCCATCCCCGCTGTAACCCAAGTACATACCCCAAGTCCCCGCCGCAAGTCGAGAAAAACCATGAGACTTTCCCCTAGTGGCGAGATGAGGCCCGATTCTCCTGCAGTCCATGCAGAGCATTCCCGTGATCCCAATCAAGCAAGTCAGCAGCTTCGAATTGCTTAATGGATCTCGAGAGAGTCCTCAGGAACACTGTCACAAGTCTAGACAGACCCTGACATCACCCCAGCAAAGCAAAGCAGGTCCAAGTACCCCACATCACATCGAGTTGAGGCCCGATTCCCATGCATTGACTCCAGAGCCATCCCCCGTACCCCATTAAACACCACCAGTGGCTTGACTTCCTTCAGGCAACTACAGAGATGCCCCGAGAACACTGTCCCAAGTCTAGAGGAATACGAACTTCAGCACAGCAACTCGAGGAATGCTCCGTGTACCCCAAATCGTTTCGAGGTGAGAGCTGATTCCATGGCTTAGGCTCAAGACGTATGCCAACTTTCCAGAAGCAACTCAAGCGGAGGATTCTCTCAGCAATAGTTATGTTGGAGTTACTCCCACTTTGCTGCCTCAAGTGGAATATACAGCGAGAAGCCCTAACTTGAATGGAGGCCGGATTTCCTTGCAGTGTCTTGAATACAGGCTCGTCTTTCATCTCACAACCGGAAGGGATGTCTGAATCCCCTGTGGAGAACTTAGAGAAAGCCCTAGGTCCCTGCCTCATTTTGACGGATTGCCTCACATCCCGTTGACACCTCGAGAGGCACGCGGAGTTCACTGCTTCAAAAGGTGATGATGCCTGACACGTCTTGAATATTGATAGGAATCCCAAAATCACTGTGGCTACAGGAAAGGGTTCTTGTGTGCCCTGCCTCACCTCGAGAAGCATCCCTTTTGCCCTGCCAAGGCTCGAAAAGATTCCTGAGGTGTCCCTCATTACTAGACAGGAGTCATGACGTCACTGAATAAACACGTGTTTTCAAGGGCCAAGCCCGCCATAACTCGAGAACATACCCCACGTACCGCCGCGACTCGAGAAAAACCATGAGACTTCCCCTAGATGCGATATGAGGCCTGATTCCCTGCAGTCCATGCAGAGCATTCCCGTGATCCCAATCAAGCAAGTCAGCAGGTTCGAATTGCTTAATGGATCTCGAGAGAGTCCCCAGGAACACTGTCACAAGTCTAGACAGACCCTGACATCACCCCAGCAAAGCAAAGCAGGTCCAAGTACCCCACATCACATCGAGTTGAGGCCCGATTCCCATGCATTGACTCCAGAGCCATCCCCCGTACCCCATTAAACACCACTAGTGGCTTGACTTCCTTCAGGCAACTACAGAGATGCCCCGAGAACACTGTCCCAAGTCTAGAGGAATACGAACTTCAGCACAGCAACTCGAGGAATGTTCCGTGTACCCCAAATCGTTTCGAGGTGAGAGCTGATTCCATGGCTTAGGCTCAAGACGTATGCCAACTTTCCAGAAGACCCTCAAGAGGAGGCTTCACTCAGCAATAGGTATGTGGGAGGGACCCCGAATTTGCTGCCTCAAGTGGAATATACAGCGAGAAGCCCTAACTTGAAAGGAGGCCGGATTTCCTTGCAGTGGCTTGAATACAGGCTCGTCTTTCATCTCACAGCATGAAGGGATGTCTGAATCCCCTGTGGAGACCTTAGAGAAAGCTCTAGGTCCCTGCCTCATTTTGACGGAATGCCTCACATCCCGTTCACACTTCGAGAGGCACGCGGAATTCACTGCTTCAAAAGGTGATGATGCCTGACTCGTCTTGAATATTGATAGGAATCCCAAAATCCCTGTGGCTATTTGAAAGGTTCCTTGGGTGTCCTGCCTCACCTCGAGAAGCGTCCCTTGTGCCTGCCAAGCCTCGAAGAGATTCCTGAGCTGTCCCTCGTTACTGGACAGGAGTCCTGACGTCACTGAATAAACAGGAGTTTTTAAGGGCCATCCCCGCTGTAACCCGAGTACATACCCCAGGTCCCCGCCGCAAGTCGAGAAAAACCATGAGACTTTCCCCTAGTGGCGAGATGAGGCCCGATTCTCCTGCAGTGCATGCAGAGCAATTCCGTGATCCCCATCAAACAAGTCAGGACCTTCGACTTGCTTAATGGATCTCGAGACAGTCCCCAAGAATACTGTCACATGTCTAGACGGATCCTGAGGTCACCCCATCAACGCAAAGCAGCACCATGTGCCCCACATCAACTCGAGATAATGCCCGATTCCCCTGCATTGACTCCAGAGCCATCCCCCGTTCCCCATTAAACACCACCAGTGGCTTGACTTCCTTCAGACAACTCCAGAGATGCCCTGAGAACACTGTCCCAAGTCTAGAGGAACACCATCTTCAGCACAGCAACTCGAGGAATGCTCCGTGTACCCCAAATCGTCTCGAGATGAGAGCTGATTCCCTGGCTTAGGCTCAAGACGTATGCCAACTTTCCAGAAGCACCTCAAGGGGAGGCTTCTCTCAGCAATAGGTATGTTGGATGGACCCCCAGTTTGCTGCCTCAAGTGGAATATGCAGCGAGAAGCCCTAACTTGAAACGAGGCCGGGTTTCCTTGCAGTGTCTTGAATACAGGCTCGTCTTTCATCTCACAACGGGAAGGAATGTCTGAATCCCCTGTGGAGACCTTAGCGAAAGCCCTAGGTCCCTGCCTCATTTTGACGGATTGCCTCACATCCCGTTGACACCTCGAGAGGCACACGGAGTTCACTGCTTCAAATGTGACGATGCCTGACTCCTCCTGAACATTGATAGGAATCCCAAAATCACTGTGGCTACAGGAAAGGGTGCTTGTGTGCCCTGCCTCACCTCGAGAAGCATCCCTTTTGCCCTGCCAAGGCTCGAAAAGATTCCTGAGGTGTCCCTCATTACTAGACAGGAGTCATGACGTCACTGAATAAACACGTGTTTTCAAGGGCCAAGCCCGCCATAACTCGAGAACATACCCCACGTACCGCCGCGACTCGAGAAAAACCAGGAGACTTCCCCTAGATGCGATATGAGGCCTGATTCCCTGCAGTCCATGCAGAGCATTCCCGTGATCCCAATCAAGCAAGTCAGCAGCTTCGAATTGCTTAATGGATCTCGAGAGAGTCCCCAGGAACACTGTCACAAGTCTAGACAGACCCTGACATCACCCCAGCAAAGCAAAGCAGGTCCAAGTACCCCACATCACATCGAGTTGAGGCCCGATTCCCATGCATTGACTCCAGAGCCATCCCCCGTACCCCATTAAACACCACCAGTGGCTTGACTTCCTTCAGGCAACTACAGAGATGCCCCGAGAACACTGTCCCAAGTCTAGAGGAATACGAACTTCAGCACAGCAACTCGAGGAATGCTCCGTGTACCCCAAATCGTTTCGAGGTGAGAGCTGATTCCATGGCTTAGGCTCAAGACGTATGCCAACTTTCCAGAAGACCCTCAAGAGGAGGCTTCTCTCAGCAATAGGTATGTGGGAGGGACCCCGAATTTGCTGCCTCAAGTGGAATATACAGCGAGAAGCCCTAACTTGAAAGGAGGCCGGATTTCCTTGCAGTGGCTTGAATACAGGCTCGTCTTTCATCTCACAGCATGAAGGGATGTCTGAATCCCCTGTGGAGACCTTAGAGAAAGCTCTAGGTCCCTGCCTCATTTTGACGGAATGCCTCACATCCCGTTCACACTTCGAGAGGCACGCGGAATTCACTGCTTCAAAAAGTGATGATGCCTGACTCGTCTTGAATATTGATAGGAATCCCAAAATCCCTGTGGCTATTTGAAAGGTTCCTTGTGTGTCCTGCCTCACCTCGAGAAGCGTCCCTTGTGCCTGCCAAGCCTCGAAGAGATTCCTGAGCTGTCCCTCGTTACTGGACAGGAGTCCTGACGTCACTGAATAAACAGGAGTTTTTAAGGGCCATCCCCGCTGTAACCCGAGTACATACCCCAGGTCCCCGCCGCAAGTCGAGAAAAACCATGAGACTTTCCCCTAGTGGCGAGATGAGGCCCGATTCTCCTGCAGTGCATGCAGAGCAATTCCGTGATCCCCATCAAACAAGTCAGGACCTTCGACTTGCTTAATGGATCTCGAGACAGTCCCCAAAAATACGGTCACATGTCTAGACGGATCCTGAGGTCACCCCATCAACGCAAAGCAGCACCATGTGCCCCACATCAACTCGAGATAATGCCCGATTCCCCTGCATTGACTCCAGAGCCATCCCCCGTTCCACATTAAACACCACCAGTGGCTTGACTTCCTTCAGACAACTCCAGAGATGCCCTGAGAATACTGTCCCAAGTCTAGAGGAACACCATCTTCAGCACAGCAACTCGAGGAATGCTCCGTGTACCGCAAATCGTCTCGAGATGAGAGCTGATTCCCTGGCTTAGGCTCAAGACCTATGCCAACTTTCCAGAAGCACCTCAAGGGGAGGCTTCTCTCAGCAATAGGTATGTTGGATGGACCCCCAGTTTGCTGCCTCAAGTGGAATATGCAGCGAGAAGCCCTAACTTGAAAGGAGGCCGGGTTTCCTTGCAGTGTCTTGAATACAGGCTCGTCTTTCATCTCACAACGGGAAGGAATGTCTGAATCCCCTGTGGAGACCTTAGCGAAAGCCCTAGGTCCCTGCCTCATTTTGACGGATTGCCTCACATCCCGTTGACACCTCGAGAGGCACACGGAGTTCACTGCTTCAAATGTGACGATGCCTGACTCCTCCTGAACATTGATAGGAATCCCAAAATCACTGTGGCTACAGGAAAGGGTTCTTGTGTGCCCTGCCTCACCTCGAGAAGCATCCCTTTTGCCCTGCCAAGGCTCGAAAAGATTCCTGAGGTGTCCCTCATTACTAGACAGGAGTCATGATGTCACTGAATAAACACGTGTTTTCAAGGGCCAAGCCCGCCATAACTCGAGAACATACCCCACGTACCGCCGCGACTCGAGAAAAACCATGAGACTTCCCCTAGATGCGATATGAGGCCTGATTCCCTGCAGTCCATGCAGAGCATTCCCGTGATCCCAATCAAGCAAGTCAGCAGGTTCGAATTGCTTAATGGATCTCGAGAGAGTCCCCAGGAACACTGTCACAAGTCTAGACAGACCCTGACATCACCCCAGCAAAGTAAAGCAGGTTCAAGTACCCCACATCACCTCGAGTTGAGGCCCGATTCCCATGCATTGACTCCAGAGCCATCCCCCGTACCCCATTAAACACCACCAGTGGCTTGACTTCCTTCAGGCAACTCCAGAGATGCCCCGAGAACACTGTCCCAAGTCTAGAGGAATACGAAGTTCAGCACAGCAACTCGAGGAATGCTCCGTGTACCCCAAATCGTTTCGAGGTGAGAGCTGATTCCATGGCTTAGGCTCAAGACGTATGCCAACTTTCCAGAAGCCCCTCAAGCGGAGGATTCTCTCAGCAATAGGTATGTTGGAGGGACCCCCACTTTGCTGCCTCAAGTGGAATATACAGCGAGAAGCCCTAACTTGAAAGGAGGCCGGATTTCCTTGCAGTGTCTTGAATACAGGCTCGTCTTTCATCTCACAACCAGAAGGGATGTCTGAATCCCCTGTGGAGAACTTAGAGAAAGCCCTAGGTCCCTGCCTCATTTTGACGGATTGCCTCACATCCCGTTGACACCTCGAGAGGCACGCGGAATTCACTGCTTCAAAAGGTGATGATGCCTGACTCGTCTTGAATATTGATAGGAATTCCAAAATCCCTGTGGCTATTTGAAAGGTTCCTTGGGTGTCCTGCCTCACCTCGAGAAGCGTCCCTTGTGCCTGCCAAGCCTCGAAGAGATTCCTGAGCTGTCCCTCATTACTGGACAGGAGTCCTGACGTCACTGAATAAACAGGAGTTTTTAAGGGCCATCCCCGCTGTAACCCGAGTACATACACCAGGTCCCCGCCGCAAGTCGAGAAAAACCATGAGACTTTCCCCTAGTGGCGAGATGAGGCCCGATTCTCCTGCAGTGCATGCAGAGCAATTCCGTGATACCCATCAAACAAGTCAGGACCTTCGCCTTGCTTAATGGATCTCGAGACAGTCCCCAAGAATACGGTCACATGTCTAGATGGATCCTGAGGTCACCCCATCAACGCAAAGCAGCACCATGTGCCCCACATCAACTCGAGATAATGCCCGATTCCCGTGCATTGACTGCAGAGCCATCCCCCGTTCCACATTAAACACCACCAGTGGCTTGACTTCCTTCAGACAACTCCAGAGATGCCCTGAGAACACTGTCCCAAGTCTAGAGGAACACCATCTTCAGCACAGCAACTCGAGGAATGCTCCGTGTACACCAAATCGTCTCGAGATGAGAGCTGATTCCCTGGCTTAGGCTCAAGACGTATGCCAACTTTCCAGAAGCACCTCAAGGGGAGGCTTCTCTCAGCAATAGGTATGTTGGAGGGACCCCCAGTTTGCTGCCTCAAGTGGAATATGCAGCGAGAAGCCCTAACTTGAAAGGAGGCCGGGTTTCCTTGCAGTGTCTTGAATACAGGCTCGTCTTTCATCTCACAACGGGAAGGAATGTCTGAATCCCCTGTGGAGACCTTAGCGAAAGCCCTAGGTCCCTGCCTCATTTTGACGGATTGCCTCACATCCCGTTGACACCTCGAGAGGCACCCGGAGTTCACTGCTTCAAATGTGATGATGCCTGACTCCTCCTGAACATTGATAGGAATCCCCAAATCACTGTGGCTACTGGAAAGGGTTCTTGTGTGCCCTGCCTCACCTCGAGAAGCATCCCTTTTGCCCTGCCAAGGCTCGAAAAGATTCCTGAGGTGTCCCTCATTACTAGACAGGAGTCATGACGTCACTGAATAAACACGTGTTTTCAAGGGCCAAGCCCGCCATAACTCGAGAACATACCCCACGTACCGCCAGGACTCGAGAAAAACCATGAGACTTCCCCTAGATGCGATATGAGGACTGATTCCCTGCAGTCCATGCAGAGCATTCCCGTGATCCGAATCAAGCAAGTCAGCAGCTTCGAATTGCTTAATGGATCTCGAGAGAGTCCCCAGGAACACTGTCACAAGTCTAGACAGACCCTGACATCACCCCAGCAAAGCAAAGCAGGTCCAAGTACCCCACATCACCTCGAGTTGAGGCCCGATTCCCATGCATTGACTCCAGAGCCATCCCCCGTACCCCATTAAACACCACCAGTGGCTTGACTTCCTTCAGGCAAATCCAGAGATGCCCCGAGAACACTGTCCCAAGTCTAGAGGAATACGAACTTCAGCACAGCAACTCGAGGAATGCTCTGTGTACCCCAAATCGTTTCGAGGTGAGAGCTGATTCCATGGCTTAGGCTCAAGACGTATGCCAACTTTCCAGAAGCACCTCAAGCAGAGGATTCTCTCAGCAATAGGTATGTTGGAGGGACCCCCACTTTGCTGCCTCAAGTGGAATATACCGCGAGAAGCCCTAACTTGAAAGGAGGCCGGATTTCCTTGCAGTGTCTTGAATACAGGC